GTACGCGTATATTTCCAATGATCTGGTAAGCAAAAGTTGGCAGATATTAGCCCATGTCGATCAACTTTGGGTCCAAAGATTCACGAAGGCTTGCTCTTACTCGGATGATGTTGGTGTTGACAAGACTTCAACACAAAAGCAAGTCAAGTGATTGCGTTCCAATCTCAGTTTCATTGTGTAATCCTAATATAATATCTGATTCAGACATTCCCATGTGTTTGTATGAGGGATCTGGACTTCCATACAAGGAATTGAAGGACGGCTGGCGCCTGGAGATTCCTGCATTGCAACATAAGGGTTCTTGCAATACGGAAAGCAGTGATCGGGAACTCGTCTGGCCCAAATATTATTCTCTAAGTTCATAAAGATTGTGGGTTGGAGAAGAATCGTTCAAGTCCAAACATGAAGATTCAGGAAAATGTGGTCATGTAAAACTTGCACCGTCAGGGATACTGGATAGCGTCATCTTCACAAACTCACATATGTCATCAACTTCCTGTTTTGACTCCTTGATGTTAGAAGAAGAGCTAGTACTAAAGGGTGAGTGAGAAATGTTAGGATTGACAGATAGTCTATGGATTGCAAGGAAGCACAAGCGTAACAACATCGACATGATTCCACATCTTCTCTTAAATATCTTCAAAAAGTAAAGACTCTCTCTCTTCTATTCGGTGTTGCTCTGTCAGGTCAAACCCTTGAGGTATTAAGACATTCGCACGTCAACGCAAACGCTTCAACCTTCCAATCCTCTCCTGGCTTCGGATCACACGTTATTGTTACGCTACAGTAATTTGGTATCTATAGTGTTTTGGTATCTACAGTCTTATGCTTGAACCAGAGCTACAGACTTCTAACTAACTAACGAACTACCTGCACCGTGATATACAAAAAACCGATACATAGTGACAAACTTATTCAATCGGTTGATTAGCAACCTGTTTTTCTCGCTCCAACCATTGTTCCTGAACGCGTGTAGCCTCTTCAGCCTCTTGTATGAATTCGTGGAATCTCCTAGCATGTGTCAAAGACCAAGTTAGCAAAAAATTGGTATCCATACTTCACACAGTGCACTGTTTTTTGGCATCAACTACCTCTTCAAATCCCGATATAAGCCTCTTTGCACACCCAAATCAGCAGCAGTCTTTCCAAGCCCGTTCTCAAGCTCTCTCTTCTCTCCTTCCAGCCTTTCAATACTGCTCTCACGATCACCAATCACACCACGAGCATCATCCAACTGCTTCCTCAAAACAATATATCGTTCTTGTAACTGGTTCAAGTCACGTTGCGATTGATCGATTGATTCAGCAAGGCGAGTTTCCAAACCGTTACATTGTTGTCGTAGTTGTTGAATGGTGGTGGATGCTTCAGTATAATTGTTTTGTAATGCAGCGCAAGCATTACGTGATTCAGTCAAGTCATTTGTTGCAGCTCCCAATTCAGCACGTTTAGCATCGACTTCCTTGCGTATGTCAGATAACTGCTGACGAATGGCTTCAACTTCAGTATTCATGGTCTCTTCACGTTGATTGAATTCATTTACTTGATTACGTAAATAATCTGATATGGCTTTATGTTCGGCTAATTGAGCTTCCAAGTCTCTCGTGGTGGCTCGAGATGCATTGAGATCTCGAGTAACTTCATCGATTTGGACGGTTTGTTCTTGGAGAGTTGTAGGTAATTCGTCTACTTGTTCGACATGCTGGGATTCAAGATGTTGGAGTTCTTGATCCGATGCTTTTCTACTACCATTATCACTCACTTTACTAGCAAAATCTTGTTCCAGAGCTTGTATACGTGAAGACAAGTCTAGATTTGCGTAACGTAAATCATTGAGTTGTACTTCAAGAGCCATCTCCTCATTCGTGGCAGTATCAAGCTGATTTTCGAGATTACGGATTGCAGCTTGTCGTTCCTGCATGGCAGCTTCCAAATCAAACTCTTGCTGATGAGTAGCGCCATCGCGAGCATGTCCTTCACCATCAGATCGAGCAGGTGAAGCAGCTTGTCGTCCCTCCTCAAATACACTGAGAAATGGCCCTTGTGATCGTACTACAAAACTTTCATCATGATTGTGGTGACCTGGTGGTGGCGTCTGTAGAGTGGGTTGATCTGGCTGCGAGTCTTCCTCGTCATTGATAGCGCGACGAGGACGACGAGCAGCAGCGTCTCGTTCTAAATGTGCTGCTCCTACTTCGGGTTGGATGATGGCAGCACCATCTTCATTCTCGTCAGGAGCGGCTTCATCGGTAGCAGCTTCATTATCAGATCCAAGACTATGCATGTCTTCGTGGGTGATGGGTCCTTGTAGTAGCTTTATTTCGTAACCCATGTCAACATCGTCATCTTCAACATCGTGGTTTTCATTGTGTTGGACGACAACACCATCGCTCATTACACTATCTTCATCGACTTCTTCAACTACTACTCTTTCATGAGGAGTGGCAGCAACACCACCAGCGTTTACGTTATTCTGTTGATCGAATTCAGCAGCAGCAGCAGCGCCGCCACCACCATTTATATTATTATCTTCGGCGTCGACTTCCTCATCACCAGGTGCTGCAGAGGACGATGGTCGTGGTTGCTGTTGTTGAGCATCAGGTCTTGGAATCTCACGAGAGCTCTTCTCTTTGACATACTGAGTCTCTTTGACTTTTCGAGACAGTTCATGTCCATCTCTCGTTGTAACAGTCTCTGTGCGTTCGCGGCGTTGCACAATATGCAGTTCACGTCGAGGAAGCGGTTGTTGTGGATCAGCTCGAGCAGCCAGCTGTGCTTCAAGCTCACGAATTCTTTGACGTAATGCGTTCTCAGCTGCTACCTCCGGCCGTTGAAGCTGAAGGGCATTTACTTCGGCTTCTCGCTCAGCTTCTTCGTCAGCAGTGAGGAGATTTCTACCTTGGCGCTGCATATCATAGATAACCAATTGTGCTTCGTGTAGTTGCTCGACGACTTCATCGAGTCGTGTTTGCACCGTGTCTCTTTCAGCCATATATAATCTGGAAAGGTAAACGGGATAATAAGCACATTTTGCACGTCCAATTCTCTAATGGTTTTTTTAAGCGTCACAGGATCTTACCGTAAACGACGGGTAAGCACATCATTCTCATCTTCCAGCGACTTGATCTACAGTGGTAGAAGATATATGAGTGTACGTTAGTCTTAAATGTCCTCCACCTCGGTAAAAAAAATGCCGTCGCAGAGGGTGAAATAATCTCACTCACCCGAGACGTCAAACCATTCGCAGGCGTTGGCACAGACGAACTAGCAGCTGTAGGTCGACGGCCAGGATGCACTACTACTGCATCAGCATCACGAGCTCGAGCTTTACCCTTTCCGGCAGCCCTCGTTTTTTTTTGGTCCAGAGTCCTGAAATTGTATCCATCTTCAGATTCCTCCTCCTCGTCAGCTTGATCTCGGTCCGAGTCTTCATCACTACGTTCGGATGAAGATACTGCTTGAATTTTACGTTTTCTCTGTAGTGGTGGCACAGGTGTATTAGATGGGGTATGGGATGGCGGTCGAGTCACTCTTGACTTTTTCGTATTCGGTGCTGGTGTGCGAGTCCTTTTAGACAGTTTGGATGATGAGGGTTTCGATTTAGTACTTGTACGGGCTTTACGTCGAGTATTATGTGGACCCTTGGTGGATTCAGGTGTTGTTGAAGGTGTTACAATCCTTGGTGATGGTTCATTTACTCGTCGTTTCTTGGCCGGACGTTGTGCCACTGCAGCAACGTCATCGTCTTCAGAAGAAGCCGATGCACGCCTAAGAGCTGGTTCAACCAAATTGCGCACAGCTTCCTCTCGTTCACGTTGGGGTCGGTCCATTATTCGCTAAGAGAGACGAGCAAAAGTGCTAGAAGTGTCAGACGGAAGCGAATAGATAGGACTGGGTATGAAAACTTACATGACGACCAGCCTTAGACAATCTGAATCGGAGCATCTGAGGCTCTTCTGCCTTTCCGTCCTCAACCAGGCCTCTGACACTGTCCAGAATGAGTTTACCATAGTTCCTTGGTAGCCTGATTGGATCTACAAAGGTCATTCACATAGTCAATGAGATGGCCGACAAACAAGAGACCTGTCACTGGCGGATGTGAATGTCCAAGTTCAAGGGCATGAGACTCTAGTACCTTCTTCATCAGCGCGTCGTTTCTTGAGATTGGATCTCAGAGAATTGAGATGGACCAAGGAAGATTGCTTTTCTCCAAACAACTTTTCAACAACAGCAATGTCAATGGCCTTTGTCATGACTGCAGAATAAAGGAAATAATCAATATCAATCTTAACCGATTGAGGTGCAAAATGTCATATAGGATGCTGTGAATATAGTAATGACATTTGCAAAAAGGATGCCAACAAGCTTTGTTGATGGAGCTTTTTTGGTCAAGCTCGATAGAATCGAAACGAATGCACTTGCACTAACCTATTCTGTATGTATGGGAGCTATTCAGATATAAATTTTAGCTTCCTTGCGTATCAGAATTCAATGATACCGTGACGCCAACAGACTCAGGCGTTTGGAAAGATTGTGAAACACGTTCGTACACTTTGACTAATTTAGGATAAGACGCGTTTAACCATGATAAGAATAAATTGCATTTATTGCATGCTATATTAGTCACGTACATGCATCAAGCCAAAATAATGTTGCAGAGCTCTTGATGCTTAACTTTGCTTAACTTTATTATCGAACTAGAACAAAGCAGAAAGCAGAACTACACTACTACATCAGACGACTACTATAACGCGTCGCCCACCCTCATACGACCCGTAAGTTGATGTTTTACAGGATTCCGTCAGAAAATGACCTGCTGTCACGGAGGAGGCTAGGAGATGGCTCCAAATGAACCTTGAATGATACTATCTTCTTAACTGAGTAGCTGAGACGCAAATATACGTGATGACGCGTAACAGTAGCGTACGATCGGTGACTGTCAATGATCTCAACTTCCAAAAAACATCAAAGAATTGGAGGTGCGTACGAGATCGAACTGCATGATGAATGGAGTCAAGCCATGGGGCCGTTTGGTATACTTGACCAATGGACCTGCCAAATCTATCGGTATGTATCCTTATATTGTTGCAGAGCTTTGAGCTGTGTCTTGTTTTCATTGCAGCTGTTTCGGTGTTGATTCTCCTTCTTGTTGTAAAGATATACGAATATCGATTTGTTTCAATTCAATAGATCTCATTAATGCCGAGTACGCGTTTGGTCGTGGTAAAGCCTGTCAAATAGTACTCGAGTAAGCGAACAACAAACAACATTTGAATCTTGACCAACATACTTGCTTCAAGTAGTGACAATCAAATGATTTCCAAACGTCAATTTGTGATTGCTTTGGTGGAAGATACACCATGCTTGATGGATGTGTCTCAGAATGGAACTCTTGTTAATGGACACGTACTCAGCAGTTTGTATTGCTGCTCTAGGTCTCATATTGACTCTTATGTCTTATAGAACATCGCAAGGCATCGAATAATTTTGACCCACGCTGCTGAGATTGAGATTGCGCCTGAAGCATATTGTAAATTGAATTCAAACCAAACAAAGGACTGCCACCTCACACACGAGCTAACTCAGCCTTTTCTACACACTACTAGTCTTTGTATTCTACCTACCAAATCAGCCTATCCCTCTTACCCTCCCACCAAACTCTCACTACATGATACTAAACACAAAGACATTGGGACGTGGATCCTTCGCAGATGTCAAGATGGCAATCGACTTACGAAGTGGTGAAAGAGTTGCTGTAAAGATATTTGATCAAACTATTACTAAAGGAGTGAATACGAAATCTGCCATGTCGATGCTGGACGTCAGGAATGAAGTGGATTTGCTCAAGGTGATGGCAATCATTCAAGTATCTGTTTTTTTGCGTATTGACTCTTATGACTCATCTGTAGAGAATTCGTCATCCAAACGTTGTAGCGATCAAGGATGTGATTCATACAACATCTCATGTTTATCTCTTTATGGAACGAATCACTGGAGGTATTGTCACGATTTACTACCGCCCTTTTGCACGCACTCATTTGACTACTCCCTAAATAGGAGAGTTATTCGACCATATTGTCAGTGGTACCGGTGTCCTAGAAGAAGCTGAAGCCAAGGTAACTCGTTGATCCTTTCAAGCATCACGCATCATTTGAAGTCGAAACTAATACATGTCGCGTCCAGTTTGTATTCTTCCAAATCGCTCGAGCTGTACACTATCTACATCAACAAGGCATCACGCACCGTGATCTGAAACCTGAAAATCTTTTATTGGGTAAGCCGCTTGACCTTGATTTTGACAACTATGATTCCCATCATCTCAAAGTTTTTTAACCGTCACAAACCTCTAGAAACGAAGCAACCATTCTCTCGTATGATATTGACAGACTTTGGACTTGCGAAAGTAAGTATGAGGAGAAATTGACGTCTTCGTTGTTGTACGATTGTCGGTCAATATCAGTATTTGAACCTTGTAGAGGTTTTTCCGCATTCATTGCTATATCGCAAGTTCCATCACGATTCCGACTCACAACTTTAACCTCCACTAGTTCCGACCACCTCTTCAACGAATGCAAACAACTTGTGGAACTTTCTCGTACATGTCTCCAGAAATGCTGACTGAGAATTCGCCTGGTGTGCCCAACACTGGATATTCTTCCAAAGTGGTGAGATGTTCTGTGGCATGCAATTACATACAAGGAGCGTCGCTGAATCAGGATGAATTAGGATTGCTGGAGCTTGGGTTGTCTGTTGTTTGCCATGTGAGTGTTTGTGCCTTCGTCGGTTGCGGTAATAATTTTGTTTTGGCTTGGCCACACTGCTTGAATGTTTACACCACTAGGCTGTATGGAGAACTACCCTTTGGACAAGACACGAATGGACACGGTACTGATCAGCTCTTTTCTCGCATTCGGAAGGGGAATTTTGAGGTGACGCCTTGGAAGCTCTACCACTCTGCATAGCATATCCCCCTCCTCCGTCTCTTATGCAAAGCTCTGGTCTTCTTTCTAGTTCCCAAACACTCGTGTTCATCGTGTTACATCACAAGCCAAGAATCTCATTGAGTGTCTACTCAAGGTTTTCAGACTCTTATCCGAGCTTGATGGCGTTCAAGTCTTTTTGGCTGCTCAAACTTTTTCATCAAAAGGTTGATCCACAAGAACGATACTCAATGGAACAAGCGCTCGAACATCCATGGATTACCTGTCAAGGGGACATTCTCAAGCAACTGTATCACCGAATGTTGAAAAAGTCTGGATGGTCTTGACCTTTCTTCTCGCATTTGCTGGTGCTTCGTAGTGGAGGGACTGTTTATGTTGTATTTTCTCGTTTCATTTGTTTATAGCCCTCACTTCATGTAGAATCAGATTCAAGATCTAACAATACACCCTCATCACATGTATTTGTTTGCATTCAACGCGTCAATATTTATTTGAGCTTTGAATTCTACCTGTCAGATCAGCGCCAATCTCTCTTGTACTCTAATGAAGCTAACGGTCGGCGAATGAAACACCAAGATAGTAAGACTAGATCAAGTCGCTGAATGTGAGGAGGGGAAGTGATATGCGAGCCACTGAACGTGCTGCTGTCAAGTTATTACATTGAATCAATCTACTGCTGCTGGGGTGAATATCAAAAGAGCCGTATAGTCAGGAACTAAACTGATTTGCTCAAGGACAATCTGATTCTTCTCTTGTGGTGTTTTGCTGACCAACCGCCTGAACGGATTATACTCTAAACGTCGGGGCCATTACGGATGTAGCTTATATGGCATATCACTGTATAACTTGTTTATGGAACAAATTACTGAAGGTATGAGTAGGCGCGGGCATGCTCGTTTTGCATTTCCTCAAGTGACATTCATCCATAGAGAAAAGCTAGTCGACCACATTGTCAGTGGTACTGATGTACCAAACGAAGTGTGCTAGGTAACTCTTTGATACTTCCAAAATGTTTTAGGAAGGCAAACGACTACTTTCGTATACATGTCTCCATAAATGCTGATTGAGAATCCACCCAACACTGGCTATTCTTCCAAAATGGTGAGCAAATCCAGGGATGTAAATGGGTATGATGCTGATCAACTATTTCCTCGTATTCTAGAGGGAAACTGGAGGTGACGCCTTTGACTTTCTATCTTCATTGTCAAGTATTTTGCTTCTTCCACATCCTCTGAGTCAAAACATCGGTGTAATCCGTAGTTCTGAGACACTCGTTGTCACTATGTTACATCACATGCTAAAAATCCTATTGTGTGTCTTCTCAAGATCTCAAAGAGAAATTTACACTTGCGCCTTAGGCCTTTTTTGCTCGGTATCCCGATCACTCAATGGATCACGCTCAAGGATGTCTATAGATTGGATTTTGTTGTGAAATTTCCAAGGAAGCTGTATCACGGAATGTTGAAAAGGTCGGGATGATATCTTGAACTTTTTGTCGTCCTTGCTCAGAAGACGTCTGATTTGAGTGGCGAGCTCTCTTCATCTCTAATATCATACCAAGATGTGAATTAGTTTATCTTCATTGATGTATTGCAAGGATTCAAAGTCTGAAATACGGGGAAAGATGATTGATGAAGACGTGGCTGCTGCTGCAACTGTCGAATGCAAGCACAGAGAAGTGCAAGCGAAGTATGACACTGTTTTGGAGCTCAATATGTACCCAAAACTGAAATCAACATTAGTAGAGAGGGCTGTTGATGAAAGTGTTCAAATGTGACTCGAGTCTTGCTATTATGATACAAAAGAACGTCCAATTTACTATAGAAGAAGAAAACAATCGTACAGTTACAATTTTTACAATTACAATAATTATGCAGAGTAGAAAGGCGTATACTTTGTTGGCGGTTTGATTGCTACGGACGATAGTCTATAGCGAGTTTTTTGGGAGGTTTGGATGGAGGAAAAGCAACAATTCTCAGTCTTACAGAGATAAATGGAGTGGCACTATGTCCAATAAAAGTGAAATTTAAGAAGAAGAACGCCTTGTGAAAGGCTAGTTCGTTCTCGATAGATTTAGAAGCGGCAACACAGCAGAATTCGCGTGCCCTGCACAGTCAGCGTTGGTTTAGTTGGCTTTTGAAGTAAAGATGCGTGGTTTAGTTGATTAGATTCGACTGCCGGTCGGAAATCAGTTGACAAAAGTATCTTAGACTCTGATGAAATTGGCCGCATTTTGTTCACAGTTCACACCGTCGTCTTTTTGGTGAACTTCACTTTAGCGATCAATTAGCACCAGTTTAGTGGGAGTTGCAACCTCCAGGCCATTATCACGTAGCAGAAATTCGGTCTTCTTTATTCTTCACTTCACAGATCACTTCTGGCTTCTTGTAATTATACATGAAATGTTCATACATTTTAGAGTACATTTGGTGGATGGACGAGATGATCAATTAACTCCTAGGTGATTTAGAATCACGCCGAGTCAGTTGCCATCTAAACGGAATTGAATGTCTACCTGATGTCTCCCATCTTTTCCATCGTCTGATTGCAACATTTCACACTTCACGATTTGCATTTTTGCTCCATCAAATTGCCAAGGGATGATCTGCATTCGAGTTACTAGTGAGCGTGAAGGTACCGTACTGTCTGTCTTTCCAAGTGATTCCGACACTAGTCAAGAAACGTTAATCACTCATTATTTTTCAAAGGCATTTCACCAAAGACATTTTCGATGGGGTTTAAATGGATGGCTGTCAAATTAAGTAAGCTAGTTTCCCATCGAGCAGCCTACTGAGGTAAAAGAAGCCTGCATCGTCGAGATCTTGTGGCATCAACAACGACAATCAAAGAATTGACAGAGCTGTGTTTCTCACCTGGTTGGTTCTCTTAATAGGCCTCCCTGCTTGAATTAAAACAAATTTAAATATGAAGTTTTCTACACCTCTACCTTCCTCGGACGCCAACCTGGCTCTGTCAAGTGTTACAAGCTCTCCAACGTTATTGTCTGTCAAAATTGGGTGTGTACTGGAATAGTGAATCTACTTTCGAATCTGATTGAGCAAAATCGCAGCATGATGGTGTGCTGGATGAATTAATGTGAAGCCTTGGAGGTGCATGCAAGATCTAGATGGAATGAATTCTGGCAAGATCTCAAGCAAACACTGGGAATCAGTCCATTTTCTATCTACATGCATCATATCTTGTGCGAGACTCGCGCTGGATGGTGTAGCTACCATCACAGTGGAGCTGTCGAGCAGAGCTTCTGTCGACTTTCAACATCATCTAAAGCCTCTTGCGCCCCCGAAGTGCTTCAAATCCTTCATGGCCGACAATTTGGTGTGAGACACGACACGGCCGATAGTGCCGTGTATAGCACGGGACAATCCTTTTGCTTGAACATTAGGTTTCAGTGACAAAACGAATCTAGTTATATAATTTGGAAGTGCTTTTGGAGAGTTTGAGGTTGCTTTACAATTATGGCTCAGGAGTCTTCACCTAGGTGCTTCGTTTCGTGAATCGTCCTGCAAATCACGTCGCAACGATGGTGGTTCAAACCGTTTGTGGGCGAAATTAAGAGCAACCTTTTCTTTGAAGAAATAAACAATGGATTTAGCTCACGGCGCCGTATTTTGTAGCTACTGCATTTTTTGCAACCATTCAGTCGATGTTACATCGCATACTATCCCATCGTTGATCTCGTCAGTTCATCGTTCAAGAACAGACGGGAGCCAGGATTGTGGAATATTCCAATTTGAGATTTTAGAGTTGCCATCAGAGAGCCTCGGAGTACATATGCTTAACCGCGAAAGTTTTGAATCTGAAATTCGCATACAAGCACGTACTCATGTGCAATCAATATTCACCTTTGCTGGATTCCGGTTCCACGAATGTCGTGTCGAATGAGCAAGTACAACAAATATGCTACTCACGGCCAAAACCATTTGCGTATAATTCTTGGTTATCGTTTGATCTTTAATTTCGAAAAAACCCCCCACGCAGTTCCAACACTCGATCGCTCACAACAAGTGACTGGTGACCAGCCTTGATACAAGCAACAATAGAACTCGCTCTACTGGTATGTCAGTTGACACTTTCGTATAGTTGCAAATCAGCTATGGAGCTCCAACACTGACACAAGAGACACCATTGTTTTTAAACCTTAGAACAAGGCAAAACAATATGAAAAATCAAGAAACTACAACTATTACAACATCATCAACGGAACCAGCTCAACCATCAACATCGTCTCCTCCTGCGTCTTCTCCTCCACACGCCAAAGACGACACATCAACACCCAAAGATCCTCAACGTGAGGATAACGGTGTAGACGACACGACGATCGCCCAAGCAGCTACTGGATACTATAAAACGCATTCTTGCACATCACAGAACGCTGCTGCTACTCCACAAGCCGAACCAGAGACATCAACACGACGAGAACATGATGTTGATGAGGGTATAGATGATACAAACCTTGCTCAATCAACTGCTGGAGGTGATATCACTGCTCCGATGGCGTCAGAGAAAGAAAATGGTAACGATGATGGACCTGTCTTGGCTGATGTCCCTCATCGTACATGGGCAGGTAATGAACGAACGTTTTGGGATCAGTCGTATCATTTTATTGAAGAATCGGTTTTTTTGTTCTTAGCTGATGTAAGGCAATGGATGGAATGTGTACCTGATGCAGCACTTGAGAAGGAGGTGGGTAATTCGTTGGGTTTGAAATATCTTTGAAACACAATGACCGATCGCTCCTTGGATTTCCTCAGCTTTTCAACAGTGTTCGTGTCAAATCGGGTTTCAAGTGAGTATAAGCTACATTATGAATCGATGTGATGCATAGATCAAGATTAACTTGTCCTTTTTTCGCCATTCTAATAGCTTCAAAGAGTACACCACCATCGATGTCAGGATCAAGGGTGATGATTTCCCAGACAAGATTGACACTGTAAGTACATGCTTAAATTCGCAATGAACATGGAAGATCTGTGCATATCAGTAGTCGGTCGCTTGAATCTCTTTGTTGGCTCTTTCGCTAGTTCGCCGGAATCAAACTACATCCTCAAATGGTTGCAAACCTGAAACTTTGCGATTATGAAGAACCAACTCCCATTCAAAAGTATGCATTGCCAATCATCAATGCTCGTCGTGACCTTTTGGCTTGTGCTCAGACTGGTAAGCTGCCCAAAAAACCCTACCGCAAATTTGTGTTCTGAAACACTAAACTCTTCGTTCTTCTCTGTAGGAAGTGGGAAAACCGCTGCTTACTTGGTACCTATCACCAACAAGCTGTTGTTGAAGGGCCAAAAGAAAATGGATTCAGGCCCCATAAGTCAACTTGGGCTTAGGTACCCTATTCCAGGTACCGTACACGGTTTTTGGAAGGTTTTTTTGCACTCCCTTTGATCCGAAAGACCTCGACTCGTACTGACTCTGACATATCTTGCACTGTATTTTCACATTAGCTCCACTCGCTCTCATACTTTCTCCAACCCGTGAACTGGCAGTACAAATCTTTCAAGAAGCACGCAAGTTTGCTTACGACACCTGGGTTCGTCCAGCTGTAGCATATGGTGGAGCAGGCACAAATCCCTTGTTGGACCCCATGCGCAAATATGGTTGTGATGTCTTGGTGGCTACTCCAGGACGACTTGCTGACTTTGTCTCGCGTGGTGTTATCACAATGCAAAAGGTCAGATTCTTGGTTATTGATGAGGCTGATCGGTGAGTTAATTAGTAGTATGGCTTGAGGCTTCGTAGCAAGTCGTGGGTATCTCTGCTCATGCTTTTTTGGTGTCTCATCGCCTTTTAGAATGATGGAGTCTCAATTTCTTGACGGAGCTTTGCGCTTCATTGTCAAAGAATCTAGCATGCCTGAAGCAGACCTGACTACCTGCATGTGCAGTGCAACCTTCCCAGTGGATTTACGAAGGATGGCCAAACAATTCTTGGTCGATCCATTGTTGGTCACTGTTGGGGCGGTTGGAAAGGTTCCTTCTGACATTGAGCAAATGGTAAGTGCCCCTTACAACGAACTTTAGTTGGGTTTGGTCAATAGAATTAAGTCCATTGATACTTAGTAAGCTCCGCTCTTGTTTTGCAGTCAGTCTCATCACACCCCTACCTAGATTCAATATGCAGAAGATGGAGAGAAGCGTGAAACCTTGATGTCCTTGTTTGAGGAAGAAATGGATGGATTGGCTCTAATCTTTGTTGCTGTACGTGCTTGCTCGCAAAGAAGATTTGGTCGCAACACGAATGATCATCAAGTTGAACAAGAGCTCAAATCCCTTTCTGATAGACCAAGATGGGAGCTGATTCCTTGGACGATTGGCTTTACAAACAAGGAGTGCCAATCACATCCATTCACTCTGGTCGCACACAAGAAGAACGTGAAGACTCGATTGCTGCTTTTCGCAAGAATAAGTGGTGAGTTAATGGTGGTCTACTTTCCGATGTACTGGAGTCGAAGAATGTTGTTTTTTGCTCATCTATCTGTCTTGTTCTAGTCCATTGATGATTGCTACTGATATTGCAGCTCGTGGTTGGGATATACCAAACGTCACTCGAGTCATCAACTTTGATATGCCAAACAGCATTGATGATTACATTCATCGTATTGGACGAACTGGTGAGTTCATGCCCGTTGTACATCCACCTCGTTTTTTCAGCTGCAGCTCTTACCCAGAATCACCCCAGGCCATACGAGCTAATCAACCACACCTCCTTCATAGCTCGAGTTGGAAACAAGGGCACGGCAATATCCTTCTACAACAATAAGGACGCCCAACTCGCTCCAGACCTCGTCCGAATCCTCAAATCATGCAACCAACCAATCCCAGACTTTTTGGCCGAAGAAGTACCCATGGATGACGAAGGCGAAGAAGGAGCCGAATCTCCTGTTGATGAACTCAAACTTGAAGATTTCGAGGAACCTCCTCCTGCAGATAATAATGCAACTTGGAGTGGATTTCGAGATCCTCCAGCAAAGGATGCTGCCGCTGCTGCTGATGGTGACGGAGGAAAAACTGGTGGAAGTGCTTGGGATGCAGGATCTACTGCTTATGCTGCACCTCAAGACTTAGTTTGGAATGGAGGATCTGAATTTTGAAAATGTCTTTTTCTTTTACTAGTCAATTCTCGCGTGTCGTCTACGAAGCAAGTTTTCTTATGCTAAAGTATGTAAATGTAGATGTATTATATTGCTGCACACGCAACAATCTTTGTATATATTTCGAAAAATACCAAAAAAAGAAAGGCTGGAACTTTTGCTACAATCATCGTGTTGTTGCTTCGCGTCTTCGTGTCATAGCGATCCAAAGGGCTTGTGCAGCACAAAAAAACATAGCTTTCTCCCTCAATGCCCCCGGTATCAGGTCGTGACGTGACAACTACAACTTTCATACTGCTCACACTTTCAACATAATCCCAAAAACCACAAATTCCATCGGTCGCTCTAACAAAATGGCAAGGAAACGACCAGCCAGCGAGCTAGATCACGAAGAAATACCCAAGGAAACGGCACAATCCACCTTCTCAAGTGATTCAGACACTGACGACGAACTATCAACCCCACAAGAATCTCAACCAAAAACATTTTCAAACCTCGGCCTAAATCCATGGCTCCTGAATTCCCTCAAGCAGTTATCCATTCAGCAGCCTACTGAGGTGCAGGATTCTTGTATTGGGCCCATCTTGCAAGGTATGTCTTTCTTGAATCAGTTTTTTTGTTGCAAAAGTTTGACATTTGGGATCAACTAGGACAAGATGTAATTGGATGCGCACGAACCGGAAGTGGTAAAACAGCTGCATTTGCGCTTCCGATCTTGCAAAAACTAGCTGAAGATCCGTTTGGTGTGTTTGCGCTTGTGCTGACTCCTACAAGGTAAGCCAAAAAAAAACTTGAAACTAGAAGATATGCTCACAATTTAGAAATAGAGAGCTTGCATTTCAAATTGCAGAACAGTTTCGGGTGCTAGGTGCTGGAATTAATCTCAAGCAGGCTGTTGTGGTCGGTGGAATGGGTATTTCAAACACGCAAAAGTTGAATGGTTTGGATGATGACTGATCCATTGTGGTTTTTAGATATGATGGTTCAAGCAATCGAGTTATCTAAACGTCCACATGTGATTGTTGCTACGCCTGGTCGTCTCGTGGATCATATTAGAAGTAGTTCTGATACTGTCAATTTGAAGAGACTGCGGTTCCTGGTACGGTATTGTTTGTTATCCACAGTCCTTTCTTTTGCCTCTGCATGTTCTAAACTCATAAATCCCTTTCAAGGTCATGGACGAAGCCGACCGCCTCCTGCACGCCACATTCGCAGAAGATCTTGCAACAATCCTCGAACACATCCCCAACAAGCGCCAAACACTCTTATTCAGTGCTACCATGACATCCGATCTAAAAGATTTACAATTCAACCTTACTGCCAAACCGTTTATATACTATAGCCATGCACGGTACGAGACGGTTGAGAAACTGGATCAGCGGTACCTGTTTGTGCCGAAAAGTGTCCGGGATGCGTACCTGGCCAGGCTGCTGAGGAATGAGTATGAGGAGAAGAGCACGATTTTGTTTACTAGCAAGTGCAGGTATGATGTCAAATTTGTTTCAAGCAAAAAAAAATCCATAAATGCTGAAAGGTAATACGCTAGGAATTGCGAGCGTCTACGCATCATGCTCCGAGAACTCGGCATCAAATGCACAGCCATGCATTCCCTCATGTCGCAATCAGAGCGTATTGCTTCGTTGGCCAAGTTCAAGAGTGGGATTGTGCAGATCTTGTTGGCTACCGATGTTGGGTCCAGGTATCTATCATTTTCCTACTATCCTTTTTTTGCATTGATTATACTCATATTTGTTTTGTTCAGGGGTTTGGACATCCCAGCTGTACAAGTAGTCATAAACTATGAGCTTCCAGCAGACGCGACAGACTATGTGCACCGAGTAGGTCGTACTGCTCGTGCGGGACGTGGTGGTATCTCGATATCCTTTGTGACGGAGCATGATATATCAGTGTTGCTGAATATTGAGCAGCGGATGAGTAAGTTGCTTCGTGCTTCTCATTGCTCGGGCGATCCTGACTTTTTTTGCACTGTAGACAAGAAATTAGTCGAACTGACGATTGCTGAAGACGATGTGCTAGATTCGCTTAACGAGGTATCGCTAGCGCGTCGTGTGGCTATGATGCAGTTGACGGATTCCAAGTTTGGGGAGAGACAAAAGATTAATGCTGAGAAGCAAAAGCTTGTCAAGGAGGGACGGGATGCGGGTGCTGACGGGCAGAGTAGTAAGAAGATTCGAGAATTGTAAAAATTGTGGAACAGAGTAATATAATATAATTTTTAATTTCGAAATTGACAGTTTTGGGAGGTGTTACCAAACACGTCAGTTACACGGCACTTCAACAAAATTAGTATCGAAAGCCAAATTTCTACGTGAATCTTATAGCATTTCCTATTTCAATGACCCTGAGAGCAAGTTGTCTTACACTGCTTTTCACAACTTGCGTACCCCAAAAAGTCCAAAACTCCAAACCCACAATACGACCCGAATCCAACGACAGGAACCACCAAAGATGGCAATCGACTATTCTGGACAAGTAGCTATAGTGACTGGAGGTAAGCAGCCTCGTCTCATTCGAACTTTGCACCTTCAGTGATGATCGTGGGCCTTGTGTTTCGTACTCCAAACGACGAGAACTTTAGCAACATAACAACTCATTCCTCATCTTCCATCTTTCTCATTTATAGCCGCATCTGGATTCGGCCGTGAACTCGTAACTCGCATGGCCAAACAACAAGCAAGGGGAATCATCCTGGTGGACATCCAAGAACACGCTGGTCAAACCGTCGAAAAGGAACTCAACGCTATGTAAAACACCTCTGAATCCATCACAGAATTCACCAGAACTCACTACCTTACCCACTAGTCGCCAAGGATGTGCCAAATTCATCCGTGCAGACGTGGCATCCCCCAAAGACATGAAGCACGTCTTTGCAACAGCCAAATCCCTATACGGCAGCATCAACATTGTGGTCCCCAACGCCGGAATCACGGAAGCCATGCCTATGGAGGACGACGATGACGACAAGTGGATTAAGGTCGTTGATATTGATTTGACTGGGGTTGTTTTGGCCACGAGACTTGCGCTGTCAGAGTGGAAGAAGAGTGGGATGGGCGGTGTTATTGTGCCGACGGCGAGTCTGGCAGGGCTATACCCACAGGCTGGTAGTCCTGTTTGTAAGTTGTTTTTGGGATGTGAAAGCGTTTCGACTTCTAACGTCTGAAGATTGTGCTCTTATTCTTCTCAAATTTTTTGGTTTGAAGATTGTGCTGCTAAAGCTGGTGTTGTGATGCTGGTAAGCTTCTCATCCATTCAGCCATACTGTGTGTGAACTTCAGCAACGGACCAAAACACTCTCATAGGTCCGATCTCTTGAAGGCTTAAAGACTCAGGGCATCAGAGTCAATGCAGTGTACGTGCCCCATTGCTTACCCCACAACTACCTTGGAATTGGGACTTACACGTCTATCGTTTTTCGCTCATTAGCTGCCCAAGCTTCTCACCAACGCCCCTCCTCTCATCAAACCCACGCAAGGACTCTAACGGCCAGATCCCTAAATTCGTACAGGACAGAATCGTTCCCATCTCGCTTGTTGTTGATGCGTTCGAAAAGGTACGTATGTATTAGGACGTGGTTGCGATGTTGGACTGACGTAGTCGGTGTTTTTCGATCAGGCGATCAAGGACGAGTCGTTGGCAGGTGCTATAATTAGGATAACGCCAGAATTCGGCATTGACTTGTATAAACAACGAAAACAGGCTAAGATTTGAGCCTTTGAATACACATTCATTTTGTCGAATGAAGGAAGATTCGTTTGGTATGTTAGATGGGGCTGTGGCGGGTTTCAAGTTTGCGAACTCTCATGCCAGGATTGGAATCCAACTCAAGGCGCAGATTGTATGTACCAGAGGTGCTCCCTGTTGTTCATTGATGGATCTGGTCAAGCATCCCTGGTCAAGCACCATGCTCTAGATCCATCCATTTCGCTATTGATGTTACTAGCTGTTCGGCTTGGACACGAGACGCAACTATGGAAAGCAACATACAAATATAATTTAATGCTCATCTAAGAAATGTTTTTTAATGGATGCTCTCTCACACAAAATGCTATGTTTTACAAATCAACACACTCTCCCTCTCCTTTAAACGCTCTCTACTTGGCAACAAACTCTCCAATATTCGACAACCAAGCCACATACTCCTTTTGTTCCTTGTACTCCAAATAGTTTGGTATAAAGTCCGCCAATGTTGGATCAAATCCACGTTCTTCAAGATACTTGTGGAAGAGATCTTGCAAGTCCTACATCAAAAAAAAAGGATTAAAAGGTGCAAACATATGTTTCTCAAACACTGACCAATTACCTCATCCAAGTCAGCAAAAACAGGCCCACCATAGCCTCCACGTCGCTGCCAATCACCTTCAGCAGATTCGTCATGGGCTACAGAGCTTGAGCGGCGGTATGACACCGAGTCGATGAAAAACACATCGTCTTGGACGGTTGCGCTGACTTCTATGGCGCCGCTGTCTGTCGAGCCGGCTTTCTTGTCGATTATGATTGTGACGGGAATGGAGAGGGACATGCCTTCTGTTTCTGCTTCTTCTTTCTAATGAGGCGTGCGAGGGTTGTAAGTTTCTTGTTGCGTGAAGCCATGATGCAGGTATGAGAGAACGTACTTGGCCTTCAATGGAGTCTTCCATCATTTCTTCGTCTTCTTGGGCGAGTGCGTCGGTGCTGAAGATGACGGAAATTCTAGCAAAAGTTCAGCAAAGGAAGCGTTCGACTTTCTTTCATGGACTTTCTAGGCAACAAACATACTTTTCATTGCCAAATGCACGTGTAAGAGCGACTTCCTTGTTTCCTGGCTTGTCTTCAATCTACAAGATATTCTTTCTTTAGAGCTTTTCGTTTTTTTTGCGTGTGTTGCAAGCAACCCTATACCTTGAACGTCCCCAAATCCTGAAACGATTTCAAGAATGGAGGTAAAGCCTTTTCTTCATTCTCCTTCTCATACTGTAACTCCTCCTTGAGCTTGTGAGATAAATCCTTGTCCACTAGCGTGGCAGAAAAAAGTGAGATATGATGTTTGGACGATCTAGCAGCCATCACATAACAAAACTAGCTCGGCATATCATAAGCCTGTAATTTGATGCAAAATAAATGTAGATCTATGTTGACATGTACCTAACCCATGACTGAATCGAACCATTGAAGACGTTGGAGCGAGTAAAGAAGGCATTGGAGCCATTCGAGATACAGAGACTCGGGCGAGAGCATATTGAGAGCTGGACATCCGGAGGCATGATAGAGTACGAGCTGCTCGGAACATGGTTTGCTCTTACTAGCTACTAAGCTGCGATTGAGTTTTTTTTTTTTGAAGTTGACACGTTGATGTGAGAATGACAACTAGTTAAGTCTGATACTCTAACATCGCATGTTGAGATTTCGTGAGCTTCAACGCTTATTAAGTCAACTATTGCATCCTTCTTGATGGACAAACGCGAAACCCTGTCCCATAAACGTTTTGGCACCATCTCCATGTGTTGCTTAGAAGCAGCACTACCAGCATAACGGAATGCGTGACATACCTCAAAATCACGTACTTTAACTCTTTTTCTGCTTCCGACATCACAACAAAATTGTCGAAAACGGTATCGTCAACTCGTCACAGAAATCCAACAAATTCAATACGGATTGGTAGCGAGGGCCTGTAGGACCAAGTGCCAGGCATCCAGACGACTATATAGATAACGCATAATCATGGACGTTTCCTCAGCTTACCAAAGGCGGCCTCATAGTCGTCGAATACAGGCAAGCTCACCATTTTGGATTTGGAACATAGGTCACCTACTTTAGCAAGGGAGAGAGAGGACCGCTGAGTGTCCATCGCTACCTCCGCTTCCATACATCCTATCCTACGGTTATGATGATCTATATCTTATCCATTTAGTCCTGTTCGTTGTCCTTCAGTGTATACTCCTTTGTTTGTAGTTTGTAGACAACCTAACGGATGGGAGTATTATCCCAACCAAAGAGACCACGAAGCTTCGATTCACGTGCTTTCAAGAAAACGATGCGACACCTTGATAGTCATCAAAGTGTTTTGCGAGCTCAAATTTCAAATGTCAACGCGTCAAAATTCCCAAAAAACACTCCAAACTCGAAAGCATCAAACAAGGCCCTCATTGGAGACCAAGGACATTTACTGAAGACTTTGATACTGGATTTGCACGATCATGAGTCGACAAGAATCAGCTCCTGGAACGAAATGGTATGCATATCTGTCTGTTTCACGTGTCTATTTGAAGAATGGCGCATGGACACCGTACGCTACTATGACAAGTCATTCCAAAGTGTCGAATGATGATCACTATTCATCAATTCATGTTATTTAATGTATTTCAAGTGTCTTTTGTCTTTCAAAGTTATGTTTTTCTGTTTTGACATCTTGCTCCATTTTGCGAGAACTACCTCACTGACAATCCTATTTTCCCATTCATCAAACCAGTTTCGTGGGGAATCTCTCCTGGAGTACTGAATGTAAAACCAAAGCACTTTTTTGGAAATGATTACTCCCAACCACTTGACGTTTCACATTCAACTGTGATTTTGCTCCTTTTTTTGGGTCTTTAGCTGATCATCTCCGATCTGCATTCGAACCGTACGGAAACGTCACAGACAGCTTTGTACTCAAGGATCGTGAATCTGGTCGCAGTCGTGGATTTGGATTTGTGACCATGTCGACTCCTGACGAAGCAAATGCTGCCATCAGGTGTGTTGATTACCTTTCAGGTTCATTACAGCAAAGTACTCATCATTCTACTGAAAGCGCATTGAATGAAACGGATCTCGATGGACGGTATGTGCCATGCATGAAAAGCCGTTTTTTTGACATGAGTGATGACATGTCAAACTCATATTTTCGGTATCAATCGCTATACGTTTCTTTAATACCATTCATATACTATGATCGTCTAGAAACATTCGTGTCAACCTCGCTGAATCTAGTATGACATTATTAATCATCAACATCAACCGTCATGATTAATTCACCTTTGAGCTAAATCACTCCTTTGTTCTCGACTAGCTCCTCGTGGAGGTGGAGGTGGTGGATACAGTGGTGGTAGTGGAGGTGGAGGTAATGCATTCGTTCTGCTCTGTTGATGTCTTTCTCAGTCGAATGCCTTCATGATTTGCATGTGCACCTAACACAAATGATTCTCAATTGCATTAGGATACGGTGGTGGAGGTGGAGGTAATGCATTCTTGCGGCTTGGTCGCTGCTTTCTTTGCAATCGAATGCCTTTATGATTTGCATTTACACCAAACACTAATCAATCCCTTGCATTAGGATACGGCAGTGGTGGAGGAGGAAACTATGGCGGTGGTGGAGGAGGTAATCGACTGGCGTTCTTGCCTCAACAAACGCTCTGCATCTTATCTCTACCGTGTCACTCTAAAATAGGCTACCAACAACGAGGATCCGCTTATGGCAACTACTGATTCTCCTCTCTGGTCTGTTCTCTCCCCATTGTTGCTAATTAAAAAATGTTGAGGCTAGGGTATGTTTCTTGTTGCTTTTCTTATATCATGTTATATGATTCGAGGATTGTGGATTGGGAGTGTTGCAGAAAAGCTAGTACCAACTTGTATATTTCGATATGTAAAACCTGCATCGTCTGATAAATCGTGTTTGTGTTTTCAATGCGATGGCACTTCTATCTTGATATGAGATAGCAGGCTACAGTAAAGTGATAACGTAGCAGGTCGCAAAATGGTAAGGGAGAGTAAAATTCCCAAGACTACATTCCAAACCCCAACAAAGAGAGAAAAATGACTATATTAAACCTCAAGGAGAAACAATCCCCAAACATATCAATGGATACTAATATATAACTACACCACAAGAGAGTCCTTCAAAAATGCTTTTACACCCTTCCTTTTCGATCTTTACACCCAACATGTCATCTATCTTACACCCTTCTAATGACAAACAATCTGTCTTCTCCTAACAGGTTCTTGTTCCCTAGTATTGGGAATACCCAACAGCACCACGATGAGCAGCTTGCTCTAACTGGTGTTCCAGCTGTTTTATACGTTCAGCCATATCTCGCTGGGTACGAGACAAGACCGTTTTTTCATTCTCTAAGACAGCGACACGGGTAATCAATCTCGAGTTATCGGTTTCTAGTTCATTGACTCTTGATTCAAGGGTATCCATCTTGGCGAGTTTACGTTGTCGTGACCTTCGAGCTGAAAAAAGGCAGTACAGGCTTTGTCAGAGGCTTGCCAAAACACCTTCATATGAAACAACACTTCAAAAACTTTAAAGACATGATCAAAAAAGCTCACCAGCTTCAGTATTCTTGAGCCTCTTCTGCGTCAGCGGATTACTATTCACACCAACAGACTCATCGTCCGAATCATCAATCACTTTACTTGAATTATTCCTTGTGGTCCTGCCCACAGGCACAGGTGGGAAATTAGCTGGTCGGGCATTGATAACAACACCACCTCGTGGTGCTTGTGATGGCGTCTCTGCCTCAGGCATTATAGTCAGATGGACTTGAGATGATTTTGGCATGTTTACGTGATAGTCTGTCATCATCATTCCATCTGCTGGTCTAGGTGGTGGAGCGTGTTGAATTGGTGCTGATGATGTTGACTGTTTACGTGATGGTATTTGTTGCTGTTGATGTTGAGGTATCGCTGCGTTTGACGGTATTGGTGCTGGAGGTGGAGCACGTTTGGGATCTAGTTGGTCTGATGCCTTCCTTTTACTCCTTGTTCTGTTGTTGCTATCGTTATTGTTACTGCCTTCACTCATATCGTGTTGAGCCTGCTGTTGCTGCTGTCGAGGACGACTTTCTTTAGGTTCAACCTTGGGAAGAACCAGACCTACTGAGCTCCTTCGACGCATATAATGCGATGATGGAGCAGGCGAGTCTAGACTAGACTCAAATAACTCAAAATCCGGGTAATGGAATGCTGGTGGGGCTGGAGCTATGTGACTATATGGCAGGATGGTTTCAGATAGAATCATGGGAGGGAGAGACACAGTGGTGCTGATTGGACCCGAAGATGATGGTATATTAATGGATCCGGTTCTGGGTATAGTATGGATGCTAGTTGTTAGGGGCAAAAGCGCGTCGTGATGCAAGCCGAGCAGAGTGTCATCCTTCACTTCTGTCGCTGGCGGAGATGGAAATGGCGATTCCCAATCTAATCAGAGCAAAATTGTAAGCGAATCCGTTTTCGAGAACCTGGGGGTGTATATCACCACCACGCAAACTTTTTCTCGGCCTTCTACAACTCACTCCGTCGCAAGACCGTGAGACCAAGACCAGCATTTGCCGAATCGTCATGCATCGGGCTAGCCGAATCTGAAGTTGACGATCCATAATACGAAGCCGGAGACGTTCGAATGCTTGTTCTACTGGTGGTCTCATGTACTAGTGGGTCGGGATGAGATGCGTGCTGAAGTGGGGTATGCTGTGTATGGAGAGAAGCCAAGAATCGATCGAGGTCATCCTCATTCAAGTCTGCTAGCGGATCATCGGTATTCAGACTGCCGACAAATTCTAAATCTTCAAAAGTCGGAGCAATGTCATATGGAAAGTAATTGTTGTTCAAGTGTCGATGAGGCATAGCTAGATGTGGATTATAGATCAGCTCATTATTCGATTACAACAGGTTCTATTCGATAGATAGGACATACCGTTTTTTCTTTGCTCGTCCCAATTTCCCAAAACCGAAACGGCAGTTTAGTTTTTAGCGGCTATGTAGTGAGTACTATTGCAATTAGCTGTCTAATCTTTGCTCTATTACGCTCTTGGTCAACTGGGTCTGCAGCCCTTTTAACAGAAAACGTGACAGTGCATTTTTGCAACTTCCAAGGTCGTCCAAGGTTGACCAAATTTCTGAGATTGCGATGCTTACCCCTGCAGATGGCGACAATGATCGACAGAACTTGAACTGACACGTTCGTTTGCTGAGTATCTCTACGAACTCTGCGAATTTTTTGATCAGGTGGAGAAGAACAAGGCCGTGATGTAGAAAAAGGAAAGTTTGTTAGGTAACAGAACACCCTAGGGGCTTAATCAGAGCCTTTTCCAACCCAAAAGGGTGGATTCCTCTGTGGGTTCTTGACTGCACTCTTCCGTTCCGGTTTGTAAAATGTGTCTCTGTGTGTATTGATCGCCTGACACTCGACACTACTCAAATTCAAGAGTTCCAAAACATAAAATGTTTTAAAATGGTCATCAGAAAGTTGTATTTGGAGGTTTGGTGCTCGACACCACCCTCAGACTCGAAAGAAAAACTCATAATTATGGATTTATTTGAACACCATGCATTGTCCAGCAGGAGATGCAGAAGCAGCAGGGGATGCACGGGCTGCAGTTCCAGAACCTCCTGATCCGGCAAAGCAATCAGTACAGATCTTTTTACCAACTTGCAGGTTGGTACAGTCGATAAAATTGTTATAGACTTGTTGGTTGAAAGAGACCAACTTGTCCGCAGGGTTTGGCTATTGGAAAAGTGTTTGATTTTAGTTCAGGACCCGTTGGTGTAACAAAACGATTGGAATTTTGGTAAGTTACCCCTTGCTCATCAAACTTCACTGCAATCTTAAAGCAGTCATCACCAGGTTGCGCCTAAGAGGAAGAACTAAGTTCCGGTTTCACAGGATTTCTTTCACGAGCCAAGAGAAGAGCCTTCATACCTTGTAGATGTTTGTGCAGTTGGCCAATGGATTTGGACAACCACTTGCACCACAGACACAGAGCGTGTTGTTAGGATAGATAGTCTGGTCGATTTTTAAACCAGGGTTGAGAGGAACTATTCAAAAAATGATTCAAGTCAGACTGATGCTTGTTGCGATAATGACCCAAACGTTTGTGTGTAAGTACCCAGATCAGAAGCGTTTTTCAAATAAAAGTTCTGAGAAATGTAATCTAAGGTGTTACCGGGCTGAACAGTATACATCTTGCCCTGTTTATTATCGAGACAGAGAGAGAGTCAATACTATGTCTTGCTCGAATCATAGACAACAATTTCCGCACAACATTAAATAACATACGCAATTTGTGATAGGTTTGTAAGGACAATCGTTGGTGGTATCATCACATCCTCGAGCACTGCTGATGGCCAGAGCGATAATAGCAATGTAGACAAACCAGAAGTTAATCTTTGGAGCCATTCACAGAGTCGATTTCTTGTAGCTCCCGATTCGATCTTGATCACTAAGATGCCGACGAAGAGCCCTGCTGAGAGCTTGAGGAGCTTGGTAGGCTTAACTTTACGAGTTCAAAGACAGGGTGTAGCTTGTGATGATGTTATGAAGAAAGTTGCGTTGCACATCATGCAAACCAAATTCTCGTTTGTAGATCTTTGGCACATCTTGACCAGATAAAGGTGATCACAAGAGAACGTAGAGCATACAGGGTAACGAGGATGAGTTCTAACTTGACGTATAGGGAATACCGAAGACCTCCACGATTCAACTACGAAATCTGTCAATTCACAATGCAGCTACGACCATTATTCACCACTTTCCGCATTCTTAAAATAAATCCCATTCTCGTCCAATTCTGTCCACTTCAACCGCCTGTCCAAAGAAAACACCACACAGTTCATTGTATGAGAATCGTTTATATTCTTGTGTCGATTTATAATCTTGGCTTGTAAGAAAACGAGAGGAGCCTAACCCAGACAAAAACAACATCACTCTTATATACATTTTACAGAGCAACAACGATCATCACACCAAGACAGATGATCGATACAGCACTGAGACCAGCTCGAGTAGCAGAGTTTGCTCGCACTTGAGGCAGAGCACCAGTAGATTGAGAGACAGGCACGGGCACCTGAGGTACCTGAGTTTGGAAGAGTACCTGTTTGGCTGTTTGCTGCTGTGGTGTTGGCAATGGACCGGATACGATTGTTCCAACTGGAGACGAGCTAGGCAATGGAGAAAACAGTCCTACAGGTGGTAAATTACCACCACTATCACCGCCAGAAGACGGACTGGGCAGTAGGGGCAGTCCAGTAGCTGGGGCGCCGCCACCAGCAGCGTTCGGGCTAGGAGGGCCACCACCACCAACAACTGGATAGGGAGACACATTCGGAGATGCCAGGCCACCACCGACTACCCCGCCAGTAGCTTGTGGTCCGTTACCAGGGCCTATAAACGAATCGAAAAGATATCATCAGACGCCGGTTCTCAAACAGCAATCTCGTTGTATTGAACTCACCATAACTACCACAGCCACCTCCCACGCAATTAGGTAGACTAGATGGAGTAGATTTGGTGCTATTGAGGAAGCAGTCCACACAGATGGATTGACCGACTTGCAAATTATTGCAATCTATTGGAGTTCCAAGGGCCTTGTTGAGGTTTATCAACTTGGTCGCTGGGTTGGGTCCCTGGTAATCAAAATGAATGGCTGTGTGACACCATGGATAGTTGGTTAGTGTTCAATCATCAGCGAATTTTCATCTGGGTCTTACCGATATCAAAGCAAGTATCATTGTACTTGACTTGGTATAGCTTGGAGCAAGTTGGTGCAGGACGAGGGGATGCGAGAGCACCAGGTCCACACACACAGACTGAGTTTCCAGGCTAGTGTAAGAGTTTCATTAGTTTTGTGTTGTAACGTGGATTTCAACCAAAAGAAAGTCATTGAAAGACGGGTCGAAAGGATTTCAGAGTCCTTAAGATACTTACGTAGATGAATTGTGACAATATTAATCCAGGGTTCAGAGTTACTGAAAGGATGTGGAGAGAAGAAGGTCAGACTTTATTCCAAGATGAGTGGAGGTTGGAACACTGTCTGACTCACTAAGATCTGACGCATTAGCCCAGCCATATCTCTGAGCAACCATGGTAAGGGTATCTCCTTGCTGGATAGTATAGTTGGCCACACTACATTCATATTGTGTTAAGAAGTTGTGCGGCAGTGGAACTCGAATATGCCAGAAGGACGGATTCTGCTTCGGATAAAGGACAAGGATCAAGCTTCTCCATGAAGCATAAAGCTTACCAGCCATCAATGAGATGGAACGGACACGTATCTGCTCCTGGACCGGTACAGGCCAGCGCTGCTGGAACGACCAACAGCACAGAGAACTTGCATAAGATAGAGAAACCATTTAGAGATTGATATGCATGCAGAAAATATGCACGAGGCAGAGAAATCCAATAGCAAAGCAATGCTTCCTCTTGGCTCCACAACTTACTAAGGCCAACCAAGAGATTTGTGATCTCATTTTGCGATAGAGCAAGTGTTTTCAGTTGAAGATGATGGTTCAACGAATGGAAATGATTTTCGTGCTTTTGAGTTCCTGCACCAAAAGCCTCTGATTGAATGGGGGCAGTGAAGTTCGGATTTGAGAAATGTTGTGTATTTAGAATCGGGTCTTGTAGTGCCAACTTCCACCTGCTGAATATTCTTCTGAAAGCCTTAATCATTGCGAGAAACGCGTTACGAATATAACATTGTGATGGCCTTCAAAGTGATTCTCGGCCGAAACTGTGACATGAGTTGTTACATTGATTTCACCATCCAACATCAATAATGAAACGAGCTCCACTAATAGCGAGACAAGTTATACGTGCATACTCTAGCACGGGTCAAAATGTGCCTCCATTGTCTTCTTCATCTTCATCGACAAGCAACAAACTAACACCAGAGCAACGTTCAAAGCTCATAGCAATGTTGAGAGTAGACCATGCGGGTGAAATAGGAGCTGATTTCATATACAGAGGTCAGTTAGCTGTACTGGGATCCACTTCTGATGCTGGAAGAACAGTCAAGGTAATCATTTGAACATTTGGATGATCGATCAAACACGTTATTACAATCAGTATCATGAAGCTAACTTTTATATTATCGTCGTAGAGAATGCACGAACAAGAAGAATTGCATCTGAAATCCTTCGATACAATTCTCGCAAACAATCGAGTACGTCCATCTGCACTAAGACCTCTTTGGGAAACGGCTGGTTTTGCTATGGGTGTTGGTTCTGCACTACTGGGTAAAGAAGCTGCTATGGCTTGTACTGAAGCTGTCGAAACGGTTATTGGTGAACACTACAACGAGTTGAGAATAGTTTGACGTTGTGTGGTGGAAGCCCGTTGCTGTGGAAGCCGTATAGCTAACACCCAAACTATACTAGTCAATTGAGAGAACTGCTAAAGATGGAAGGCAATGAAGATGTTGCCAAGTTGCAGCAAGTCATCAAAGATTTCAGAGATGATGAACTTGAGCATTTGGATACTGCCGTCAATTACGATGCTCATCAAGTACGAGCTTGCGCATTCCCAATCATACGTTGACAGCGCAACAGCTTAAACCCTTATATTCTCCATGTAGGCTCCATTGTATACCCCACTTACAGCAGTCATCAAACAGACGTGTCGAGTGGCCATCTGGGTTGCTCAAAGGATATAGCCTCTGCATGAACAAACCACTTATTGTATAGATCTCACTGCTATTATAATCTCCTGTCTATCGAACGATGACGATGGTTGGTGATTATAAAACGCAGATGTGTATCGTTGCTACGTCACAAACCCACTGTAGAGCTAGAGCAACTTGGACTGATCTCGCATTCTCATTACGTTCAAAGCGAGTTGAAGCCATTATGTAGTGTTCCTGGTATCGTTCAACACTGTAACGGTTATAACTTCAAAAGTTCAGTCTCAAACGACTATTACGCGGCAAATCAGATTACTGTCGATATTGTAGTTCCAACCCATATAAATTTCTCGTGGGGTTGGAGTTTTCGAGCTTGGCACCTTCGATTTTGATCACTTGGACACTTTAGTACAGGCGAGCTTCCAAGAATGAATCGTGACTTTAATGATTTAGAGAGCTGCTTGTGAGCTCGTGTATATCTGAAGGGATGTATTTCGGTTTTCAACCCTGTACGCATCGTCAAAGCAAAAACTTTACGAACATCAATTTTTTTGTTGGAGACAAAACACCACGACTCTTTGTTAATGGACCTCCGTCTGCCAGTACCCGTTCTGGATGGCATCATCGAGTACACGAACAATCGGAAGCTTTCTACTCAGCAGCTCTCGTGTCCAAACAATGGAAAATGGCAGCAATTAGAAAGATGTATCGTATCATAAAGTCGACACCGATAGTCTTGCCTTTGTCGATTCCTTCATCTGGATGCTTGACGCGTCTGCCCATAACCCAATGTACTCTCAAAAGCCATTGACTATTACGAAAAGTCTCACGGCACAAGCCGTCTCAGTTGGGAGGTGCCTGTCATATGCTGGGACGAAATCTCATGTCTTAGTGTACAACTTTACAGGCTCTCGACATAAAAAATGACCAGCTCGCACTATTGGACTTCAGTATCGCCAACTCTGGAGGCATTGACGTTACGTAAGAAAGATGTAGGAATTGCAGGGTCAACATCGCCTGAAGATTGGAGCGATTTGCCACCAATCACCCGAACGTACAGAAGATCCAACTGTATCGTTCCCCTCCATCAGAAATAAACCAAGCTTTGAGTATATGGTGTCTTGTCGAGTTTAGAAGCTTCAAAGATGGATTTGATAGCGTCGGATGGGCAGCATTAGTAAAAGGCAGCAAAGACTCCTTACGGACGCTATACATCTCCCAACATGAAAGCCGCTATCTCGTGTACCGAACACGGCACATTCACTAATACAAATAGTGTAGTATTTGACGTGTGGATTTGCCTTCTGGATTCTTCCAATCTTTGGGCAACTGTCGCCTGGTTTAAATCTCAGATTTGTGTCACGGATGGTCGCGGCAGGTGAGACTCCATGATTCCTTTGAATTCAAATGTTGTTTGCTGATTTCAACTGCTAATGGATCTAGAACGGGTGCTGGCAACGTCTAGTGCTACCTTCAAGAGCTTAAGAGGAGCATGATGGAGCCAGTCCTCGAATCCCCGATATTTTTATATCATGATTTCCCAATGCTGAAAGCGCTCTGTATATCCGATAATGCCACCATTTCTGACGGGCTACTCATGAGATCAACTCCACTAGGCAGCGTCACCTTCTTTAGTCTCGACGTCGAACAACTTCAAAGGCAATTGGATTACGGAGCTCTTTTAACGTCATGCCAAGTCTACAGGGTATATTCATCGATTCAAATGCTAGGTTCGCTATCCGTTGTAGAGTCGTTGAGGATTTGGGGCAATGCGTTGATGGCGGCGTTTTCACTGAGACCGCCAACATCTCCAGAGTTGGCACTTGACGGAATGGGTGGGTGTACATTTGTTGTTTCAGACTAGAATTGCTAATGGGCTGCCAAAGGACATTGATGGACAAGGAGAACAGTTACGTGAACGTATAACTGCTGCTACCAGTGGCAAACTAAGAATTGATGAGAGTTGGGTTTGCCGCAGAGGATGAAGCCCTAGTAGATTCTATAACAAGGGAAGCAATATGTAGGATGATAGAGATACATAGATTGGTATTGAACAGCAGTTACAAGTAAGCATGGCGCTGGTGCTCGTCATTGAATTTCTGCTTGTCTTTCATACCATGGCTCTCTGTACTGCTTTCAGGAGCTAGAGTCAAACATTGGACAGCACCACGAGTGAATTCGTACCTTTTGCCACAAACCGTCTATCGGTGGCTGTTGAAAGCATCGCAAAGGATGGTTGAGAAGGGGTTTTGGCATGACATAAGGAAGTTTGAGAGAGGTAGGTATAGCGTTCTAGGCACAAGCGTTGCAAAGCAGAAGGATGTATATATAGTATAACACACCAAAGTGTCATTATATAGCACAGTGAATATCTATACAAGAAGTGATTCCTTTCAATAAGTTACTGTTCAACTGTGACAACCCCTATTATATAGTCTCCATCATGAGATATAGACAAGTGTGTATTCTTGATTGCAAGTTCCGACACTACAGATGCTGAAAACTCGACTTGAGGTTTTCCTATTTGGAAATAAAGAGATTTCAACAAGAATGTTCGGTCTTGGTTTCATCTTTGTTACCCATGATCTTTGTGATGGTGACCTCATCCCATGCGAGCCTCTTGTGAGGATACACAGCTTTGAATATGGCTTCTTTAGCTACCCATCTGGGTCATGAAAGTGCTGCATCAGAAAGAGCTTTTGCATTCATTTTTTACCCTTCAACGCGAATAGCAAAACATTCAACGATTGCGTACCTTAAACTGAGCCACCTGACAACATTGCTCTCGTCTTTGTCTAATTTGATGGTGTTTTCAGTAGAGACCCACGTCCAATTGGGGGATAATAGTCGTTGATTGTCAAATGTTGGGAATAAGGTGATGAAGCTTTCCCTCTCTGATTTGGACAGGATGTGAGATGCAAGACGGTATGGCGCGTGTCTTCGTAGCAGGGAGATCATTCGTGGCATGTAGAGAATGTCGGTTCCTACTCCCAGTATGGCCATTAGTTGCAAGTTGCAAGTATTTGGGTGGTGTTTTAAGAAGAGGGAGAGACAAGAGACAAGAGAGAGTAACTAGGGTAGAGGGTGGTGGATTGCCTGCTGCATTATATCACAGATACTCCAATGTATAGATCCAACGGTGTACGCACGATGATGCAATGCTTCAGTGTAGGTTTACATTTGCAATTTTTGAGCCTCAATTGCCGCTGATTAGCCATTGCGAGCAAGGAGAGATCATTGGGATAATGCAAAGCTTTTATCAGATCTAGTCGTATCGTATTGGAATGAGCGATCGGGCGCGTATACGAGAAGCCAGCGCAACACCAAAGCTTAAACCGGCTGGCTGCGACTTCTTGCATAGATTTGCGGTTTTTGACCATCGCGTTAGATCTGAGGGGAATCTTGAGCTTTAAGGTTGTTGATACACGAGTACATGATCATCCCGACATTCTGGGGGTCCTCCGAAGTTTCTTTCCTTCATTCTCTCGCCCCTTCGACCATTCTGCTCCAAACACAGCAAAAGGTTGGTGGGTCATTTGTAGAGCATTCAGCCCACACTGGCAGAGAGGGCCAGAACGACATAGTCCTGGTCGCAATACTCATATTATCCATTAATCTATCGCACAGTTGCGCCAATGACCACCGCAACGGCAGCGGCTGCTGCCAGTCGAGCTAGTGTAGACAGTAATCGCTCTGCCAGCTCAACAAGCACAGCTGGCACCAACGGCAAGAACTCTCGCCACTCCATTGGCCCATGGTCTCTACTCAGGACGCTCGGCGAGGGAGAATTTGGTAAAGTAAAGCTTGCACTTCACCAGGAAACTGGCAAGGAAGCTGCAATCAAGCTCATAAAGAAGGAATCTATTGAAAATCCTACACGCAGAGCTAAGCTTTTACGTGAAATCGCAATCCTAAAGGCCGTAAACCATCCCTACATTGTCAAGCTATTTGAAGTTATCGAAACAGACACTCATATCGGAATCGTCACAGAGTTCGCCTCCGGAGGCGAAGTATTTGAATATATATTGGCTCATAGATATCTCAAAGAACGGGATGCTTGTCGCTTCTTTTGTCAGCTGATTAGCGGTATGTTATTGATTTGATATTTGACCACCCTGTAGCTTTGCAGTCGGACTTTGACCAACACCTCGCTCCAATGCCAACCGCAACGTGCTCACTCGCTCATCCTACATAGGTGTAAACTATTTGCACCATTCCCACATCGTGCATCGAGACTTGAAACTGGAAAACTTGTTGTTGGATGGACAGCGGAATATAATCATTACAGATTTCGGATTTGCACATAGAGCAGAGAAGAATTTAGAAGCATTACTAACTACATCATGTGGAAGTCCATGTTATGCTGCTCCAGAGCTCGTTATCAGTGATGTACGGTCACAGATCAAAGTTTTTTCCGTCTGTCAAACCTCGAGTCATTCACTGACACGCCACTTTTCCCATTAGGGATATGTGGGAGAATCGGCTGATATATGGAGTTGTGGAGTCATTCTGGTATAGTTCTTTCTTGTTCTTGCGCGATCTGTGTGCTGATATTTAACATGTCGAAAAAACACTAGTATGCCATGTTATGTGGTTATCTACCATTCGATGATGATCCAGCAAACCCTGATGGCGATAACATCAATCTTCTATACAAGTATATATTAGAAACCGAGCTAGACTTCCCTGAATATGTTGGATCAACAGCACGATCACTGCTGAAACGAATGCTCGTGCCAGACCCAAAGAGGAGAGCAAAGATACAGGAAATCATGGCGCATCCATGGGTACAGCCCTTTGCATACATATTTTCTGAAACGCCTGTTAAAGTAGCAGACCCACTTATGGAACCAGAATCGTTTGTGGAACGTATTCCATCACCATCACCAAATATTGACGAAGACATGATTGAATCCTCAGATGTCGAAATGACGACTGCTGTACCTGATTCGGATATTGTAGCTGCTGAACCATATGTAGAAGCATCAGCCATCACCACAACGACAACGACAACTGCTGCTACGACAACGGCCAAAAAGCCAACGACTTCAAAGGACTCGACTTATTTATCACGAGAAGATTCCTCATTAGAAGATTCAAAACGATCATCTGTAGATAATAAAGCTGCCACAACAACCACAATAGCATCAATAACTAATAATACTTCCAATAATAATAATCCTGTGGCACCTCCACGGTCAACCACTCTGCTACCCATCGCTGCAACAGCTTCTTCAGTGGCCGTTGCAGTCGGAATCGCTTCTGCTGTCTCATCAACATCATCAACCACTACCAACACCAATACATCAACCACAACATCCTCTGCAATTAACTCATCAATATCATCTGTACCAGTGAGAAAAGTACCACCACCAGTGGTACCAGCTATAGACGAGTCTGTTTCGAAAAAGAAACGGACATCAGGTGTGTTGAAACCAAATGTGGTTTCACCTATTAGAAATCCACAAATAGTTACCGACGAGCTGGAAAAGCGACGCATGTCGGCTCATTACAATGACTCGGATGCTAAAAAGGCGAGAAGGGATGTACAGTTCAAAGAAGGAGGCGCTGGCGCTTCTGAGGCTGAACCTACGTTTGCTGAGATTGCCGCTACTCGTAAGAGGTACGATTGTTGTGTGTATATGACTGTGGAGAGAGCATTTGAATTAAGGGCTTAAAAGGGAGCTGTCGTATTTCTAATGAAGGGACCATAACCTAACCTCTCCATTCTCCACGACAGTTTCGATGTTCGAAAACTCGTTAATGGTGGAACAGAACTACCTGGTAAACCACCGCAACGTGGTGTATCCTGGTTTAGAAGGAGACCTGGTCCAATTCCAATACGTAAGTTGGAAATAAAGTTACTGTTCCATTCCTGTTTTTGCTCAAATTATCCCCTAACACTTCCTTTCATAGCCGAGGACGAGGCACCACCTCCACTGCCAACACCAATACCACCACTGCCGCGAATGTCAATGATGACTGCCCGAACAGCCACAGGCCCCATCGCATCCTCAGTCCCCTCACAAAACCTCCCACCACCCAGGCAAACATCCGTACCCCAACAACAGCAAACAGCATCTTCCATAGCTGCTATTGAAGCATCCCAACCACGATACCACTACGGCGTGATAGATCGCCGAGCACTGACTTCCAAACAACCGAGACTGCAAATCGCTGAAATTAAAGCCATTGTTGCATCAATGGGTCTTGAGGTGACTGATGACAAGAGTAATGAGTATAAGGTGAAATGTATTAGACGGCAACGGCCAATGACTTCGGATAACTCTTCGATGAGTTCGGTGGCGGATGTATCGAATCAACAGCCACAACAACAACAATCGAATACGTCGAGAACGCCAACACGGAAGCCATCTCGAGTAGTATCTATATTCCCATTCTCCTTCCTTCGCAGACAGTCCAAAACCAATAATTCGTCTACGACATCCGTAAACAGCCAACTGCAGCAGCAGCAAACCATAGACGCACAACTAGCTACCGTAGCAAGTGAAGTCCGATTCAGTATAGAGGTACAGAGGCTACGGAACTTGCCTGGCTTATACGTCGTTGATTTCGAGAGATCGAAAGGTGATCGATGGCTGTTTCGTAAACTGTATGATGATATTGTTACAAAATTGGATTTGAAGACGGAGGGAGCTGCTATATCGATTGGTGCGTAATTTAGTTAGGGGGTATATCAATTCAATGGACAATTGCGATAGCATGTAGGCTATATAATGAAACATGAAACTTGGAGGGAGAGGAGAAAGAGCAGCACCTCACGGGAAGGGACTTTCTTGATATAAATTTGGTTTGGGGGAAGCTGTCGTGTTGCTTTTTTATTAAGTACAAAACAGCGAATTAAGGAGGGAGATAGTAGTTAATGTAATTTGTTTTGCTTTATCCTTCTTATATTTTTGTTTGAATGGGGATATTAGAATACAATCTGTGGTTTACACATACGTATATCTCAGTGCCTTTTTGGTGTGAAATTTGGATCATTGCTTGTTGTTTCTTGACACACAGCATATCCTTGCACTTGGTTTTCTAACCATGATGACCATGAACACCAGTTCCAATAAGCGGTCCAGGACCATTGTTGTTGAACTGTGAAATCCGTGGCAAGAAATTGTTTACACCACCACCATTGTTATTCCCATTCACACCATTACTGATTCCATGTGACGTAGCAGGTGGATGCTGCCCATACGCATTACCATGAAATCCGTACTCGTTCTTGTTCTTCTTTTTCATGGGCTGGCCATGACTTGTTGTTGGTGGCTGTTGCTGTATTTGTTGTTGCTGTGGCGCGATAGGCTGTTGTTGTAAGAGGGACACTTGTGGAGACATGTTTTGGTTTGGGATGTTCATGTTTTGGGTGTTGGGGAGTGTGGATGGTATGAGTGGCTGTTGTTGTTGTATGGGGAGTGTGCTTGTTTGTTGGGTGGAGAAGGGGAGTTGTGGTGTTGTGGTGTTTACTGCTGGGAAGCCGTTGAGGCGAGAGTAAGGAGGGATGTTGTGGATGGGTGGTATTGATGCCCTGGAGGTGAAAGAAATTTGGCGTTTTAGCAATCAAGACAATCGAGTAAGAAAAGAAGGGAGGGAGACAATAGCCATGCAGCTACTAACCTGTTCTCTTCTTGCTTCTTGTTATTATGTAAATCCTCCAACGGTTGACGACTTTCACGACGTGATTCCAGAGCGCGATGTGCAAGTGGGTCATAGAGTTGCTAAAACGTTCAAATAGTATCTAAGACTATGCCTTTTTTGTCCTCAAATTTTCTTTGCCCTTTACCTTGGTTTTACGCTTCCTTCTCTGTCGATCAGCAGCATTCTGTTCAATTTCCAATTCAAACAGCCTTCTCAACTCGTTTTCAAACTTGTCTGCAAATCCATCACCTTGGAAGAATGAATGTGACATTAATTGTCTCGCTGAAGCTCGTTGGTCGGGATCATATTGTAAGCAGCACTATTTATGATTGAGAGCAAGAAAGTCATGTCAGCGAATGAAATCCAAACACTCACTCATCTGTTTTGCGGTGCGGGAAACAAACGCAACAATCCAATACAGCGTAGCTTACATGAAGCCAATGCAACGCATCAGGACTCAACTGAGCCAATCTCGATTCCAACGTATGCTTATTCGACCCCATTCCGCCATCAGGCACACGAACACCCACAAACATGGGATTTCGCATAAAGACGTCGAGATGGCGTTTACATAACGGTCCTAGACATCTAACGATTCGATATAATTGATCCACGTCGGTGTCACCGGGAAACAAGGGTTGTCCGTTGGTTAATTCAGCTAGGATGCATCCTGTTGCCCAAATGTCGACTGCTTTGCCGTATTCTACGTCTCCTACGAGGAGTTCTGGGGCGCGATACCAACGTGTTGCTACATAGTCTGTGTATTTGGCGCCTGGCCCAGCTGCGAAAAATGTGGTTGAATCCGTATTAGATGTGGGCTTTCCTCGACAGTTGTTTCGGGTAGTCTTACCTAGAGATCGAGCAAATCCAAAATCACATAGCTTTACAACACCATTGACTGATATCAATATGTTTTCTGGTTTAATGTCTCGATGTATAACCTGCGTGACAAAAAAATCTAGATAAGAGCGCGTCATAATCCCTGCATCCACAAAGTAAGAACTTACACTATGCGAATGCAAGTACTCTACAGCCCTCAACAGCTGCCACATGCATCTTCTAACAGCATTCCCCACACTGCCATCTCGATCACGCAAATCCGCCAATCCATGAGGGTGCTTGTCCAAATCTTCCAAAACTGTGCGATCGACATGTTCAAAGACCAAATAAAGTTTCCCTTTTCGTCTGAATACTTCGAGGAGATTCACGATATTGTCATGCTTGAGTTGCTAATGACAAGCCCAAAAAAGTCAGTCAAGGACAAGTTTCTGATACTACACACATGTTTTCATTACCTTGAGCATCCGAACTTCTCGTAAAGCAGTCTTCCGTATCTGCGCGTCGTCTTCAGACTCCTTAAATTTCTTGATTGCAACTACTTGTCCAGTCTCTCTGTTTCGACATTTCATCACCACGCCATAGGTTCCTTCACCAATCGTGCCAATCTTTTCGTAAGATTCCATTGTTTCCAAAGGTCGCGTTTAAGAAATGTCCTAAACTAGCTATGAAAATTTAGTTTCGTGTTAGCAATTCCTAACACTATCATCACAGGTTCTTGTTTGGGTTAACATCCACCAAAAATTGTGACGTCGAGCACCTCAACACCATACGTTCGAAGAACCAAAGCAAGACTTGCGTGAATTTACCTGAATTAGATAAATAGACCCATTCGATCCACAATGCTCAGCAATGGTATATGAAATGTGAAGAAAACCCAGACTTTTTTCGAGAGTGTGCTCGATCAGCAATCAATCTCAAACCACAGCGGAAATAAATGCACACCCTCCAATCTGGCCTTCAGTTCTCGGTAGAAACTGTCCTAGCACGCCAAGGGGAGAAATTCGTTTGTCTTCAACTTAGCGATGAATGGTTTGGAGTGGAATGAGCGACCACATCACGAGCAGAATTGCTTGAACGGCACTTGAGACTCATTAACATCAAATTTTATTCTAGACGAGGCCCACAGTGCAGAGATGCGTAAAATCCTCAATTAATACCAATAGGATCTAAAACAGCTCATTTGTTTGCAGTTGCGTACTTTTGATTACCAAGGAAAAAGGAAAAGCGTGAGGGGTTTCTTTTTAGTCGATGGTATCTACAGTTCTAACTTCAAAATACATATGTGTGCTATCGGGATTCAAATTCCTCTCGCCTTATGACCTTCTCCATCAACGTTCGTTCAACGCAAAACGCTGTGCTAGAACTATTACGATACTTCGTCACCCTTTCGACATACCAAATGTCCACCTTACTCTAGTTTCCCGTTTGATGTTCTCCGCACCCGTTGTCGAAGCTCTTTACTTTGACGTCCTTCATGCTCTGGTAGTTCTTCAGCAATTGCTCCAACAACAATATCATTCCCCCCCCCCCCCCCCTTTTTCCAATCTGACGGAGCTCCTTTTCGCCTTAAAGACATGACCGACATCAATGTATTGCCGCGGCAGGTCATTTCTGCTGTTGCATTCTCGCACCAGACAATGGCTAGATTGGGCAACCTAGTTATAAGGTTATACTTATGGTCATCAGTCAAGTCTAGGTTCGGCTTTTCATTCACATGATGATCTGAAGTTTTGGCATGAATTTTGGGCAAATCTGCGCCATAATCGATTTGCTCAAAACCCAATACATCGAGTTCCATGGCTCCGACACTAGTCAACGGATTTGACTTTCTGAAGAGTCCTCCAGCAGCAGCATCTCTATCAGAGAGACGAAGATCTTTCAGCAGTGAAAAGCCAGCTTGGCATAATAAGTCCTGTTCAAGTATGAATTCTTCTAATTCCAATTGCAGTACCTCTAGTGTGGCCGAGCAATTTACTATCTTCTATTCGTCCAGCAATATTAGTACTCATTCTTTCAATTTTTGACTGGTCAGAACTCTCAAAATGAGCTCTCCACTTCTCTCTCGCGCGCTCTCTCTCTCTCCCTCCCTCCAAAGAACAGACCACACACACTCGCTGGTACAAACGCTCAAACACAGCTCTTACAAATTCCAAAGTACAAACACTCTCTCAATATGTCCATGGTAACTGTCTCCTCGATTATTTGAGCTTTTCTCATGCTTTCCTCGATGTCATGCTTGGACTTGCAGGTGAAGACACCCAACACACTGTACACTCTGAAGACATGCAGAGTCAGATGCAGTTTTAATTGTTCTAATATACAAAACAAAAATTGGCGTACAGGTCGGCGGCAGTTTGATTTTTTACTACAACGAAGGTCGTCCTCTAGTTTCTATAGGCAACAAGGCCATGCATAATCCAGCGACGCCTATTAAGCCCGCGGCGAAATACAATGGCAAGTCCGACCATATCGAAAGGAAGGCACCAGACATCAAAGGAGCCAAAGCACCTTAGGTTGAAAAATGAGTCTTGAGAACACAAATGAGGAATTAAGAACTCGTACCAGTAATGCGACCAAGTGCAGAGGCGATGCCACAAGCTGTGGCTCGATAGCTCGATGCAAACACCTCAGGGGTGTAAGTAAACAGGACTGTGGGATTTGTGGAAGTAAGTAATCACGAAGGTGTTTGAAAGACAGCATCCAAAAACTACAATTACAAGTGTTACTCACCTCCATATATCATATTCGAAAAGAAGGTTGAAAGACATGAGAAACCCAAAAGAGATGCTTGAGAGCGCGAAAAGTTGAAGAGGACAAACGAAATGACCTGTTGTGAATAATCAAAATGTAAGAACATAGATGCCATAAATACTAGTTGACGTGGGCAGTATTACCGTTCCAATAGCAGAAAGAACCATTGTTCCTCGTCGACCAAGACTTGTCTCAATGAGCCACATGCCAGCAAACGAAGCAGGAACTCCGGCAATAGAAACAACTAAAAGAACGAAAGATCGTCAAGATTCAAAAATGCAGTTGCGTTCAATGGGAAACCCGCTCGTTGGCTGGTACTTGCTCAGATAATCGCGATAAAGATCGTCAACAGTTTGATCAGGTGGTCCGTGTACCGCCAAGAGCGCAGGCAAGTAGCCATTGAACATGGTATATCCACAAGCGACAAACATCCTGTTTAAGCGAGAGGGAAAAGAGTGAGCTTAATTCTTTGTGGTCTATACTTGCTGAATATGGTACCAAATCAAGTTGACCAATAAGGTAGTCCTGTTTGTTCAAAGGAAATAAAGTAAGCGCTGTCCCTTTTCGCGCTCTAAATTAATCAAACAGGCTCAACTTACAGCCACATCGACTTTGAGAACAACGGTCGAATATTGGCAGGAGTAAATTTGCTCATGTTGGAAGAGACAACTTCCATCCATGATGAAGATGTTCTCCATATTTTTCCAGTGCTTGGTGAAGCATCGTCGTCGCGTACACGTAATTGTGGCATATCTTCAATAGTCAAATCAAGTTCAATTTTTCCTTGTCTGCCAAGATGATTGAGCACATCAAGCGCTTCTTGTCTTTTGCCTCGAGAGAGCTACAATGTGAAACATAGGTTTGTTATGAAGTTTTGATCACCAAGTCTCAACCACCTCCAATGTACCAGAAATTTGGGTGATTCTAACATTCTGAAAACAAAGAATCGAGCAACAAACATGGCTCCGGTCATTGTTCCCAAAACGAACAGTACGTATCTCCAGCCTTCGTTACTCGAGCGAGGACAGTCTAAGGCAGACGCGCAGCTCCGTGAGGGCATCAAAAACCATCCAGAGAGAGAAGTGGCAACTTGCCCGACTGGCCAGAACACGGAAAGTAGGGTCAGCAGCTTCTGTTGTTCAGTTGGCATGAATTCCAAGAACAGCGTGCCATCCCTAAAACAACCATTGATTCAGTGGGGAAGAAACGGCAGGGTTGAAATATACGAAAGTAACTTACACTGGGAGATTACCTCCAATCCCAAAGCCCATTGACGCGAGCAACCCACATAAAGCTGCAAAGCTGGGTGCTAATCCTACAGAACCGAAACAGAGTGTCCAAAGACGATTTTAGAGTCTGACGAAAAACTGCTAGCATTTAGAAGCTGTTACCCACCTGAGCCAAAGGCAAAGACGCAGGTCAAGAATAGCGTTGCGTTGAAGGCTGTCCGTCGGCCAATAATATCCGCGAGGATTCCAAAAGAGCCTGCTCCTATTAGCATGCTGTATTAATAGAAACAGCAGAAAAACCGTTACTTCTTGCCATCACCCTTAATTCAAAAGAACGCGAATGATTACTTGAGCTTACCCAAGAAAGCTGGATGTGGAACCAAGTCCAGAAAGAGCAGTTGGAACATCAAATTCATGCTGAACTTGAGGAATGATGATTGCCAATGCTTGAAGCGTTGCCTAAATTGGTGATTCAACACGGGAGAAAGGTGAGGAAGAAGGAAGCAGGGAGCTTTAAAAGTCTAATTTGAATGTTTGCGGGTTTCAACAAAGTACAACCAATAAATGTTTGACAAAGACTTGAAACCCAAGGGGAGGAGCAGTCTGAAATAGCATGTATCTGAAACAGGACACTCACGTTATCTGCAAACCAGCCAAAACCTAAACGTAATGTGGTGGAATGGGATTGAATCAAAACAGTCAAAACAGACGATCGAGATTGAAACAGGATCATTACCGCACAAAAAGAACAATTGCCAATGGTAACGAGTCATTCCAATCCTGTCGAGTGTCACGTTCACAATGGTCATGTCGACGCCATAATCACTAGCCTACATTGATTATATAAAACGGTTAGAACAGACGATCGCGATCAAAATGGAAGTTTCAAGATCCAATGTGTATCATTAAAACAGGTTTTCAGAAAGATGATGGAGATCGAGCAGAACTGTCAAATTGCAAAACACGCATCCAAGATTTCAAACAAGATGTTGGCGACTTTCACAAGAGCAGATCACGTCACTTACATGGGATCCCAGCAGCGGAGCGTCTGTAGAGACTGGAGTCACCGTTCTTGTACGAGTATGAGCCGAGCGCTCGTCAGTGCTGGGAGACTTTCCAGGCATCGTTTGATCTTCAATATACATTGGCTCCATCTCGAAAGCTCCATTCACTACTTGTATTTCGTCGCTGGCTAGTAAGTGATAGATGGCTGCCGTCGTGTTGGAGATTGTTGCAAGAAATTAGGAGAGTTTCGAGATTGGCCACGCGTGTGTGTCCGAAACGTTGACAGGTGGTGAAGGAAGGAGTTGGAGGTCGGCTCAGTCTATTGCATGCATCTATTCGTGCGCTAAAATACGGTAAAACACGTCAACGTTGTGTGATTTTTCGTCTGCATCCTTACATTCAAAGTTTCAGATCTGCAATCTGAGCAACAACGAATACTTTGCTGTTTAGATGTCGGTATGCACTGTACTCATTGAAACGCCAATTTCAACTCTTGACTTACTTATTGACTCTCGAACACTAACGCTGAGCTCAAGTTTAGAGTATTCAAGTTTTATATTTTGCTTCAGCAAAAGAGGCAACAAATGGTATTGCATCCGAGAACATCCAGCTCGTAAATGATCCAATGACTGTCAAGGACCTCATATCTCTCCTATCAAAGAGGCATCCGCCGCTGGAACCTGTTTTGAAATCTGCCATGATTGCAGTCAACTTGGAATATGTCGAATTGGACGATATGGTCAAGGCAGGAGATGAAGTAGCTGTCATTCCCCCTGTTAGTGGAGGTTGAACCTTGTATTGCGGTTGCAGCACGGACTGTATTGTCAAGTGCATCGTTTTGGGCTCGATGATACACGGATATGCTCAGATGTGGACGAGATAGACCTCTTTGCTTGGAATTCAAGCACTGACATCACGTATAAAGTCACTCTGATTGCGTAGTCTGCCCTGGATTATGGCATTCTAAAGTATTGCTGATGTGAAATGAACATATTGTAGTAGTAGCAAACTCCTGTGAACAAGTACCGGTAAATACAACGCAGACATATACATGAGAACTGAGAGAAACGGTGAAAATCTTAAACCCGTTTGGAGTATCATTTGTCTGCAGATGTAGTAGATACAGGCGGTAACTTTTGTAGTTCAAATGACCAAGATCAACGATGACAGCTCAACCGTGTCTCTTGATAAAATATGATCTGAAACTCAGTTCGCTTTAGTTGTTCCAAACAGACCAGTTGGAGTCACTGATGACCAACACAAACTCCTTGTTGGAAACAAAATCTGGATGCTCCAAGAATTGTAAGATCTCTACCGTTGGAGTTCATCTCTTCAAGAACTACAATGAACGCACACAAGGACAAAAACAAGCTTGAACTCGGCGACATGATATTTCTGCTTCTTTTTGCTCGAAAGTTTTGGTATTTCTCGTTATAAGTGGGTGTGTAGTTGGTGTTTCGTGGTGAGTGGTGCTTTTCATCAATGACATTGCACAAAAAGACCATTTCTCACTTTGGCTTCGACATAGATCCAGACTTTGGAGATGGAATGAACAGGAGTTGCAGCTGAATGGTGTTTGAATGGGGTAAGAGGTGGAGGAGGAGGAGGGTAGATGAGCTTTGTAAATTGTAGACAAGTAGAAATTACATAAAAGTCTGGCCTCTTTCTTGGTATTAAAGATGGAGTTCCAGTGATGTCTTGTTGATCCAAAAACTCAAATTCAGCACCAGGTAAGAGCGAATTGCGCGTCTTGGGCGCCATATCTCCAAATTCCAGGCGTTGAATATCCAAATCTGAGGCCTCCACTGCTCAAGTTCAATCTCAAAATTCGAGATATCCATCCAAAGATCCAAGTTACGCAGTCAGACCAAAGGCATCGAGGAGACTACGAGACAACTGAAAATCAGTTTTACAATGCCAGGTAAGTGAATATGAAGTCTCATACACGATCTCAACTCACCAAAAAGCACGCCTTTTAGCCACTGTCGATGGCGAGAAAGTTGTTCTCCACGGACCAGTCAATTCTTCTGCAACGATTTATCTCCTTGGATCCACCGTTACTTCATGGACTGTTAACGGTCAAGAAAGGCTCTTTCTGAGGTTGTTTCCCGCAAAAGATTGGAAACATTTTAAGTTGAACATTTGTGTGATTTGTGGAAAGTCGGCTGATCGATTTTGATTATGTAATGAATAGCGAGAAGGCGATTCTCAATGGATCCAAAGCAATTCGAGGTGGTATACCTCTCGTCTTTCCAGTATTCGGAACAGTTCCAGGAAATCCACTACCTCAGCACGGATTCGCGAGGACTTCGAAATGGAGTTGGAGTGGTGTACAGTCTGATACTGCAGATTCTATATCTGCACTCTTTGGTACGCGATGTGGTCATACGTATTGTGGATGATTTTGGTGGGAAGTCAACCCGCTGAACTTTGACATTGATTAGAGCTGAAGCCGGAACACGTACCTGCCGACTTGTATGCGAAATGGCCACACCCATTCGCATTGGCATACCATGTTACTCTGAGTGCGAAACAATTGGTGACCAAACTGGTTATTCGTAATACTGGTTCTGCACCATTTGATTTCACAACGTTATTGCATACGTACTTCAAAGTCAAGGTATCCTATTAGCCCAAACGTCTACTTTCCGGGACCGCAATATCCGCAATATCGTAACACGTCTGTGTATCATATTAGGACATTTCTACAGTTGGCGTCACGGGATTACAACAATTACACTACGTCGACAAGGTTCTGTCAAGTGCACGAGCAGTGGAAACCAGATCACACGTTGCAGTATCTGGAGAAGTTGATAGAGTATATGAGGGCGTGAAAAACGATGAAATCACAATTGAAGGAGTTGGATTCGGTGACGTGAAAATTGTGAAGTACAATTTTCCTGATGTTGGTAAGCTAAGTGCAATGTGAACAGCTGAATGTGATCCCATGATTTTTCTTTACTTTAGTTGTGTGGAATCCATGGTCTGAAAAGGCAAACGCCATGGCTGATTTCGGGGACGAGGAATATCACAATATGATTTGTGTAGAAGTGGGATCTGTATCAACCCCAGTGAGCTTGGCTGCAGCTGGCACATGGGAAGGAAGTCAAATTTTGTCTGCCTTGTAGATTGTCATGCTAAAATATATACCCCTTGTTTATCAGCGCATCACTTCTATTTCTTCAACGCCAATTCATATCACATCACAAAACAACATCTTATTCCTTCCTTCGTTTCTGTCTTTACTGGATCATCTTATTCTTTCTTTGCGGTAGGGCGTTGGTATTTCCTGCCGTGCCCGCCCCAGAAGGAATCGCGTAGATCTGGTAGCACGTCTCTGATAAGGTAGAGTGCTTTGGCTCGGAAGGTCCACGTTTCATAACGCTTTCCTGTTTTGACAGCATCATGTATCAATTCAGCCGCGTCGGCACATTCCATGCCCTGATCCATATTGAGTTGCACGGAGCCTTCTCGGGTTCGATTCAAGTCAGTCTTGACGACACCTGGGAAGCTAATTACAAAGATTGAGATGAGAGAGATTGTCACTCATAAGTGGTCGATTATGAAATATCGAGCAAAAATAAACATTAAGCCAAGGCACATACAGAATGCTGATTTCAAAGCTTGGTTCTTCAAGGCTCAACGCATCACAGAAGCCTTTGAGAGCGAACTTTGAGCCAGAGTAACCTGGAAAAAAAGTGGTATTTATCTCTGTTTGTTAGAGAGATAGAATGCAGCAACCAGAATATTACCACATCGGGTTATGGAACCAAATATTCCAGCAACCTGATGGAAAATTCTTAAGCACAAGACTTCAATTGTCTCACGATAACTTTTGAACAAAGTCACCACCCACAGATGAAATGATAGAAATCTTAGGTTGTGCACTCTTCTTCAACAGATGCAATCCGTAGATGATGAAGCCTATGGTTCCAAAGTAGTTGATCTAAAGAAGGTAGGACATGAGTTTGATAAAAGGCCTTCATGGAAGAACAGAATCACAAGACGAAACATAATTTACATCCATGAGATTCCTCATGAGTCGCAGATCATTAAGCTCTTGGACCGTGTAGCCCATTGATATTCCAGCATTTGCGACAAACAAGTCAATTCGGCCGTATTCATCGCCAATCCGTTTTACGGCTTTTTTGATTTCGTCTTCTGAAGCGACGTCGATAGGCAGAGCAAGGACACTTGATGCACCGAGTTTTCGACATTCAGTAGCGACGACATTCAACTCAGCTTCGCGTCGAGCCATGATGACCAGGTTAGCACCGTCCTTTGCGTATATCCGAGCGAGATCTGCGCCCATTCCAGCTGAACAGCCAGTGATGACTAGTATTAAAAGTGGTGGTTTGATTAGGGTTGAATCCAAATAAAGTGTAGATAGAAGTCCAGCTCGATTCGGCACTTGATGATTCGATTGATCTGATCCAGTACGAGGATGCGACAGTGTCCGTAAGGAAAGGATTTGACCGACAAATACAGGCACGATGTCTGCCTCTGAATGTGTAGAGCCTCTGATTTAGAGTGTACCACCCACGTTTGTTGTGATGCCCCAACAGCTTGCACCTCCGAACGAGTACTAGACTCACCGACGACTTTTCCAGCAGCATCCCATATCTACGATTTGGTTATAGAATCAGTTCTACCGTTGAGAGAAGCAGCAACTGTTGCGCAAAATGGTGCTTACCTTTGGTTTGGTTTGAATGTACAAATACAAGTTGTAGAGAATCAATAAAGGCATTGTCAATGCGACGAATACACGTGCTGCCACCTCCTCGAGGAGGTTCTTCAGCTTGATTTCCATGGTTGTCTACCTTCTACGTTTGCAAGCAATTGAAACCAAGTTGAGCAGGGGTGCTTGGCGGTTTAGACAGTCGTCAACAGTGGGAACAGTTTCGAAATCATTCCCTTGTTATATCGAGGCCATCATGGAATCGAGATCTACTAGAACAATCCCAAATCGTTACTCTGTAGTTGTTCCAAACAGCGACGAGGAGGATGAAGCCGAGGAGGAAGAGGAAGAAGACGATGTTTCTTCTCATGATGGTATAAATCTAGAATGGACTCCTGAGGAGAGATCTGCTGGTAACTGTCGATCTTGAACGTCGCATCTTTGATCAAACACATTCAGTGGAAACACTCACACACACACACGCTATTTACAGTACTGCAACACTACGCAATTGACACACTATTCCCTACCGAATGGAATGAAGACAAGGACACTCCCATGCTGCAACCAGATCAATACGCTATAGCTGGTCTATCAAGTTCTGAACCTACTGCAATATCACGTCCTTCCCTGACAGCCACAACCGTCGAAACGGGAATTGTCGATGGAGAAGATCCATTGGGTATCAAGTCAAACACGTGCGTCAGAATGAAACGATGGTTTGAGAAAAGTGACCAAGTAATGACTTGTCACTCACACTTTGATATGTATCTAGTAAAAAGGGTGCCAAGAAGAAGGGTACTCGAAAATCAAGTTCAAAAGGTCCACCTGAACAAGATCCACGTTAGTATTTCTACCAAACGGCTACAACAAGCGCCATTGCCCTAACATCACGTTGTTGGATAGCACATTTGTCGATTACTTCAAGATCCTTTGCTCCTGACCGATTCCTAATCGAAAATCATGGAGATACGCCATACAAGGATCTAGTTATGGGATTGGAAACATTAAGATCTGCCATGGAAAAACGAGAAGAGTTGATGAAGAATCTCGTCAAGACTCATTTTTCCAAGTTTGTTACAGCGAAAGAATCCATCGATGGTAGTTTCTACATCTCGCGTTACATGTTAAATTCGGGAGCTAACACTTGTCTCGGTAGCCTTTTACGATGAAATGAGAGCCAAAACACTCATTTCTCACGATTCTTACGGGATCAAGCCATTCTCGAGCCGTCTGAACAGTACGCCATAATTCTTTGCAATGACAAACGAAACGGAAATGATGTCTCTGACATGATACATAAAATTCTAGATTCTCATACTGGTGCCAGCTCACTCTATACCCCAATGTTGGAGAGGAGAACAAAAGCTGAAAACATTCGCATTGCTTTGGGTATCTTGGATCAGTGGAAATTCTTCTTCAATCTGCCAAGCACCCTCACAGAGTTTGCTGCCAAGGTGGTTGGTCATAAAAATCGGACGAACATTGATTCAACATACTAACGTGCGTTGTGTTCTTAGAGCAAATACGATGCGGTCGCTCAGAACTACAAGAAGGGCAAATACCTCATGGACACATCGTTTGGAGCAGCACCAGTTTCTCCAACACGTCGTGACCCAGGGCAAGATTCGACATTGCTACCATCTAGCTATAAAATGGTCTTTGACAAAGTTTGGGCTGAAGTGGAAAAGATTGTTACCAAATGCAGAGCTGATTTGATGTCTCTGTTAAAGAATCCATCATTACCGATTGAACAACAAGAGAGAACCATTAGGTTGGTGTTATGCAATCTTATCGTCATCGTTTTTGCATTGACCAAGTACATACTTAATTTCTTAGTTGCTTGACTGAACTGGATTCGCAAGATGATCCGGTCTGGTTTTACTTGCAAAGCCAGTATCAGTTCATTCTGTCTCAACTGACAGATGCATACAATGATCATTGTGGTCGACTTCACGGTACGTCTCGTAGTCAAGATAATACTTCACAGCTTTGTTAGTCTGTCAGCCTCTTAACACTCTCGGTGTATAGAATTACGTGATCTGGCGGGACCGATCAGTGCCATGTCTCCCAAGAGTCCTACAAGCCCAAGTAGCGCAAAAAAGTCTGTTGAAGTTCATCGAACGATAGTTCGATCAGATCGTTTCGGGCTCTCTGAGTTCAAGCAAGCTATATCATCTGTGCAAACTCGAGACTTTGAGACTGAATTTGGTATTAATTGACTGAATTTGATTTCGGTGATCGCAATAATACCAATAGCTGCAACTCTTAACGGTCGTTTTTAGCTCATGACCTCGATGCTCAACTATGGAAGGCAACTCTCAAACTTATCAAAGCTCTGTCAGTGGCACTTATCAAGCAACTGCCAAGTTTCTGGAAGGTGTCTCGTTTGTTCAACATGAGTCGCCAGGTAACTTTTACGTGACATGCAATTACAGTCAGCCCCTGCGTTTTTTGCTATTCTTTGCTCAAATTGACTTATGTAGAGAGCTGGTGGTGCACAAGGAGCCAGAAAGCGTCGTGGTGCAACAGACTCACGACAATCGGAAGTGCCCATGCAAATGATTCAAAACATACTGGGTCTGTATGCTCAAATAGTATCGGCCGCACTCTTCTTGCATCATAGTGTAGCAGCTCTCCAACAAAAGGTGGCCTCTGGTGAGATAACGATAAATGTCAGCGAATCGGTCCCGATTCTAGAAGTTCAAGCGTCATCACCAGAAGACGTCAGTGGATCAGATAGCTCTGTAAATCAATCTGTCACCGCATCAGCGGGCAATGTAAGCCAATCCATGACATCTCTGACACAACGTTTAAAACGGCCCAACTCCCCCATAATGGCTGATGCACGTGTGGTTGATGCACCACCAAATCCTACAGAATTGACTGTGGATTTCGCTCGATTGCTATGGTCACATCCGTTAACAGCTGCCTTCTACCTTGTGGGAATCATGACGGAATTGACTGGATGTAGAAACCAAATAAGCCGTATGCAAATGACTTCAGAAGCTGGCTTCTTGAGTGATATGGATGCAGTTGTTGAGAATGTGCAAGTTAGAGCGATGGAGTGTATATGCGGTGGTGTCGTAAGAGGCAAGTTCCTGTCGAGCATGTTCTACCTTCACTCTTTTTAAACCTTCGTTTGTCATCGATATAGAGTGCAAGTCATTCCATCTCTACGAAGACTGGTTGCTGGAACCAGAAGTACGACGTCAAGCTGCCAAAGCCACAGAAGATCCAGAACTCAGGCCAGACTCTGCTTCTGGTGTCTTGGGCGAGACAACTGCTCTCCCGAAACTGTTCTATAGATTCTTTAGATTCATATTACGAGCACTATTCCGTATTGCTTCATCAACTCAACGGCCAGACTCACAGAAGCACGGTGCTGCTGCCATTATTGGTGGCCTACCATTTGGATACTTTGGTGGTACTTCAGGTGCCGTCCTCCCTATGTCCACCACCTCAAACAGTCAAGACGAATTGCAAGCGAGGAACAGTGTCGTTTCCGCAACGGAAATGTATCGTGTTCGAACGTGTTTGATTGAGTGTGTAAATGCATTCTTAGATGTATGTGAATGGCTTGCTGTTATGTGGAAGCCACAGCAGAGTGCAGAGTTGGCTGGTACGAGATATGCGATGCTGAAAGGTGCCGAGTATGGAATTGTTGGTGGGGAAGGTGTGCTGAGTCATGAGCTCGTTGGGAGGAAGGCGAGAAAGCTGGATGTTACTGTGCTGGTAAATTAGTGTTGTCTTTCTTTTACTACTCCTTTTGAGTATGTACTGGTACTTCAAACTCATTCCTGAGCTTTATTAGGATACCCGACTGCTGATTGTGACTAGCAACTTGTCCTTTTTGAAGATGGTTGCTCTACCTAAACTGGCATCACTATTTGAATCCAAGTTTCGTGCTCCATTGACTTCGGATGTTGAGGTGTGAAAAGACTTCTCGTTTCATTCGTTTTGCACGTTTAGGTTTCTCGATCCACCACAATGCTGATATCTCACTGTCCATGTTAGGATTTGCATAAAGTGACTGATCATCTTGACTCAATACTCTTCCAAAACTATATACGACGTAAACATTCACCTATAGCCGAAATGGTTGAGCAAGGCATTGTTGCGTCAGGACTGGATTGGTATTATATTTCCAAGCCTGAAGGTATGGTGTGTTGAGACTTTTGGCTCTTTTGGTCTACCCAATCCGATCCACTCAACGCCTCCAAATTAGAAATACGGCAACATGTACATGATATACTGTTGCGGTTTGTCTTGGTCCATGCTGAAGTCTCAGCTGTTGGAAAGCCATTGATGGATCGTGTCATGAGAGAGCTCATGCTATGTCTTGCAAATGATTTGCTGTTGGCATACCGGAATATTGATCGTTTCAGTCCTGGTGGAATGATGCAGGTAAAGCCTTGGGGTTTGATAGAGATTCTTCCCACTTTTGGCCTTACATGCTTTTGATCCCGTAGGCAACATTAGAAACTGAATTCCTGCAGCAGACTCTTACGAAATACGAGACACCAGATACGACGTCCATTTTCCAACTCATATATGATGGCATTGAACGTGGAGTACCCAGTGCAGAACTGAAACAATCTCAACAAACGAATCGGGTTCAGGAGATTGTTGAAGAAGTACGAGTCCTAGTTGATGATGCTAGAAATGGTACTCGTATACAATTTCAGTGCTTTGGTGATGCTGCAAAAGGTGTCAAGAGGATGGTTGGTCAAAAGAGTAGTGCGAATATGGATCTAAATTCTGTGAATAGGAGGAATTCAACGGGCAGAACATAAAAGGAAGTCTACTCTTCATTCATATGGTCTGTGAAATTTTCTTCAGTCGCAGTTACAAAGTAGAACGAATAAATCACTTACATTTCCGTAACACCGCGTTTTCTCGAGTTTATGACTAGAATTTATACATAAACAAAATACACAGTTGCTATAAGAAGAGCGACCTAAAACCTCAACTTGGGCTAGAATATTTCTCACCACTAAAAAATCCTCCTATTTTTCCAAAAAAAAAATCCCCCCAAGAGAGTGTTCAAAGCAACGTAATCAAATACAGATTCCATTCCATTCGGCTACACTTGTCTAATCACACATATAAAAAGCTTTGTTTTCTCAGATTCTGGTGGCCATTGATGGCGGCAGAGGCGGCTGCTGCTGATAATACATTGGCTGCACGTTTCCTCCAGGCATGATCATAGGCGCCATGGCTTGCTGGTAGTGCATTTGAGCCATCATATGCATTTGATGTTGTTGTTGAGCTACTGCAACAGATGACGACGTAGATGTACAAGTAGTAGAATTCGACATTTGTGCTTGTTGATTTGTGGCCCCTCCTGCACTGACATTGCTGCTACTTGGTGATACTATCGATGGTGGTGGTGACGGACTGCTCCCGGTTGTTCCCGCAGTTGCTCGACCTCGAAGGACTTTTTCGACTAGAGCTGCTACACGTTGACCATATTTGGAGCCACGTAATGTTTGTAGATGAGGTGCGAGGACACGAGCACATGCTTCTCTTCCATTGTGGTCTGCTAGTTGCAGTAAATGCTGAACCACGTAGTTGGCATATTGATGGTTCATCATGTCCAATAGTGGCGGGCGGCTAGACCGAGATGAAAGTCAGATCGTTGTTAGGTCTTTCACATGCAAATTAATTTGACATACCCGCCGTCACGACCTCCATTGCACGAGATACAAGCTTCCACCATTTCAGACAACTCTCGACGTGGAGCAACTCTCATAGCCTTCTCGACAACTTTTGAGGCATATTGATCGGCAGCCATCTCTTTCAAGTTGCGAGCTACCACACGAAGCAAATACGATCTGTCTGCTGGTGCACCGTGTTCAAGCACATGTTGAATAACCCAATTTCCCCATTGCCCTAATATATGGAGTGTGTGAGTATCATTGATTTCCTACCATTACTCAAGTGAAAATTCGCTTTTTTCGCTTACCTCTTGACACCTCTACGGCATGAGTCAAAACTTCACCCATCACAGCAGCTCTTTCTTCTTCACCACGTCGTTCAAAGATACATTGTACTACAAGTGATCCACTTTCATCAGCTGCAACCATATGCCATCGACCAGCTACAGCAGAGTTTGCCGCTCTCATTATAGAAGGAGCTTCACAGGTCGTCCATTTTATTTCCAAGGCACGCTGCCATACGTGACAGGCAAATCTGTGTAGTAGGGTTGATGAGGCATGTGGAAGTAGTTCGTTGACTAAGGCTTGTTTCAGAGTTTCGGGAACGGTATCGAGAGCCTGTAGCAATTTGGTTGTTTATAGTGTCAGTATCACTTTCCAACCATGGCAAAAAACAATATCCTTATCCTATGAATTGATACATACCTTTTGAACTACATGACATCCAAATCGATCGCATGAGAGTGACAAGACATTTCCGCGTATAGTTTCACCAATCAGTCGGACTTGTTGTTGAGTTCCTGGAAAAAATGAACGTCTTAGGGCTAATGCATACCGTCAGGCAGTGTGGTAAGCCCCATACCATATTCCAAGCATCGTTGCATCAAAAAGTTGCCAAAACGATTTCGCATCAATTTGGCTGGTTCTCGCAGAATGGCTTCAAAGATACTGTCTCGAACAGCTGGATCAGAGGACTTGAGTTTCTGCTGTAGCAAGAGGGAGGCAGGTTGATCATTGATTCTTATGATCTTATCCACAAGTTGCTATGTTATTGGGAATCAGGAATGAGCAAACAAAAACGGTACCAGCTGAGGTCTTTCAATCATGCTACTTACATTATAGTTGATGGGTCCAGTAGGCTCAATCACAACAGTAGCTACAGCTTCACGTTCATCCATAATAATACTTGGATCAAAGCTAGCACGTCTTTCTTCTCGTGCAGCCATAAAATCCATATTTCCTCTACGCTCACTACCAAAACTGGCTCTTCGGCTTGGGTATCTAGCTACAGATCCATCACGGACAGAGTCTTGTTCAAAGGTTGACGAGTCCCATATAGATTTTACGGCAGCCAACGGAGCACTTGAAGTAGAAGATATGACTGAAGCGGAAGACGGTAATGGGGCACTATCGAGTGGTGGAGTCGAGACTGATGTAGATGACTTTGAGGAGGAAGAGTAGAAAGAGTCTGATGCTGACGATATTTGACTTGAATTATGATCGCCCGTAGAAACAGGTGTTGGTAAACCGTTCTTGAGTAGTACTGTGTTGTTGTTGTTGGAGGAAGCAAAAAGTGGCATGATTGGTTGTACTTCAGAGCCAATGGGGCCCCAAATACTTCTTGTTGTTGCATTGGCCAATCCTGTGACTGAGCTATTGACTGTGCCAACACTGCCGCCACCAAGTAAGGAATGGGCTGATCCAAGACTCTTTTCCGATCCCTTGGTTTCGTCGTCATCCCAAGACATTACACCAGCCAAGACTTCTTCACCATCAATACCAACAACTACATCGAATTCTGTTGCGACTAGACTACCATTATCGTTCGAATGGCGCGATTTCAAGGCTGCTTTCAGCTCAGTATCGAGGAATTCCACTTGAAGCTCTTGCTCTTGTAAGCGAGTCTCTAGTTTCGATATCGAGTTCGTCGCTTGTTGGCGTAAAGTGGCGGTAGCCCTGTCGATTTCAGCCATTTGAGTGACATGAGCAGCAGCCAATTGTGCCTCTCGTGCAGCGACTGTGGCACTGAGTTGCACAATTTGGTTTTGTAAATTCTCGAGAACCTAAGTTCAGATTTATTGTTGAATACAGGTCCAAGCTAACAAACACAGATCCAAACATAAAACGTAAAACTGATAAACACAACAGGATGATGACGTACTTGTTTCCTGGTGAGAAATCCTCTCCAAGCAGACTGGAACTTTCTTGCAGCAGTGTCCTCTTCCCGTCTTGCATCACCAGATTGTGATGTTGTCGTATGTAGGTCTCGGCGTGGAGCGACACTTGATGGCCTCTGTCCAGAGATTCCAGATGATGAGTTGGCAGATATGGGTCGAGTCTATTGGGCGATAGCGATGAGCGTTTTCAGTCCTTCACAAGAAGTGTGCAAAGATTAAAACCCAGTCGTACTACTTGTGTTCTGTCTGAATCAGAAGAGGGCTTTTTGGTCAGCTCAACAGGAGTAAATATACCCATTCCTCCATTTCCATATTCTTTTGCTCCAGCTCTTATTGACCCTACTAGTCCACCACTCGATGACGTTGTTGTGGTTGATCTTAGTGACAAACCAGTGTTCACAGAAGTCTTTCGTGGTGAAGACGAGGCAGGTGCAGACGAAGGGATGATTCTATTACTAGAAGGAGTGCGCTGGGAAGAGATGGCACTTGACGATCTTGGTGCTGGATGGGAGATGTTTGTTGATGAAGCATCAGAGGAGGCGATTACGGATCGTTTAGTAGGAGTAGGTGCTCTCATGATGATGTATAGCAAGAGTGTCGCTGCATTCAGTAGCCCGTAGTTAACCCTCTTTGCCTACCGCCCAATCTGTTTTTATGACGAGTTGTCAATACATCGAAACCAGCTTTGTTCTGAACTGATCAGAGTAGTTCAGTACTCTAGGGCGACATAGATGCATACCTTTGATTGAGACCCCCTCGTTCTCCCTTCCTCAAACTACAGAATTGAAGGTACCTACACTGAATGAATGCGTTGTAGGAGTTTAAAATAACTGAAAACGGAAGTTGAATTTTGGCAAGGCCCCCTTACAACGCGACACCCTCGAAAGCATGGAAATCATGTATATGTCTTGAAAGAATTCCTTTGCAAAACGTAATTGGCAGGTTGATGGACGTGACAAGATCTCAGAATCGGTTCATAACGATCGCCGAGAGTCAGCTATGGAGCTGTCAAACTCACAATAGTGAGATAGAAAGAATGCAATGTCAGAGCTTACTGCTGTATATACGACTATTCTGTCTTGATCCTGAGCGTCATCTCTTTACACGGCACCCCCAGCTCCCGTTAAGTGCTTTTGATACATCCGCCCATATTGAACCGTGTCACAATAGCAAACCCTATCTTGATACTCCATTGGAATGCACTTCGAAGCCCCTAGCATCCGCCTTTTATTGGTGGGACGGGTTGCTTTCGTCAATATTGCAAACCACAGTTATGAATATGAAAGGAGCTTAGCCCGGCTTCCTGGACTGCCAATGACGCTTAGATCATTTGGAAATGATGGCAATGAATGGTTTGGACTGTGTGCGGTTAGTGGTAAACCGACAGTTGGACCATTTTCTTTTCAGAGCTCACAATCATTACCGCTGGATTGATTGTGAGACACATTTGCTTTGTAGTGGCGGCTCTATTGCTTTACAGGTATATTTTTCAACCGAATTGTCAGTTAAGCACGTCTTGGATGTGGAATCTGACATCCTACAGCATCAGTACGTGTGCTAAAGGACCCGAAAAGGGCCACAAGGGTATTCAGCTCTTCAGGTGTTTCACCATAATTGCATCTATGGGTTGCACAAGCACTTGTGTGTGTATTGATGCTCCATGTACAGATCATGGGTCCAGTTTTGTCGAGCATGCCAGCACTAGATTGGTATCTTACTCATGTGTTCATGAATCAACTACATAGGAAGAGTCAGAGAATAGTGGTCGAGTATGTATTACTCTATCCTGTTGCCGGACATTGTTTTTGTTGTAATTTCTTGCCGCCTGCATAGAGATCACCTTGGCACTACTCAATTTGAAGATTTTCTGGAAGCTTTAAATGAGTAAAAGGGAGGGCGCCTGCTCAAAGGACATTGCAAACGAAGACACGTTGATTTTTGAAATTATAGATCAGCGTAAACAATATACATAGGACCTCTCATCGTAGCATGCCGTGTGAGTTTCCTTGAAATCGACTGATTGTGCTAGGCCATCACCACCCAACACAATCAACGAGAGGTGAAAACACAGGCACGTGAGACTCGATCTCCCAGAGAAAAGAAGTTCGACCATAAATTCAAATGAGTCACGCGGTTCCATTCGTGACTAGCATTCATACCGCGTTGAAACACGTACAACTAGCTTATTCGTTCCCTGATCCAAAAATCCTTCAAAAGTGTCAAGCTTCACTGTCCCTCTTGATCGGGGACTACGCTCTCATCTCAAACGATTGGCTTTCAGCCAAAGGTTACTGTGTCTTGCTTTGCAAATGTTCCTTTATTTTTACATAAAGAAATAAGCTAAGAGTAAGATGTATTCTTTCAAATAAACAAACCCGTCATCCCCCATCCCTTCTCTTTTTGTACCTATGCAGAAGCAACTTTGCTCACTGCTTCATGTAAAGTCGACAAGTATTGGGGGTATGATGGGTGTCCATCCATTCTGTCTTCAATTAAGTGCGACAAAAAGTAGGCACGTAAGGCAGGATCTGTTCCGTCTTCCTTGACGATGGAAATTGATGGATAGCATGTATTGTCAATCAATCGTGCTTGCCGAAGAGTGTTGACGATGTTGTTAACCCTTATAGACATATTGTTTTGGAGCAGCGGCAGTGTAAACTACAATAGGGAGAATGGTTTATGAGTTAAAACTCAACTCTGGTAGACATATCATTCCATGTTTTACCTTGCCAGGAGCAAGAGCATCATAAGATGGCTTATCAAATATAGCTTGACAGAGTTCAGGAGGAACCGCTCGCCCAACCCATATAAAGATTTCAAGCCCATTCTCTAACATGAAAAGACCTGATCTATCTAATCTCTCACTACTCAAGTTGATGAGGTTTGGCATGATTGTCTTGCCATCAGGTCCAACCGTTCCACGCTAAATTATTTGAAGGGAAATGTAAGTCATAAAAAAGGGACAATTCATCCCACGGATTTCCAATTTCTAACCTCAGCACTCATGGCATGTATAGCAAAGAACCTGGCAGCCAACATAACCGTATTCAAATCGGTTGATATGGTATACAGCATACCAAGCATGAAATATCTCATGTCACTAGGTATGTTTGTTCCTTGTCTGAATGCCAACTAGAAAACGAGATTAATTGCCTCCAGTTGATCCTGGACCAAAGTGCAAGTTGATTCAACTTACGTTTTTGATGATACCCATAATCAACATAGGCAACAGTTTCAGGTTTTCAGGTAATAATAGCTGTACTGCTTGTCCAGATGTCGTAAAGTTGGATTTAAAGACTGATATAATATCAACCAACTTGTTGAGTATGGCTTCTCGAGCATCCTCTAGTCTGGAAGACAACACCCGGTCAACACCCTTTTTAGCAAGTATCGATGCCAAAGCGTATTGATCAGCTGTTGAAAACATGTCTGCCAGATTGGTTGTAACTGGAAGTGCCAGTGTCAAGACACGAATTCGTCTCTCCCCTAAATTGCAGAGATCTTGTTAAAAAAAGGGAGATTGAGTTAGAGAGAATTACTTCCGTGACCTACCATTGCTGCTGGTATGCAAGACAGCAGTTTGGAAGCAACATAATCCGGTATTCAAGGTCTCTTCTATAGTCATTTCTACACCGTAAGCATGATCTGGATTGACATTCGGTAGTGCCAACAGGTCTGTCGACCGTAAAAAGAAGTTTCCATGGAAGGCTGTCATCTTGATTCCTAAAAAAACGAAAATGAAAATAACTGAGACGCAAGAGCAAAAAACCATGAAGAGGACAAAAAATGAGACAAACGACGTACCCTTGGACGCTCTCACCCGCAATACTGCTTCCAAACCAATAGGTCGACCCATAAAGTGTGACAACTCTTGAGCAAACTTCAGCGCATCTTCGGACCTTGCTGCATTAAAGCCTGGGTAGTAGTATACAGAACCACCAGTATATTTGGCACAGCCGCCTAAAGCCGGTTTGATTTAATTGTGAGTTAACCTGCTCTTTTGATTCTCTTTCTGACCTCGACCTCGAAACTAAACTAAAACTCACTGAGTGTTGCAAGATCCATATATTGACCGCTGAACAAGAACAAGTCTATACTGACTTGTGCTCGTGAGCAGTCAACTGCCAAAGTCTTGTAAAAAGGAATGGCCGGTTGAAGGAGGGTTGATTCCTGCAGTGGACAAATTACGTTACAGTAGAGGTAAAAGACGGATATGTATACAAAGCCAGCATATGCTCACTTTAGGAGTTCCAAACAACTTGATATCTTCACGAACTTTCAGAGCACCAGCATGTAACGTAGGTAGCGACGCTTGCAAACACACAATCTTGCCACCAATAGGGTTCTAAGTATTCAAAACGTTAGCTCCCACCCCATGGTCAACTACAAGCCCGGCAGTCTTCTGTCATCACAACTGAGATGGGAAGAGCACTTACAACTAATTTGTATGCAGCTTGTAATGCTGGACCCAACGCACTTTGAACATTTTGCGTTGAAGCAAACATGTCCGGTATCCTCTTCAACAAGGTTTCAATAGTTTGACGACATTCAGACAAATTGACGAGTAAATCTTCGGGTTGTGGCAGAAAGACATCTTCCAGATCTGAAACCACCAACATTTGCGGTTCAGTCAATGTCGCCTATTTTGCAAAGGATTGGTAATTAGCGAGGATGAAAAACAGGGCAAGGCTGTCATGGACATTCATTCGCAATATGACTCACATTGAGGTTGTAAAAGTGTATGGTACTATCTACAGTAATGAATCCAATTTTTGTACGATCATCCGTATTGGGTATCGAGTCTAATGATTCTAATATCGTTCGTACAGCGGTGGCGACCATTCCTGTTGATGAAAATAGGTTCAGCAACTATGCAACACCTTATGATAGTTTTGCACTCTATTTCACAATACCGACCTGATTGGATGGCAGCATAAGTCACATCAATCAAAAACAGCATAACAACTGGCTGTGGTGGTCGAACCTGGAAAGTTTCAAAAACAAAATGAATTTAATATCAGCAACAAGTTTCTTCAGATGATGTGACATACCATATATTCTTGTGGTGCAACATATTCAACAACAGCATGGGTGAGTTCCGTTCTCTTTAAGCGATCTACAGGTTGCCTTGTTTCCATATCGTAATCAAAGAATTGTGGTACTATACAACACCTTGTGAGAAACACGAAACAATGTGGATCTGTCATCATACTTGGGTCTTGATTACCTTCATTTGTGAGGAAACACAAATTGCACTTCCATCTAGTTCCTTGATCCACAAATTGAATCCATGGATTGATGTATGATCGACACCTCCTACATCTGACAATAGTCTCTGGATTGATGACGGGCACAGGTTCCTTTGAGGAGTTTGTGTGAGAAAACAGAACACACACCTAAAAATTCTGCCAGACGATATATCAATACTATCATGGTTTTACCTCTCCAGGATGTATATTACGATAAGGTGAAAGAACCAATGCGAACGGCATTTTGGACTTGTTGAGTAGCTGTAGCGTTTGAGGCACTGCTCCAACGGTACATCGTTTATAAGATGGATCGGAATTGGATGTAGGTGCAGCTGATACAGACGCCTACGAGAATGATGACAAAAAAGAGCTTAGCGTCATCTATTAATCATAATTAGGGATCGGTCATACCGTGCTCGCCATCATAAACGGAGGTGGCGGTCTAAGCAACTCAGTAGCTAGTGGTATGCCTTGTAATAGATTGACGCCTGGGGGACCTCGATTCTAAACAATGGCAACATTCGTGAGCTGTCGCAGAAAACGACTTGCAACCACGAACGATACCTGTCCTGATGCCGCGTTATAACCACTGCCACCACCAACAGCCATATTGCCAAAACTATTAATTATAGATCCCATATCAGATCCATAACCTTGCTGTGGTTGCTGCTGCTGCTGCTGCTGTTGTTGAATTGGAGCAGCATGTCCATATTGTTGAGGTTGTTGCATTCCATAAGCAGGTTGTGGCTGGTAGCCTGCAGCGATAGGAGCTTGTGCCATTGAAGGATTTCTATTATAAGCTGGACCATTATTACTCATCCCTTGGTCAACTGGAGCATAACCAGCAGGTGATATTGGAACGTTTTGAGGGTTGAAGGGATCTATAGCTTGTGATGCAGGACCACCGTAAGCTGCCATTTGTTCGGGATATGCACGTCTAGAAGATGGTCTATTGGCTGTTGACATTGGTTGATTTGGTTGCATGGGTTGTTGTTGTATAGGTTGCTGTACAGGCTGTTGTGGTTGTTGTTGTATTGGTTGCTGCATCTGCTGCGGTTGCTGCATTGGTTGCTGCATCGGTTGTTGCTGTAATGGCATTTGTAGTTGTGGCATTCCTGCCATGGGATGTTGCTGTGACATTGGCTGTTGCGTTCCTTGACCAACCAGATTGGGACTTATGCCACCAGACATTGCGGGCATTGGTCTAGGTTGCATTGGCTGCATGGGCTGTTGTGGAAGTGGCCTAGCCCCACCAACAGTAGCTGGATTGACAAAACCTGGTTGTTGAGGATTGAAGCCAGGTCTAGTTCCAGGTTGAAAAGGAGCAGCCTGTTGATATTGCTGTTGTGGCATTGTAGGACGACCATATGAAGTAGGAGGAATACCTATCATTCCAGTTTAGTCAGTGTTTGATTCACGCGTTACTTAAAATATTGATGTTTTGTCTCGTTGTTTGAATGTGGATGTTCCAACCAGTTCCACGCAATGCAGTTGACGTGTCTTGTGAGGAATGGACGTACCATTTGTGGGTGGATTCAATGGTCTCTGTAAACCGTCTATTGAAGGCTGTTGATAGACACCATTGATTGCAGCTTGATTCAGATTTGGATTTGGTGGTTGCTGCATTGTATATATATAAGAGAGACCAAATAAGCTGGATTAGCGATCAAGCCGACACCACCTAGTAAACAATGTCGATTTAGAACTGCAAGGGTCAAGTGTTTATTGTCCTTGCTTTCGTCAAGATGAAAATTCGAGATTGTGAAGTGCGAATGAATCACCACGAGAACAGCACCAAACTTCATGAAAGACAGCAATTTACGCGTTTTCTATTTGTAGCATTGGGAAGATGTGAGTCGACACGTCAGATTCCAGCAGTATCTTGCTGTGCTCGAAATGCTAAACAACATCACGTTTATTTAGAAATCACGCCTTCAGACTGTTTAAAGAGTTGGATAGTATTAATATATTTGGAACTACCGAATCCACGAATCCGTTTTCCCTTGTATAGACCAAATTCGCTCGCTCCCTTCATTTGCATCTGCAGACAAACTCTGAAACTCAACGAATAGAGTAAATCAACCTGATTATATACTTGTCTAGAGGAAGAAGGCAGATAGATAGGCAGCCATGATCAATATTATGAGCATGAAAAAGAAACAGGTATCCGCATAGCTTTCAGCCTTAATTCATGTTTAAGCTTGCAAGTTACAACTCATTCTCGCACCGTCATTCCACCAGGCCGAGGGTGCTGCTGGAGGCCCAAAGAAGGCTAAAGCATCTGCTGCTCACTTGAGATTGACTACTGGTATGCCATTCCATCCTCTCGATTGGCGATTGCTCGTAGAAACAGTCAGTAATCAAACACACTCTATGCAACTAGATATGAACGAAATGAAGTCATTGCCCAAGACAATGAAGCTGGAATTCACCGATCCCGATGACCTCTTCAATTTCAACTTTTACATCTATCCTGATGAAGGTAGAGCTTACCAGCGTTTAAAGTTGCCACGAGAAGGATGGAACTCCTGATGGTCGAGTGTCGTATCGAACTCGAGCTCATTCAATATTGCGTTACATTACAGGATTCTATAAAGGAGGCAAATTCAAATTCACATTCAAATTCAACACAAACTATCCTCATGAACCACCAAAGGTCCTTTGTGCACAAAAGGTAATGCAGAACCATATCGATGATGGAGCAGTCATACCCATCAACTCTGCATGTGAGACTGAGAGTAGTACTTCCACCTTGCCAACGATCTACTCATTGCCACGTATAGTTACTCAGTCATACATCATCACTCATCATCACACCCAATTAGATCTACCACCCAAATATCGACTTGGAAGGAAACGTCTGTCTCAATATTCTCAGAGAAGATTGGAAACCAGTACTCAACATCAACTCGATAACAGTCGGTTTACAATACTTGTTTCTGGAACCCAACGCTGACGATCCTCTGAATAAAGGTATGGGTTGTTTCCTGGATCAACCTGGGATCGGCAAGAGAAACACTTTTATATGAGGATGAAGCGCAAATGTCGCCTGCGTTTGATGGACACCGTGTCGTTATCATGAATCAGATTTGGATGACGTGTCCCAACAATGTTACTATGAAGTCTATCCAACACACATCCATTCCCTCTTCCAGACGCTGCACAAGTATTGAGAAAGGATCGGCGACAATTTGAACAGAATGTAAACCGATCCATGCGAGGTGGTAGCATAGAGGGCAACGAGTTTGACTACGTGCTATGAGGAATGTGTCTAATAGTTTTATTCTTAAGCATATTATGGGCAAATCTTTCTCTTATATGGATAGATTTGCCCAAACACACTTAAAACCGAAAACGAATACCTCCTCCTTCTTCGCACATAAAACACACAACATACTTTGAAACTTTTGTAGCAATAGATGAAATATGGAAAACTGAACCTGTCATTGTGTTGGCTGTGTTTGAAATTTGGTCAGTTCAAAAACTCATCGAAAAGAAACTGGTTTGCAAACGAAACGAAAGAGTTAACATCATGTAGTCCAGATTCGTCACCACAACCTTCACAACAAAAAATGTCGGTCTCTTGGTTCTCCACAGTTCGATATTGTCAACACTTTCATTCAGCACAAAAACCTGAAACATGATTAACTTGATACGAACTTTCTATCATTCTATATTAAAAAATGAATCTAATCATCTACTTGGAACTACCGCTCGTCAATCCAGACTCCCTGGCCAGAGAGTAAAACTTGGATCGATGATTTTTGAGAAGATTACGTGGTGAATCGAATTCACTGACTTGACCTCGATCAAGGACAAGGATTCGGTCATTATCCATCACCGTATTGATTCGATGGGCAATGACGAGAATGGTGCAATCCTTGAACTATAAAATTTGTGAAAGAGTTCGTCTGGTTATTGTTTTTTGTGGCTTTTAAATCTTTGTAGCAAGCATACCTCTTTTCGAATCGTCTTTTGAATGATTGAATCGGTTTCTAAAGTACAGAAAAAGAAGAAGTCAGCCAAGTTTGTTAAAAGCGAAAGAATGTAATAATCCAACCAAAGAATGTAATAATCTTGAACTCTTAGAGCCACGCAACAGTGTAGTCACTGACCTTGATCAATACTTGCAGTAGCTTCATCAAGAACCTACAAGATAGAGATGAGCAAGTCTTGAAATGGCAGATAAAGTAGGCTGCGAGTACACTCAATTATTATTGGATCAACAAAAACTTCAAGACGCGACATACCAATATCTTGGTTTTGCGCAAAAGGGCTCTTGCAAGACACAGAAGCTGGCGTTGGCCAACAGACCAATTTTCACCACCTAAGAGGCGAACGCACGACACAAATTAACATGTGACAACATTGACCTCCTACGTGAAAGTCTCATACCTTGTAATACAGGTGCAGATAACTTCAGTTCTAATCTGCCCACAGTTTCCTTCAAAGACGCACTCTCAAGTGCACGCCAAATCTCATCATCTGTATGTTTAACGAATGGATCCAGATTGTCTCGAACAGTGCCTTGGAAGAGCACTGGATCCTGTTCATTAGGACATAAAGACGAGATTAAACAATGAATTGGCAATGTCTCGTGCCATCGTGAAGCAAAACCCAAATGAACAGGGACGAATATTTACAAACAATTCTTGCACTGAGTTCTCTCAATTACCTGAGGAATAATGGTCAACTTGGACCTCAACGTTCCCAATCCCAAAGCACTGACATCAACTCCATCAATAGCGATACTTCCAGATGCAGCTTCGACAAGACGGAATAAACTGAGTGTCAAACTCGACTTGCCAGCACCTGTACGTCCGACTATTCCAATCTTTTCTTGTGGCTTTACGGAGAATGTCACATCCTGCCGTAACATGTGAAAAACTAGGTGAGCAAACAGAGAAGTAAGGAAAAAACCGGATTGGTAACAAACCTTGAGGACCAGATCTAACCCTTCACGATATCGTGTAGAGTAATTTCTAAACTCGATAGCTCCATTGGCTGGCCAATGCGGTGGTAGAGATCTATCTTGTTTAGTCTCATATAAAGCTTCTTGTTTGAGGTCTATGTATTCCTTAATACGTTCCTAATAAATGCGGCATAGGTCAGCAAAATAATACTTGAGCCTCTTCGAAGTTTCCAAAAACTTTCGTACCACTGAAACGATATTTGTCTGTGTGGAAAAAAGTGAAAAGGTGAGTGGTGAAGCGAATCAAAAACTAGCCGACTTTTGGATACTGACCTCAATCTCACAACTCTGTCTGACCATCCAGTTCAGAGTCTGAGTAACCGACAAAGCATACATCAAACTCAAACCAACTGAGCTTCCGTCAATATGACCCGTGATGTAAATGGTTAAGACTGTAAACAGTGCAGAACCAAAGACAATCAGAGACCCGATTGTTTCTAACCTAACAGCAAGCCATCTGTTTGATGATACACTTGGGTAGTACGCCTAGAAAGGAGACAAAACGTTGTCAGAGACAAGTGCAAGTTATAGACAGATTCTCTTCTGCATACTCGTTGATTGATATCTAGTCGATCCTCATTGGAATGCTGAAACCTCATTTCTTGTTTGTAAGCTCGAATACTTGATACTCCACCGAGCGTCTCACTAAAGTGAGCGTATATTGGCGAACGACTGACAGAATCCTATAAGAGCAAATAGGTTAGATGGTACAGGATTCCCAGCAATGCAAGACTGAAGAACATACCAGACGCTTCAATTCTCGGCTGGTTCGGATATAGAATTGTTGGAAGTATAAATAAAGAAGGCCTAAATGAAAGTATTCAGTGAATCACGACTTGGTAACTTTTCTTGAGAGACATACCAAGAGGAGTAGCGAAAACGATGAAATACGGAGAAATCATCGCGTTTACAGCCAAGACCGCAAGAACTTGGAAAAGTGTTCTGAAGAAACCTTGGAAGACTCGAGGAAGGACCTGCGACAAATAACGTTTTAGCGTCACAACAAAACCTGACCGACATTTTCCATGATTGTTCTTACTTCATCAACAGTGTACTGGTCTTTGCTGAATCGATTAAGAATTCTTCCAAGAGGAGTCACATCGAAGAATTGTTGAGGGAGTCTCATGACATTCAACAACATATCTGAGTGTAACTTGCGGGCAGACCTTTGGTTGAAAATGATGCATCAATAACCCATATACTTGTCTTCCAATTTTTGCGCGATTCAGATTTATGACATACCGAATGCCACAAAAGATAACAACAAAGATAACCTGTAGCAGCACCGTAAAACTACTAGCAATGCCAAGACCACCATACACAGCCAACCTTGTTCCAATCGACACACCACCACTATCAGAATCATTGGACCTCGTCCAATCAGCCAAGTACAAGTTCATGCCAATCGAAATGCTCTGTGTGCCGATACACATGATCAAGAAGAGGATGACAGCTTCTAGAGAACATGATTTGGCATATGTGATATAAACATCCCATGATACAGATCCTGAAGCTGATGTTTCCTTTTGAACTAATTGAGTACCATTTATGACTATTGGTGCTTTCATGACAGCACCGTTTTCAACTACAGGTGCGGTAACTGTTGTTGTTGGCATAGTCGTTGTAGTTGCAGCAGTGAAAGGAGTGGTAGCTCCATTTGGTGCAGCTTTTCGTTGTTGTTCAGGTGTATTTGATTCTGAGGCGGGTTCTGAGACGTGGTGTTGTTTGCCATAGTCTCTCATCAAACCTCTTAGACATGACTCTTCTTGAATTAAGGATGCGTATGATCCCAATTCACAGATACGGCCACCAGCTACGGTCATGACATGATCACATTCTGGTAAGAATTGTATGCTGTGTGTGACTGGTGGGAAATTGGGGTTAGTACACAGAATATTAAGAAAACGTTCCTTGAACGACTTGGACCATATCCTCCTGACGAGAAAAGACCATATGAAGCGTGAGGGAGTTAAACTCACCGAATATACGAGCCTTGTCCTTCAACAATCCCTCTGGACCCAAAACACTTGTAAATATAGAACGACCAACGTGCGCATCAACGCTTGATAGGGTGTCGTCTACTAAATAGATATCGGCGCGAGCGTATACTGCGCGTGCCAAAGCCACCTGGTTTTTTCAAAAAAAAAGTTCAGGTTAGCAACGGAGAGTGGCTTTTCCCATATTGTCAGCACTGACTCTGGCTTTCTGACCGCCTGATAAATTAATCCCCTGTAAAAATGTGTTGGAATTTAATTAAAAATGTGCAAACCGGAAAACAAGAAGTCAGGTTATACCCTTTCACTACGAGAGGAGGAGTGTTAGTCGGATTTCAAAAGCATCCTGGAACGAGGCGGGAACGCTGTGGCCCAGCCACATCAATCCTTCATTATCCAACAAAACAACTTACCCAATCTCTGTCAAATCATTTCCAGGAAGCATTTCCAAATCAGGTTTCAATCCACAGGCAGTAATAGTTTCTTCGTAAAAGTCATGTTCATAACGAGACCCAAACAAGATATTATCACGTAATGTGGCATTCATAATCCATGGTGTCTGAGGGACGTAGGCTACAGATCCACGAATGATGACACTGCCACTTGACTTGTACATTTCACCCAACAAGGCTGAAACAATGGATGATTTACCAGCACCGACAACTCCAACGATGGCAAGCTATGAAGAATTAAAGGAGTGTGAGAGGTGGAAATTCGATCATATACAGATTGAGATGGACAAACCCCTCGCAATTCGCATGCTCACCAACTCTCCATCCTTGCAATTGAAGCTAATATCTGTAAGATTAGACTCGTTCGAAGTTCTTGCCCATCTGAAGACACCATCCTTGACTGCGACTCGTTCTACTGAGTTGGCTTTCGTGGAAGGAGGTGGTGTTTCATACACCACAGCTTTGTTATCCAATTCTTCATTGACCAAGAACTTGTACAGTCTTCCGAATGATACAGAGGCCTCAATGCATGAGGTGATGACACTTGGTAGCATGGATAACGGGAATTGAAGAAGGTTGAAGAGTGTCAGGGACACGAAAACTAGGAGAAAGTCAAGATTGATACGACTAGGTATATGTATGTCGTTTGTCGATTAAACTTTTTTGCATACCCTTGTCAGACGTGAGAGGCTGATCCGAAATTACAGCATATAGCGAAAACGACAAGAATGATACAAAAAAGGGGGTTGCAGACCAGGAGAAACTTTAACAGACATGACACGATTTTAGCAGCGAGTTTGCTTTATCAGTGCTGAATGCAGAATAAATGGAATTGTACCTTGATGCGGCCGCCAAATAGGCAATCCTCCTCAGAGTACTCAATTCCTGTTCTCTTGCTCCAGAAATCTTCTTCAAGAAAGATCTAAAAGCAAAGCGAGTTCATTGACATATGGATCATTTGACATAAAATTTGTTTGAATTATAGGAATGCTTACCTCTCCCACGCATAGAGCTTTCAAAGTATCATAGATGTGTTAGTTTAACCACGGACAATACCGAACTAATAAACAACTTTTCAATATACCTTGATGACCTGAATAAATCATCCAAAGTTCGAGGTGCTGTTAGTTCAAGGTCACTGCGCAAAAAAAGGAACACAATTGCGAACTATACCTTAATTCCATTCAAGATCTCATCCATCATCTTCGTCCTTCTATCCTTATTCTTCATTTGAATAACTCCCAACTTCTTTGCTTGCGTAGCCAACCATGCATTCACAGGAATCATAAGCAACATGACCGCAACCCCCGCAAAGATAGCAGGTCCCAAAGCCTCATACAAAAAGTACAAGGCAAGACATATCTGGAATGGACCACTCCATAAGATGTGTAGATATGAAGTTAAATCCATTATACGAGCGGCATCAACACTCATCAAGTTGACTATTTCGCCAACTGTAGAGCTTTGACGACTGTTGTTTGATAGGCGGAGAGCTTTTCGATATACTGCGGTTACGATTGCTGCTCGTACCTAAATACGATAAAGTAATATGAACAATTTGGCGAACGGCCACATCATAAACTCATTGAACTCTTACTCTCATTCCAGTTATGAAACAGATATGAAAGTACTGGTGAAGTACTGCAGTTTGACATAAGGCCGTAAGCAGCATCAAAACTACAAAGTGCAAGGACGTCAGCACATGCTTTTCGTTTAGATGGTTTTTTTTCCGTTTAAGTACGTACTAGCAATTGAAAAGCCACGATACATGGGTTGAGGAAAGGTAGCCGTATCAGGAGACCAACTCTTTGCAAAGAGCATCAAATATTTCAACAATTGGGGTTGAAAGAAACCGAGTGCATCTTGAGTAGCCTACAAGGAACAAGTGCTCGATAAGTCTGTAATCTCACTCGGCAGTACATTCCCACTCCAGCACATACTTTGAAGATGGCAGCTGACATGAATGTAGGTCCAAATGTCTTGTATATGGCAGCAAACAAGGAAGGGTTCTTCAATGCAAGCTGTTCATTCCAATACTTCTGGAAGGTTTCCGAATTGTATTTAGCGGAGTCGATATTCTTAAGCATCCTTTTATGAGCAAAAAAGAGTCATTAACCTGAATCTGTAAAATTCATACAACATATGAGTATGAGTACCACAAGTCGTCCATCTCCAAATCCTTTTTTGCACCCGCTTTCATCAACCCGTCCATCCAATGAAAGGTAAGCCTCGAGAATATATTAGCAGTCTCTTCAGGCGTCACATTCACATTCTCATCAAGACTCATATAATACGTATACGGCTTCGACATGTTCTCAACACCAAACACAATCAAAGCTTCAAACGTGATTGCAATAATAAGCCCAAACAAGACAGGATCAGTATCCACGATGTCTGTTTGGATGTACGTGTTGATCTTGACACCATTAAAGATAAGTACGAGGAGCCAATAGAAGAGCAGAGCTGATGACGAGAGTCGTGAACGTAAGTGCTCCATGTGCGTCAAGACCAAAGCGATGATGGTGACTGGGATGTCTACAGCTGATGACACGATCAGGAAGGGTTGACCCAGACCGTGTTTGATGAAGATATACGTTGTTTGGAGGACAAACAATGCAAGGATGGTTGACGTGGTGACCTTGTGATAGCCAGTTTTGTTTAGTTCCAAGACAACTAGAGCTCAGAGTTGATGCAATCAATAACAACTGAGTATTTACCATCTTGCACCAGTATAGCCATCCTTTAGGTACCATAGGTGAGGGCCGACCAGCAAGCTTTACAGATCTGATTATTGCCCAAATCACCAATAGCAATCGTGGAATTGATAGGAGTACTGTCTCTTCAAAACAAGGAGTCAGGTCCAATAGTCTATCGGTGCTCCATGGGCCAAATCCCTCCCCACCAGCACAAAAGTCTGCCATTTGCTGTAAAATGTGGGGGAAATGAGTAAAAATTTAGTTAGCTTCAGTTCCTTCCACAGCAAGAAAGATCCGATTGGTCCGATGCACGATAAAGCTTACATCTATAAGACCTGTTCACCAATAGAAAGCCTTTCTGTAATCGTCGCACTCTTTGCTGAGTGTTTGTGGTTTGAAATCAAGATTTTCGTTCAGCAGTTAAGATAATGACTTTCTCGACCACGGAGAACGTGTTTGATACTTTATTTCGACGCTTATACGCCCTACTGCAGTCTCCAATAATTGATATTGGGGTGCATCGCCCAAAAAATGCAAACGCAAAAGGTTGGTTTCAAATATTATTTTTGAAGCGATCGGTAGCTCGTAGCGTGTTAATAACGTATTTATTAAGCCATGCACGTAATATTGCTTAAATGAGCCTTTTCCTTCCACGATCTTTTTCCCAATTTGCATTCTGCTCCTCCAAACATTGTAAGAAAAGGTACATTGGCAGAAATATGTCGATTCATTCAGGACAAAAGCTGTTTTTCCCAAACATCGTCTTCCGACTAGTCCGATCGACACTACCTCCTCATCAAGCTCTCTTCCGTATCCCTCGCCAAGTCAACAAGCTAGATGTAAAAGCGTATTTGAAGGCCATCTACGATGTCGAAGTGACGGATGTGAGAACCGCAAACTACAATAGTAAAATGACTACCGATATTAAGAACAGCAGTCTCAATAAACGGGCTGCCATGGTTAGAACTCCGGCTTATAAGAGAGCTATTGTCACTATGAAACAGGATTTTGTCTTTCCTGCTGTACCCAAGGTTGGCGAGAATGGAGTACAGCCATTGCCACCTGCCAATATCGTAAGTGCTTTGATTGATTTGTGTGTCATTGATGTGTGGATAACGACTGCGGGATGCAGATACCGGTCTTTCATTGCTTCTTTTGCTCAACTTGTCAGCTATTCCACGCATTGCTCACCATCACTTACATTGCTTTGCTTCTGCTTAGCGAGCCTATCCAGCACGTAATCGTGAAAACTTTAGACTTGACTTCTACAAGGACTTTTATACAGAAATGAGTAACTTGTCTCGTCGAGCTGAAGCCATTGAACGTGGTGAAGAAGTAGCAGAACCACCTAAACAGAAATTGGGCTATCTATCTGCAAAGAGGAAACGTATCGTCGATGGAGCTCTTAAACCACTCCGAGATATTGTAGAAGAACGAATCGCTGCTTTGCCAAAGAAGGCCAAGGAATAGTCGTGGCGGAGGTTTTTTGTAAAGTGTGATCGTGGGGTGTACTTCCTCTGTAAATTAATAATGAAATTTTCATCTGTTTTGTTTGCATCTACACAAACCTTTTCGTCGGAGTTCATGAAGCTTTGAACGAAAGAGCATATTTCTTAATATCATTCAACGTATATTTCTTTATCCTCGACTATGTTTTTAAAAGCGTTTAATGACCTTCATGGTAATCTGGTAACACCAAGACGTGTTAGTTTGTGGGAAAAAAAGAGACGATAAAGCAAATATTTGACTGGTCTTACCATATGCTTTCACGGCAGTTGGCATCAGGAGATTGTCAACTTTGTCACATGTGTAATCCCACTAACAATTGAAATAATCTCAGTATTGTTTACGATGAGAGAGCAGGCTCACTAGCGGTTAACATACAGCATCGGGATAGTTGTGTGGGTCATCGATGGGGTCGACCAATGCTGGCCAAGCTTCTTCTTCTAATCCGGCTTCATTGCCAGCAGCTTGAACTTGAGCCAATTCGAATTCAGGCTATGATAAATGAGAGTTGGCAAGTCATTATCGAAATTATCGAAGATATGTTGAGTGACAAATCCAGGTCGTGGGCATGAATTGAATATGATTGAATCTTGATGATCGTCATGATACATCTGGTTTCATCGTCGTCCACTTTACCTTTGCAGGTGGAGTTGGCATAGAGACAGTTTCAGGTAAACCAGCAGCTGCACTCTTATCCTATGTAAGTCATACACATCCACTTAGCGAAAGCATTCATTGATGATGTAGGAATGTGGTTGAATACCTCTGGTGGTGCCTTGTAAGCCCTTATTTCCTTCAAATACAACTCCGTCACAATGTCTGGTTTTTGATGCAAAAATGTTGATTGTTATAGAGAGGGATGCAATAGACAATCAACTAGCAGTATAGTACCTTTGTTAAGGATTGCATGGGATGCAAATGCTCGTGGAGCTACTTGTCGAGTAGCAGAAGCAACTTGATATGGCTAATATTGTCAAAGACAGTGTAAGCATTTTTTGTTCACTTTGGCATAATGAAGGTAGAGGAACAATAGAGAGATGCAAAGTAGACTGAATGTGATGCACTTATACCTTGACAGCTACAGCTGCAGCCCGCACAACACGAGCAAACATGATTTTCAAGAATTTTTGGACCTTACGAGAATGTGAGGATGGTGCTCCCGATGTTTTCTAGACAAAGGAATACAGGAACACAGCGGATGTAGGTGATGTAGGTAGTATAGTATGAGCAATATGAGAATTCTCTCCACGCTGATAGAACCTGTCAAAGCGCGACAACTTTCGAGCTGAGTTAGGTAGACCCAATTTCTCAACGAAAACTGGTAGGCAAGCGTGTATCTAAGAAACTAATGGTTGATACACGCGTTTTTTTTTTACTCTTTGCACCTTTTTCTGACGTACTTTTGCCTACCTGTTTTACCACTCCCTTGCTCAAGCAGAACGCAGGACGAGTCATTGAAAGGAAGCTATGAAATACTTCGTAGGGCTGGGTCTCCTATCGCTATGCGCACATATACACGTTTTGTATGCAGATGAACATACTCACAAGGCAAGTTTGGAGGAGATTGTCGAAAAACTTCACGAGTAATTCGCTTACACTCTGGTCCGCTTGTCAATCTAGTATACTAAAGGAGAGGAAGTGGTACTCTGGTACAGTACTGTTGGCCCGTACTCGAATCGCCAAGAGGTCTCTTTGCCAAAAACACGTTTATCTCGATTGACTCAAAACATCAACCAGCACAATCAAACTGACACTTTCACCGAAACAGACTTACGATTTCTTGCAACTACCTTATTGCACGGGCAGCAAGTCGGTAGAACATCATCATGAAACCTTGGGTGAAGCGCTTATGGGAATCAGCCTTGTGAACTCCGGAATTGACATTCACTACACAAGTAGGTTCATGACGGTTTCGCTAGCTGCTAACGCTGATCTGGCTGTTTATTGACTTATGGCCCTTCCCTCCACTGTTTTAGCCCCTGTGACCAAAGGAGAGATATGTACGACTAGGTTGACGCCAGCTCAAGTCAATCTATTTCGATATGCTGTAGTGAATAGCTACTACTACCAGATCTATATCGGTATTGATATTATAGTTTGAGCGGTTCGTTTCTGTTGTGGCACTAACATATTCTTATTTTCCAACCAAAAGATGATTTGCCTATGGTGAGTGTGAAAGAACGATGCAAACCTCATTAGACACGCAATGCATTTAGCACCAATTACGCTTAATAAAAACATTTTATTTAGTGGGATTTTGTGGGTGAAGCCAGTAAAACTACGCCAGGAGAGCTCTCTCTCTACACACACAAGGACATTGAAATCTTTTACAATGAGGACAGAATCATCGAAGTCTCGTTAAAGAGCAGCGAACTAGTCAGATTATTCCACGATTACAACGTTGGAGAACTGGAAGTTTCGTTTACATACTCGGTGACGTGGACACCAACTACGAAACTTTTCGAGAACCGTTTCAACAAGTATCTGGATTCTACATTCTTCGAACACAAGGTAGAATCCTTTCCCGATCGGGAGCAGCAGCCTTTAAGCGCTTGAAAGCGTCTGGTCTTGCTCACCCTTGCGTTACTTAGATACATTGGTTCTCAATAACAAACTCTTTCATCATGGTGATATTCTTAACGGGAATGGTTGCAGTCATTCTACTTCGCAGGTAAAAAAGCCCGTGATCAAATTTTACTGTAATGAAATGTATCTTCTCGAACCTTCACCTCTGTGTTTAGCCTGAGGAGAGACTACGCGAGATACGACAAGGAAGACATTGGAATGGATCTAGACCGTGATATTGGCGACGATTACGGATGGAAGCAAGTCCACGGCGATGTATTTCGTCCACCTCCTAATCTCGCTGCATTCTCGGCGTTCGTTGGGACTGGTTGTCAGCTGATTTGTATGACATTGTTGGTTATTGTTTACACCATTGTCGGAGACCTTTACGCAGGTAAAACGGAGATAGCAGCTTGGGCTTCCAATTTGTTCACCGCCTTCGTCTAGAACGAGCTACTATGCTTACGGCTAGTATCTTTATTTATGCTTTGACATCTATGATCAGTGGTTACTACGCCGGAAGTTTCTATGCTCAATACGGAGGCAAGAACTGGATTGGAACCATGTTGTTTACTTCCATGTTGTGGCCTGGAGCTGTTAGTGCTACAGCTTTAGCAGTGAATCTTGTTGCATGGCCATATGGATCGTCCAAAGCTATACCGTTTATGACCATGGTTAGTGGAATTCTTACGGTTATTACCTCTGTTTTTGCCCTTACACGCTATTTTGAACCACTTGAGCTTGCCATAATATCAATTTGGCTGTTTCTTGTGTTCCCTTTGACACTATTAGGATCCATCATCGGTCGCAATTGGGCTGGTGAAGCTACATTTCCTTGTCGAGTCAATCCAGTAAGCTCAGCTACCTCCAGAAGTTGTAAGTGGCATTCTATGACTGACTGTTTTTTTTTTGTTTACAAAAGATACCTCGCCCTATACCAGACAAGGCATGGTATGCTGAACCGAGTGTCATCATTGCACTAGCAGGGTTGCTACCATTTGGCTCGATCTTTATCGAAATGTATTATGTCTTCTCTTCGTTCTTTGCATACAAGATCTATTATGTGTATAGTTTCGTACTGGTAAGCTCTGAGTCCATCGCATTTTTTGCAACCACCCTTTGTATGAAATTTACTTAAGACATATGCCTTTTCGTAGCTGGTATTTGTCGTGCTTTTGATTGTAGTGGCATGTGTTTCCGTGGTATCTATATATTTTCTTCTAAATTCAGAGGACCACAGATGGTATTTTCCGTGACTAGAATCTGATACAGCTCCAGTGGTTGCTCGTTTACCTTTCCTCTCTTTCCAGGCACTGGATTTCATTCATCGCATCAGGTAGTGCATCACTTTACGTGTTTGGCTACTCGATTTACTACTTTCAAGTAAATACCAAGTACGTTGGTGCACTCGCCTTTTGGCAATCGTTCCCGCTATTTGAACTAACCGCCAAAATACCTACCAACAAACCTAGGATGTATGGGCTGTTCCAAACAGTGTTTTATTTCGCCTATTCCGGCCTTGGTTGCTTTACCCTCTTCATAATGCTAGGAAGTGTAGGGTTCTTCACAGCTGATTTGTTTATTAGGTCCATATATCGGAACGTGAAGGTATGCTGGCAACTGCCATTTGTATCTGCTTTTTTGATCCGTGACCTTCTGACCATTGTGTTTCTTAACACATACATGCATTTCACACAGATTGATTGACACTCCATAACTTCTTCAAGGACAAAAGCACAGTGTCGTCCTTGACCCCAAAAACATAATTGCATAAGGACGTATTTGAAAACCACACCAAACATTTTTGTAAACATAATAGACATCTTTTTCGTGTAGATGCTATGCAAACACCAATTGTTTTATTTTTAAATCGTCTACTTTTTATACTCCACGGCTACACTCTTACTACTACCTATAAAACTTAAAAAGTTTGCACATTTAATCCCATAGAAGCAGTCTGATACACCTTCCTAGCAATCGTAACAAGAGTTTGTCCAAACTTTGTCTGTAAGAATGCATTCAAACGAGCCCTAACAGGTGGTCTAGTCACCACAATCGCTAATATACCAGATATACCTAGTATGGGAGCCAAGATCATCAAGAGTTTGAACCAAGGCGTATCTACTATTGATGTTGGTTGTGATGGTTGCGGCGCTTGCATTACTAGTGGTGTTGTTTGTGCCAGTTGCTGTTGCTGAGGTATAGGAGGCAACGGTCGTAACGGTGGTGGTCGTGCAGGTGTTGAGACGGCACTGTTATCTGGTGATTCGTCTATGATATTCTGTACCTGTGGAGCTGTTATGACTGGTGCTGGTGCTGCTATTGGTATCGGCTTGGTGCTGGTGCTTTCACTGCTTGCTGCTGCTTCTGTTGTTGCTGGTGATGTGGATTGTTCGTGGTGTTTGGTTTTGGTGTGGTGACGTTGTTCTTTTGATGATTCTGCTGTTTTGATGCGTATTACGTTTACGTGTTTTAAAAGGACCTATGATTTTGGCAAAACGAAGACTTAGCTGACATGTTGCGATTGAAACCAATCGTTTCGCGATAATGACAGGATACATAGCTTCAAACTGCGTGAAACTGAGCAGCTGGCCTAAACGTACCTCCCGTTTACTCAGACTCAACAAGTCATTATACGTCAGAAACTCTTGTGACGAAGTGAAATCACCAACGTGAGGCAAGATATGAAGAACATAGAGTTCGACGAGTCGTTCATAAGCCTGCGACTGTGGACCATCCGGGTTTGCATGTATACCGTTGAAGAACTCGTCTTCTTGTAAGGACAACCACGATTCGAATGCATCACGGGCATTCTGGTGTTGAGATCTGCGGATCAGTAGTAATAGCCTAGAGTAAGAAGAATATAGTGTTGGCTCGACGTTGCCTTTACCAATTGTGTATCAAATGATGGAGTGATGTCACATACCCAGCTACAAGAACATCAGGAGGCAAGTAGCCCAAACCTCCAAATCCTTGCAAACAAGTTCTCCATTCATCATCAGTGTTTGTGCGTTCGGTGGATATGCGTAGATACAGAGTCCAGATGAAGGATTTGAGCTGTTGGTCTGGCTGTTGCTGTTTAATGTAGGGAGCTAGTAATGAGTATGCTTCGTCTAGACGTCGTTGGACAAAGCATTTCGATGCTTTTACTAGGTCGGATGGTGATGTAGTTGCTGGCGTAGCATGCGTTCCATTGACTTTCGCCATATTTGTTACTGCGGGCATCTTTTGAGAATCATGGGAACATTGAATTTGGAAATTGATGACTTTACAGCACGGAGGTGATAATTTAGGTATTTCACTGTATTTAAATGCAGCAGTTTGTGATATTAACACGTTCTGTCACGTCGCATCTGTCCCAGAACAAAGATAGTCTCTCGATACATTTCTCGCTCACAAAAGGACAATCATTTCAATAGCAAGCTCCATCATATAAAATGCTGGGAGAGGAAGCTGCAATCAGCCAGAAAGAACTTAGGAATGTTGTTCAATCAATCCTCAAGAAGGGCGATATGAGGTATACTTCAAGATCGCGAACCAAAAGTCAATTTGAAAAGCACAGTCAAACTAACTTGGATCATCTATAGTACGCTGACTGAAAAGAAGATCCGTCGCGATGCTGAACACCAATTGAAACTACCAGAAAAGGCCCTAGATTCTCGTAAATGTCTTGCTTTGTTGAATCGACATTTAACATTAAATCATCATCTACCAATGTATTAGACAAACCATTCTTCAAGGCTCTTATTGACAAACACTTGCAACTGAGATCTCCTTCCGATGATGACGATTTCGTACAGCAACAATCAAAGTCAACAAAGACGACCACAACGACTGCGCTAAAGGTCAAACCAAAACCAATGACGACCAAGAAGAAGGATGGGTCTAGGTCTTCCAAGAAAGCTAAAACTGATGAAAGTGTTATCAAGAGTGCTGCCATAATTGAAGACTCAGATGACGAGAACGCTACTGCTGCTGATGTGGAAGTCAATATGTCTCAACTTGAAAACAACAAGCCAGTCGTTAGTAAAACAACACCAGCAGCCAAGAAATCGACCAAGAGTACATCTGCTAAGAAGGAATCTGGCAAGAAGGAATCGGGAAAGAAGAAAGAGGTTGTTACTGACGCATCAGACAAGGATCAGGTACTTTCGTAATCATATCCTCGCATGCCCTGTGTTTCATTTGACTTCTATACGTATCGTCAACCTAGGAAAAGATTGGTAACTTGAAAAAGTTTGTGAACGCCTGTGGAGTTCGCAAGATTTGGAAAAAGGAATTGGATGGTCTAGATGCAACGGTACGCATAGTTGTAGATCTTGTTTTGGACCTTCTTAATCCTGAAATTTAACTCTATTCCTATAGCAACAAATTCAAAAAATCACTTCTGTCTTGATCAAACTGGGGCTTAAGGGCAAACCGACTATGGAAGCCTGTAAACGAGTCAAGAATCGTCGTGAATCAGAAAAAGAAATATCAGAGCTAAATCCTGATTTGATTCTGCCTGACACTTCGAAAAGTGAAAGAAGGAAGAGGGCCTCGTCAAATTTTTTTGATAGTGTCAAGAAAGCAAAACAGGATCAGGAGGAGGAAGACGAAGTCTCTGATGCTGATAATGGTGGTCTTGAAGAAAAAGAAGGTGATGATGATGAACAGGTCAACAAGATGGAAGAAGAACCCATAAATGGTTTTGTCAAGGAAGCTGATGAGATGGAGGAGGACGAGGAAGTGGTCAAATCAACAAAGCCTACTTCTCGTAAACGACGAGCTGTAGCTGAAGATGATGACTTTGACGAGTAAAACACACACATATACATACTTCACGCCACACATGTACATACCACACAATTACTGGATCAATTCTGATCGTGTTTATAAATATGTAGCTATGTAACAAGGAGAATATGCAAATACACAGTATATAGATAGAATTCTTATGACCAAACACAACGTTGATGTCCTATTGAGTCAACGATTGACTCTCTAGGATGCCGAGTTCAGTTTACTCTGCAGCGTATCATGCAGAGCCGGAAAGTTGGGTTTCATTTCCTTTTCGATTTCGGATTTGAGGGATGACAATTGCCGTATTCTTCCAAATGTCTTTTGATTCATATTTGTGACGAGCTGTATTTGATTTGCTGTGAATGTATCTGGATTGTGGCCTTTTGCGATGAAGCTATTTGACCGTAAATTGCGTTAGTGCTTGGGCAACTTAGAAATGATGTGATAATAATAGAAGCATACTCATCAATGACAGCAGGTGGTAGATCGATATTAACATTATCTTTGAGTTGGTCTAATTCGCGTAACGTATCTACCACTTGATTTCTAGGTGGGGTTGCGAAAAATGTGAGCTTAATGTCAGCGAGTTGAGCATACAATCCCTTTCAAACCACCAACTAAACCAACAGAGCAACTCTCACATACATTCTATTCATATACACGTCCTTGCCTTCCAGCTGGTAATCAGCAGTGCTCATTCCAATTCTTCGCAACAATTCAATAAACTCTTGCAACTTTGCATCCAATGCCGCTATTGGTTGGTCATGATCATCGCTCCTGAGTGAATCCTGTGCATCTAGCGATGAGGATTGGTCTGATTGAGGCTGTTGCTCTTCTTGTTTGGTCTCTTGATCCATTATACGTTGATTTTTTGGATGTTTCGAAGGAAAGATTGAGCTTCGAGCTGAGATATGTACAAAGGAATTCAAAGGAAGATTCGAGTTTGGAACTATTTATGAATGAATTCGTTTCGTGTCGTTGGCATTGAAGCTAATGCTCGAGAAAAAGGTCAACATTTTCAAGCAACAATTAAACATTTCCGTTTTCTGACAGAGCAAGGGCTTGACGACGCGTCTGGAGCTTGCAATCAGCTACTATAATCTGACAATCTGGATTGCAGGTGCTCTCTCCACTCCCAATGCGAACATTATATCCGGCCTTGAGAGTCATTCTCGTGTTTCCAACCAATTCGCTTCTATTGTAGCTTCATCATCAACCACCATTCAACTACGGAAATGAATGATTCTGGTTCTCGAAGGGTCCTGGCTATTGCCAACCAGCTTTCTTCTAATGGAAGTACTCGAATGATAAATCATGTGGACTATACACCTTCCAAAAATCCAAACGCAATCAAAAGTAAGCACTCGGTTTCTTTGTGGATTGTTTGGCCAAATTCCGCTGTGTTTGCGTTGGCATGTATTGCTGTCCTGTGACAATATACAATGTTGGGGCACTAGCTGTGACATTTGGCCCAAAATTTTCTATTGTCATCCGCCAATTCACAACATGATCTAGCACCAACCGCAACGCGTTTAAAAACTCAGCTTTTTGCATTTATAGCCCCGGATTTCCTACCAATCTCTCGAACAGAGCTGAATCCCTTGAGTTACTTGGTTCGAACATGCAATGTGTACCCTACCAAAATCGCCATCAAAGACTCTCATGGGTCATACACTTATCAGCAGTTTGGAGAACGTGTTAGAAGACTAGCAAGTCTTGTTCTCAGCATGGGGCTGAAGAAAGGCGACGTGGTTGGTTTCATTGCGTCAAACATTACGCCAACTTTCGAAGCACAATTTGCTATTCCTTTGGCTGGTGGTATTTTGACCTGTATCAATACTCGGCTTAATGCTGATGAGGTGAGAGTCTCGGCATGTCCTCCTTATGGAATTCGTTGCTTTGCATATCGTTGTCATGTTTGCTGACTCTCTTCATCACAGGTCGAATACATTGTGGATTTTGCCAAAATCCGTTTCTTATTCGTTGATGGCGAATTCTTGTCATTGACCAAAAATGCCAAGAAGTTGGGTGTTGAGAGTGTTATTCGAATTGATGATTCCGGGAATGTGAAGACAGACGAATACGAACAATTGCTTGCTCAATCTAAAGTGCTGCCCTTTAATGCTTATCCAAACTACTACGTGCCGTCTGAAAATGATGTTATGGTAAAGCAAAACCTACAGCTGTTCAAATGAGATGGTCGTTTCTTTTGTTGAAACAGTTCGAACGTTTGGACTAACTGTTTCCTTGCTTACAGCAAATCTGTTGGACGTCCGGCACAACAGGAAGGCCCAAGTACGTAAAGATTTGAACCCTCCTCCATTTAACGTCTGTCTCACGAATTACCACGTGTGTGTAGAGGTGTGGAATACACTTATCGAGGTGTCTACCTGAACTCCATCTCTGAAGCCATAGAGTCAGGGTTTGTCATGGGAAAAGTGACGTATCTGTGGATTCTACCATTGTTTCATGCAGCAGGGTATAAATGGGTCCTCAATCGTCGCCCTGACTTGATGCGTTGTCGCCAAATTTCTCATTGCATACCATTTTTTACGTCATTCGACATTTTAGATGGTGCTTCCCATACTCAACAGTTGCATACGCCGCAACCTCAGTCATGTTACGCAAAGTAGATTACAATGAGATTTGGAAACGGTTTATTGAGGACGGTGTGACGCACTATACAGGTGCACCAACAGTTCAGATACATATCATTGCGCACCCTATGGCAACAAGGCTGAAACATCCTGTTACCGTTATGGTGGGAGGAGCTCCAGCCAGTAGTACCTTGATTGAAGGAATGAGGAAATTCAACCTGTATCCTGTGCACGTATATGGACTCACAGAGACCTGTAAACTTAGAATCGGTGCCGATTCCTTACCAACTTGATTGCTCACAAGTATCTTCTAGATGGGCCTTGTGTAGCATCGGCATTCCAGGACGAATGGGCTGGCAAGAGTATTCCGGATCAAGCTATCCTTATGGGAAGGTAAACCTGAGAGCAACATGAGGTGCATTATTGCATACACGTATTAACTTGACCCTGCCTTTTGTACAGACAAGGCCAAAACTACTTGATGTCGGATGAAATGAAGGTCGTTGATTCAGAGATGGTTGAGACCCCATGGGATGGCAAAACACAAGGAGAAGTTGTCTTTAGAGGAAATCTCGTGATGAAAGGCTATATGGGTCGACGAGCTGATACTGAGGTTAGTTTGCAACTTTATGTTGAATTAAGGGGTTTTGGGGTTGGGACGACAAAATGAAGAGATTTCTGGTGGCAGGATGAGATTCATGTGTTGTTTCGTAATTAGGAAGCTATGGCGAATGGTTGGTTTCATAGTGGAGACATTGCGACACGACATCCTGATGGGTATCTTGAATTACAAGACCGCAAGAAAGTACGTATTGTGATTTTGTTTTGAATTACCACGAGCGCAAACACTTGACCAAGCTAATTCAAACCGCCTTTGTTGTATAGGATATCATTATTTCAGGTGGTGAAGTAAGCAGAAGCTGCAAATTTTTGAAGTCATGAGCATCACTGATCCTTTCCACAATTTTAGAACATCTCTACCATCGAAGTCGAGAGCGTAGTAGCCTCACACCCAGCAGTCCTAGAAGTTTCCGTCGTTGCAACACCCGACGACAGTTGGGGCGAGAGGCCCCTCGCCTATGTTGTCTTGAAGCATGGAATGACTGCAACGAGTGACGAGATTGTAGCCTACACAAAGGATCGCTTGGCCGGCTTCAAGAGACCCAAAGGAGTTAAGTTCTTGACGGAACTCCCAAAGACTAGTACTGGCAAAATCCAGAAATATGTGTTACGTGATTTGGAATGGAAAGGGAAGACCAAGCGAATCAATTGAGTGGGTTGTAACTGGAGTTTATGGTGGGGGACTCCAAAACTAGAATGATTTAGTTAATAATACACATAATGCTCAGGCTGACGAGTGACGTTTTACTGATATGTGTCTGTGAAACCTACAGCCACTGACAGCCACTGTTGTAACGGACTCATATTTTCCCTCTTTGCAGGAGCCTCACGAACCGGTTTGGGCTGCGATTTTTCCACAGCTTCGCCACCACTGCCATGAACATAGCCTTCACGTATCTCATAAAAGTAGAATCCCCAACCTAATCTTTCCAAACACCAATACCAAACCCCCAAGTTACACTCGAGAACGTTCACAGTATTCACCTAAACTAGCTTTTAAATAACGCTTGAAATGGTATGTACATGTCCATTGTATTGTGTCCATTGTATCGTCCCTTTTAATGAACCCACGGTTTTAACCACCAAACCCGTTTCTCACTTCAGGCAATGATGCTGAAATCTGCAATTGTATTCACTGTGCTGCTTCAATCCGTGCTAGCAACCTCATATGGAGTCGTAGTCAGCCAAGGGGGTGGCTGCTCTGGACCTGTTGGTATCGTCGTCGTAAGCTCAACACATTTGTGCAACAAGGTTTTGTTTATTCTAACTCACACTCCTGTATTGGATTTGCCTGTTCATTAGGGAGCTCAATCCGACTCAGAATGTAAATCTCAACAATGCTACGTCTTGAGCAATGTTGGAAGTACTATTGGTGAGTTGAGGAAATGGAATTTGCGTCTTGTTGGCTTTCGAATTCAAGAGTGAAGGGTCCTGAAGGGTCTTTAACACTTTGTTACTTTCTTTTTACATAGATTGCACTACCGACATTCTGGGATATGCTGCATCCCACTTCAAGACCCAGTACTTTGCCTCTGTCAGTTACAATGACACTACTTGTGTAAGTTCGCACATATTTGGTCTTGTTGTTTAGCAGAAGTCTCAGACTTTTGGCAGCTGCACACTGTAAACTTGTCGACATGTTTTTTATCTTTTATATTGATCTCTTGCCAACCGTTATGTTCCCGGTTTGTTTGTACCATCCACTACATCTCACACACCTACTTTTTTTGCAACAGACTACACCCTCTTCAATCCTCACATTCACAGGCTTCATAGCAGACGGCTCATGCTTTCAGGACTCGTCATCCACATCCCGTAAAGTAACTGTCGCTGGTAACGGAGATGTCACTGAACAGACTTGGACTGATTCAGCAACATGCGCAACAACTGGAACATCTATTACATACAAATCAGCTAGCTTGAACGGGTGTACTTTTGGATATCTAAAGCAATTCGTTGCTCAAGGAACTGGTACTGGATCTGGATCTAGTGGTGCCGCAGCTTCTCCTGCAGCCTCTGCTGCTCCAGCTAGTTCTACTGGTGCTAGTACTGCAAAGAGTGATGCTACCTTGGCAAAAGGGTTCTCCATTGTATTGCTTAGTTTGGGAGTGTTGGGTGCTGGTGTTGCTACTTTGGTATGAAACATTTAATGGTGTTTGGGGGATAAAGGACTTATAGATGTTTTACTGAATCTTATATCAAATATTGTGCTTTTTTTGAAGAGAACTCATAATCCAAAGTACATCCTATGATCGGCGTTTCACAAAGGTGTTTCGTCAAGATGTCGCTTACGAATACTGAGCAGATGTCCGACTTTCGGAGTATCTACGTTTCTTTCTTGTCAAACTACAAGTACTATTCACAAAACAAAGTCCCTACAATTCCCTTTCCTCTCATTCGTCTTCGTCATAAGCTTCCTCATAATTCTTTAAACACCAATCCCTCAACTCTAGATAGGCCTTTTCTAACTCCAGATTTACAATCGTAAAGTCGAAAAATCCATCAGATCGACCAAACCGTTCAATAATTTTAGCCTTGGCCAACCATTTACGAACTTCTAGTTCCTTGTCTGTCATATTATGATTATTGAGTTTCGCACTTTTTGACAGTGGTGATGGCATATGACTTGCCGCGCTTGCTGATCCTTTACTACCACCTGATGTTGGCCGTGATGATGGTTGAGAAGATACACCACCTTCTGCCGTTGGTAGTCGGATTGCTGTGGTTGTTGGTGATGGGGCTTCACTCTTGGTGGTGGCATCTTGAGTGCCCATACGATTCTGGAGACGTTGTTGCAGTACGTCTGCATTTGGCACTGTGACGAATACATAATATGGTCTAACGGGTGATCGTTTAAGAGCCAGCACTCCCTAAACGCAACGGTTGTCTGTTAAGTACTGCCATCGTCAAGGTCTTATAGTGCGAAAATGAAGCAACACGCAAATCACGGAAATCCGCATACCTCGATTTCCAAGTCCATGACACACACTTTGCCTTCTTCAGTAACTTTTTCAATAGCAGACATACTAGTGCCATATTGATTTCCAAACAGATTGACGAGTTCAATAAATGCACCCTCTTCATGCAGTCGTTCCATCTCTTCAGCATCTACAAAGTGATAATGCACACCATTTTCTTCGCCGGGACGTGGTTTCCGTGTTGTGTGAGAAACAGCCAATCCATATATATGTGGGTACTCTTTCAAAAGTCGTGCTGTGAGAGTTCGTTTCCCAACACCACTAGGCCCACATAACACAATCGGTTTAAGACGTCTAGCACGTTGCAAGTCACCAGCTCGTAATCGGGCATATAGTCTTATTTGCCGTTTCAATGTAGCAGCATGAGCTACAGATGCTACAACTTCAGGAGGTGGATCAAAACGATTTATAGCCGAGATTTTGTCTTCTACCGCCAATGGGAGTCCATCTAGGGTTGATAAGAAGGGGAGACTGTATGCCATGACTAAACGATGATCTGGCATGGCTGATATGGGGTTTCGCCTAACGAATAGGTCTCGAAGGAGTATGAATCCTGCGAGTGTTTCGGTGACATCACTGACATCGTCCAACGCATTAGAATCTAAGTTTAGCACTCTTAGGTTTGGTAATACGTCCATTGTTGCGAGTGATGTGATTGGATTGTGTGCTAGATGTAACTCTTCTAAATCAACTAATGTGTGTAGGTTTTCTGCGACATGGATACGATTCCAGCTCTACATGCGAAGAAGTTTGTGAGTCGTGATGACTTATGAATTGATGGTTGGTGTGTGATGTATACCAGATCTAGGAATGTGAGTGGCAGGCCATCCAAACCTTGAATTTTTTCAATGCCATTACGTTGCAGACTGAGATGTGTTAGATATTTACATTGCGACAGTCCAGTAATGGACAGGACCAGGTTCCCTAGTTTAGACTGTCAATCCACAAGTCCCAAACGATTTCCACTGCAAAAGAACGTACTGTCGAGACATAACCTCCTAAGATATCGATGTTCACTCAAGTCCCGTATGATTTGTATCTGATTACGAGACAGATCGGCTTCTTGTAGGTTGAATGGAGGATCAAACTTGAGGACTTCAGTCAATCTGTTGTTTGACAAGTCCACTTCTACCAAATACTTCATGTTTCCCAAGATTGACACGTCAGTTAGATTGTTGCTAGGCACTTGCAGTGTCTGAATGTATTTAAAGTTTTTCAGCATATCTATAGAGTTCATACCCAGATTCTGCGATGGAAGGGCCATGTCAGATCAAGTGCTTTCACGCAAACAATTCCACAGTGGGATAGTTGGTGCAGCAACCACACAAAGAGGACTTACGGGAAGAGATAGTTTCAGGTAAACGAGGCCCGATCCCTCAGGAGAAGGGCCCATATTCGACAACCCATTCCGTAGCGTGACGATGCTTAAGGGCAGTGCATTTATCCTAGTCAAATGAGTAGGATTGATGTCTTCTTCGTCGCCCTGATCCTGGTCCTTCTGGGACTGATCCAGAGAGACATCCATTTTGAAGGACAGTTCTTTAATGGCAGAGGCAGTTGCCTCATCAAACATGAACCTGCTTCCTGCTCTCTGGATTCCACTAGGATGGGATATAGAACTACTACGTGAGCCATTCATCTGGCCAGACTTACTCCGACGTAAGGGTCCAGGTGCCAGATTGCCTAGTCCAGCTGGAGTTAATGTACTCATTCTTGCTATATACGTTGTATGATACTGTTGGAATGGAGCGAGTATCGTTGTGAAATTGTTGCAGAATTGGTGATGCGGGATACTCTAGGGTAGCATATTGAGAAAGTACACAATTTTTCCAGTCCAAATCATTCACTTTGACTCCTTCATCTCCAGAAGAGACTCCACGGAATTCAGAGATTACGCAAATCGTGACAAAAGTACCAATGGATGCTACGTGATGCGACACAGTGGAGAGCACATGTCAATCAATTGAACATAAGAATACGTATTCTAGAAGAATTGACGCGTTCCGCACTGTTTAGATCGAACAACATCTACACCTTGTAAGCTTGATTGTACGTTAAACTCCAAGAACGCGAGATCTACACCAAAATACGTCAGGTAAACTTGTACGTTTCGTGCTAATAGCTACCATATACATATTGCCATCCCCTTGACCGTGAATGTTTCCTAAGGAGGTGACTTGTGTCGTCTCCAATTTGATTCTGCAAAACCCTCAAAAGAGTTGAACAAGGAGAGAGGTACTAGTAGAGTTGGATAATTTCAAGATGCAACCAACACCTCCACAAGGTCCATATGGCCCTCCTAATGGTGCCTTGCCTTACAGACCAATTGAAAGACCACTACAGCCAAATCAAAATCAACCAATGATGGCAAGGCCAATGCCAGGTATGGAAGCACCTAGTGATCGAACAATCCTAAAAATACTCTCTATTTTATTGCTTTTCTTATTGTTTTACGACAAATTGTCTCTAACTACGTTACGAACTCACAGGTCAACCAACATCAATCATGGCTTCACGTCCACTTCCACCTGGTCCTCAAATGCCACAACAGCCATCGCGTCCAATCATGCAATCTCCTGGTCAACCACCAAATGGATTGTCATCATTGCAACAGATGCCCATCCCAACTGATGGTCAACAATTGCAACAACAGCAACGTTTTGCATCGAGGCCACTTCAACAGCCAATGCAACAACCAGGTACTGCAATGCCACGTGGTCCCATGCAACAACAGGGTCCTATGGTCCAACAACAGATCCCTGCATCTCAACAGCAACCTAGACCTACCGGAATCATGCCACAGCAGCACCAACCGCAACCTGCCATAGTAGATCCATCTCTCTCAAACCCGATGATGACACAGCCTGGAATACCGAGTCAACAACCTCTAAATGGAATCAACGGATCGCATAATAGTAACGCTACTAATCCGACAGCCGGTGAAGTCGAAAATACAGCACTCGCTCAACAGATGGGAAACATGGTAATCGGGTCAAAGTCCCGGTCCAAGCGAGTATACGCTGGTCAGGACGCTATGGGGGGTAGTGGTATGATGGCTCCTGGTCCTAGTCCAATGCAACAGTCAGGTGGAATGATTAACGGACAACCACAACAGCAGCCACAGCAACAAAGGCCTCAAATGATGCCAGAACGTCCATTACAGCAGCAGGCCTCATTCAATCAATTTGTGGCGCCTGGTGCTCCAACTCAACCAGCTGGAAATCAATCAATACCTCAACAGCAAATGGGTCTACCAAACCAATATCAGCCTATACAGAATCAGCAAAATAGTCAATATCAGCCTGCTCAGAACCCATATCCTAACCAGCCGCTACTAAATCCATATCCAAATCAAATACCTCAACAACCCATGCGACAACCAGATACAAGTGCACCACAAATTAATAGAGCACCACTGCAACCACTACAGCCTTTACAAGTTAATCAGCCCGTAAATCAATCTATGCGCAGTGCAGCTCCACTATCTGCTACCACACCTCGATCACGTATAGATCCAAATCAAATACCATCGCCTATTGCTGTACAGGAAGCTGATCAGACTCATTATGATAAAGAACCGTATATGACCTTATCAAAAACTGTACCGCCATTAGCGTCTAGTCGGTTTAGAGCCGTTGATGAAGGTATTTCGAGGTTCAGTGACAATCTCTCCCAAGTCCTCTAATTGTCCTATATATATCATATAGGCAACTGCAATCCAAGATTCATACGACTGACGACGTGTAATTTCCCTACAACAAATGAATTACTGACCACATCCGAGCTGCCGCTTGGCATGGTTGTTCAACCTCTAGCAGATTTGGCTCATGATGAGGCAAGTGTAGTCGTGGATACTCACATCTTAGCAATGTGAATTTGATATACGGCATTGATAATCACATCCAATACTCAGGTCCCTATCAAAGTCGTTGATTTCGGAGAGACTGGGCCAGTAAGATGTAATAGGTGTAAAGCGTACATCAATCCATTCGTCATTTTCACCGATGGTGGACGTAAATTCACTTGCAATCTATGTACATTTGAAAACGACGGTACGTATATTGGCAGGGGTTTTAAAATCCAAGTTATATTGATCTAAAAATTTTCGCCTTGTTAGTCCCGCAAGAATATTTCGCTAATCTAGATATGGCCGGTCGACGAGTTGATATCGATCAACGACCTGAACTCTTGTTTGGCTCTGTAGAATTCGTAGCACCTAAAGAATATTGTGCTCGACCACCTCAACCTGTATCATACTTATTTTGCATTGATGTGTCTTGGAGCGCTGTACAAACTGGTCTTGTAAAACTCACTGCTGATGCTTTACGGCAAATCTTTTATGGAGAACGTCCTATTCTACCATCTGGTGCACGGATCGGAATCATGACGTATGATCGAGCAGTGCATTTTTACAGCCTCAAGGTAAATTCCCGACAGGTTACAGCTGTTTTTTTGCATCTTCGTGATACTGATAAGGCTTTTCCTTAGTCTACCTTGGAGCAAGCACAAATGCTAGTTGTTCCTGATGTGGAGGATATCTTTGTGCCCATCAGTGAAGGTTTATTGGTAGATCCGATTGAATCCAGGTGAGTGTTTTCTTGTCGAATGACAGGAAAACGGGATTATCTCAGTCTTCAATACACTAGGCATGTGATAGAGGGTTTATTGGATTGTCTTCATACGTTGTTTGAATCTACTCGGATAAATGATCCTGCTGTTGGAGCTGCGATGCAAGCTGCATATATCGCTATGGTGACATTGTTTTGTGGATTTTTTGTTTTGCTTGCCAGTCTAGCTGAAGCATTTTATCAAAAACAGAAGGAACATGGTGGCAAAGTAATTTTCACTCAGACGACAATACCTTCATTTGGTCCTGGAGCTTTGGTGAATAGAGAAGATGTCAAAATACTGGGCACAGACAAGGAAAAGACACTCTATGAGCCACAAGACAATTATTGGAAGAAGCTTGCTCATGATTATGCTGGAAGTGGTATATCCGTGGACTTGTTCTTGTTCCCCAATGCGTACATCGATGTTGCCACAGTTGGTAAGCCTTGAGTTGTGAAAAACAGTCCTTGTCACTATTCTATGTTTACCGTTTTTTGCTTTGTGACAGGCGTCGTTGCAACCATGACTGGTGGTGACACTTTCAACTATACCAACTTTGATGGGCCACGAGACGGATTGAAATACATGAATGACATGCTTCGATTGCTTGCACGAACATTTGGATATGAATCATTACTAAGAATTCGGTGCTCTAATGGTAAGAGTAGATTGGTGAAAGCACATTTGGGACCCGGCCCCTGGTTTGTTTTTTAACCCTCACGTTTTCTAGGAATATCTGTCAAGGAATACTTTGGCAACTTTTACATGAAGAACACTACAGATGTAGAATTAGCAGGTCTAGATAGTGAAAAATCTATTGGTGTATTGCTCAAGCACGAGGGCAAACTGGATGAAAGGACTGACGTATCTCTCCAATGTGCCGTACTGTATACTACTGCCACTGGTCAACGGCGTATTCGAATGCATAACACGACGGTACCTGTTGCATCACTCTTGGGCAATATGTTTAGATATGCTGAAATGGATACTACCATCAACTTTATGGCCAAGATGGGTAAAACCTCGTACGTTCATTTGAGACGCTTTCTCCCGCTCTGACTACTCTTTTTCGGTGCTTCTTAGCCATTTCTCAGTCTTTGTCTGCACCACTACGGACTGTACGAGAGCAAATAACAGATAAATGTGTGAAGATATTAACTGCCTATCGAAAACACTGCGCATCGTCTTCGTCGAATCCTGGACAGGTATTTCATAGCTATGAAACATTTTTGTTTTCTGATGTGCCAACAATCTTCATTTTGCTCTAGCTCATTCTGCCAGAATCCTTTAAATTATATCCACTTTACGCATTATCATTGCTCAAAACCAAGGCATTCCGAGCTGGTAAAGCAGTCTCCTTTGATGCATTCATCGTCATCTGTTTAGTTCTTTACTCTTATCATAGGTCCAGAAATGTCGACTGACATTCGAGTCTACCATATGCGATTGTTACGTGGTATGGGTGTATCTGGCACCATTCCTATAATCTATCCAAGGCTCTTCCCATTGCATCAATTAGCTGGCGAGGTATGCGAATGAGTGACATGCTTGTGATCAAGGTCAATTTTTTTTGGGCTGATGTCATATTCTCGTTTTCTAATGTAGACAACACCAACCGCTGAATCTATGCCATCTACGAATCTTCCACCAACTATTCGAACGTCATACGAAAGATTAGAACCAAGTGGTGCTTACTTGATAGAGAATGGCATGCAATTGTTTATATGGTTGGGACGTGAATTACCACCACCCTTCTTGGAAGCGGTATTTGGAGTCAATGCCCTTGAACTGGTGGACTCTAAGATGGTATGTTGAACTGTAGTTGCCGTTCCAGAACTGGGAGTCGAACATGAGTTGTTGAGATGTACCGCTCCTTGTTTTTAGCGCCTGTTACCTCCGTTAACAAGTCACCTGTCCACCCGAATCCGTGGTATTCTGGATGAAGTGATTGCATCTCGATCACGGTATCTACAACTTCAACTGGTTCGACAATCGTTGGATCCAGTGCTAGAAATTGAGTTTGCCAATACGCTTGTGGAGGACAAGAATCATGATAATATGAATTATGTGGATTATCTCTGTGCTGTTCATCGATCTATTCAGGTTGAGATGACCACCACTTAAAACAGTGCACGGTAAAGGACAGAGAGTATGTATGTATATTCATATTCGTATTTTGCCAGTTGAGTTGTAGAAAAGGGCTGTTTGACCACAAAAAATATACATACACGTTAGAACAAGTCAATTGCCACTGCACATATGCATTTCTTTACATTCTATTGCAGCTTCATATTCATCATTTGTACAGTTTTTCGAGAGACGGAATATCCGATACAGCACCTTGCGCTTCACCCTCTCTCAGATGTCTGAAAATCACATCCACAGCTAGACGAAAAGTTTCACGATGGTGAGCAAAAAAAATCATACCAAGAACAGCTTGGATAACAACACGTTACCTTGCTTGTCGTTCTTCGTAAAAAACATGAGCAACATGTGAAATCGAGGTACTTTGGCCAGATTGGAGACAAAGTCATACAACGCTGTAAATCCTACATCTTCATTTGTATATGTTTGTGCTACTACTTCTAGCATTCGACTAAGATATAGCGATTCCAATCCACTCTTGAAAATGATTGGTAGAGAGGAAGGGTTGATGCTCTAAGCAAGGATTGTAATACCAACTTAGTAATTATAAGGCATTCTTCTCTTCCACAGATGGAACGCCACTAAAAGCAACTCACCCTCAAAAATTCTGACGCCCGCTGCGCATCTTGCTTAATAGCCTTCCATTCTCGCTCGAATTCAAGTAGATTACGTGGCCCTTGAGGAGGGAGTTTGGGAGTTGGGTATGAATTTGGTATTACTGTTGGGATGGTGGTGTTTACTACTACAGACTGTGCAACTATGGGTTGATTGACACTGGAGACTACAGCTGCTGGTGAAATTTCTTGAATCAGTGGTTTGGGGGAAGCGGATGCTGGTTTCAAGGGTGGAAGTGGCGCTGATTTACGTTCTGGTGATGCTTCTTTCAGTATTGGTTTGGCAGTTACTTGGACGGGGGTTGGAGTCGTTTTGGGTATATCCTTGGGCTTCTTGGTGGTAGATTCTGGCGTGGCAGCAGGTGTTGCAAAGAGAGGGCGACTAGGCTAAAAAAAGGCACCACACAAGATTAATAACGGAGAGACGTCTTTCTTCTACGACTTTACCTCTAGGAGCTCTGCCTCACGTCCAGCTAGTATCTCTTGCACCATAGACGTGGTTGGAGTTGTTTCTAGTAGTATGGAGCTTGTGTTCGACTTTGCAGCGGTACTGGCTTTAGGTTTAGCTTTAGACACCTTGTAAGGGGCTGCTGCCACTTGCATAGGCTCTCCAATCTCTTCAATGGGAACACGTCTTCGAATAGGTTTCGGTTTAGGATCTACTAAAGCCGTCTTGTTTACTATTGGTGTTGAGGCCTTCGACAAAGTAGCAGCAGGTGTTGTCTTGCCAGAAGTCAAGTTTAACGCCCGGATTGATTTGTCGAGATCAGTCTTTATAGACTTGTTGCCAGGTTCCAGAATCAGCGCTCTCTCCAGATCTGTCGGACCCCACCAAAAAAATCAGCCAAGGAGAGAGTATTTAACTATGGGACAAGTTCAAACCTTGCTTTGCTTCAGCGTATTTCGCCAACTCGAATCGAGCCATTCCTCGACGCCATAAAGCCTTGACATTCTTTGAGTCTAGCGAGAGTCCGTTCGAGCAATCTTGCTCTGCTTCAGTGTACCTATGATTTACTGACGTGTCAGAATCACAATCACTCTGAAAAGACCTTGATAGGAATGGCTACTTTGTGCGTACATTCCAAGCTTGAGGTATGCCATGGCTCGATTCACAATGACCACACAATTATTGTCCAACTGCAAACTCTTGTTGTAACAAACTACAGCCTTCTTGAACTCTCCCTTCTTGAAGAATGCATTGCCCTATGCGACGAGATAAATATGAGAATTTAGAAGAAATCAGCCGTTGGAGAATGAACGAGATCCAACCTTCTCCTTCTCAAGTAGTGCGTTTTCCATTGACTGAGCATCAACTACAGGTTGAGCTACTAGCGTTTCCACACTCTTACTCTTGGGTACTTGATAGTCTACATCTTCCACTGCAGCATCCTGTTCAGATCACATAAAAGGATTGAGTTGTGAGCGACTTGTTTTGGCAATGACAAGGATTGTCACTTACAGCATCAAACTTGTCCCATGCCGAATAATCAGCACCTTTTATACGACTGGATGATGTAGATGACTCTTTTATTACACCAGACATTCCTCCAATCGCAGCAGGAGCATCCAATCGAGTATTTTTTGGTGATGAACGTCCAGATGTTGTTGCAGATCCACGTACTGGTACATGTGTCTACAATAAAAATACAGTCATAAACGTATTTGTTCAGCATATTACATTGTTTTAATCAATGAATGGCAAACCTCTGGTTGTATTTTGGTAGTCTTTGCCTTTAAATCTTTTTGCTTCATCTCGGCCTCAAAGTTTCCCAACGAAGAGACAAAATCACGATATTGTTCAGCATTTTGTCGAACTAGGTACGCTGGATCCATTGTCTTTGCTTGTTTTTATATCACTGTTGATTGAAGCTTAACAAAATATGTTGCTGCGATGTATTTTAGAATTGGAAGCTCTCTTAGAAATGCACCGGAAATGGTCTAAAATGACTCCCTAACGCGTCATAATAGAAAAGGCTTTCCATACTATTCCATACTCCGTTTTAAAATGCGACTTTGACCATGTGCAGTATCTTGCTGCACCTGTTTCCAACTTCGACAATCTGTACGTGGTGCATCTGGACGAGACAGTCCCTGAATCGACGCGAAGAAGGGCGTTTGTACGGCAATTCCGTGGCTAGGATTTAGCATTGAAGCGGTTAGAAACAGCTCACCTACATCTCTTTCGACGCTCCAGTTTTGCGCTCCTCAACACAGGCACTGGATCAGCACGTAAGTTTCGTAACTTTTGTGGCCTTTTGACGCACGCTCCGATGCATATCAAGTCGTATTCTGCCCTTAGAACGCCGGTTGACATCAATTCGTCATCTCGTAATTTCGTGGATATGGTGCAGACATAGGCTCGAATAAACAAGAACGTATTCTACAATCAAAAAAAGCCTTCTGGAAACCGACGATACGTGCATCAAGCCATGAGCCTTCCTCCAAAACCCACAAAGCTCCCATTTGAACGAGTAATCTTGCCCTCAAGTGCCGCAACCATCAATTTAGCTTGTAACGTGTATACGTCACCATCGACATCATCTAGAACCGGATTACCGCCTTCCAGTGTAAAATATACCATACTTTGCAGTCACCCTGCATCAGTCACGAAGGAGTGCTGGGAAGAAACAATTCGACATCTACTTCAAGACAATCACAACCAGGTAGGGTGGCAGTCAAACCTGGATTGTCTTCATTGAAGCTATTGATTTTGTGAAGTTTTCGGCATTCTGAGCTTGTTGCTTACTTGTTTCTAAAGAATTCGTTACGTTGACCACACTGACTTCATAGGATGTATGGGAAGCTATCGAATACATTCTGGCCTTCGATCACCGTACGCATGGTGATTCAGCAGCTCTCTCTAATTTTGACCCATATCCAGCCTACCTTGACTGGACTGAAAGCGGCCGTGACGTTGGTCGGATTATAGACTACATTAATCGAGATTTCTGGCCGTCTCATCCGACAAAGAGACAACGCAAATTGATTATAATGGCACACTCGTTTGGAGCTGCAGCTGCCACGTTAGGAACTGTGCTGAGAGCTGGACAGGTCGATGGATGTTTGTTTTTCGAGCCTTCAGTTTATCCGCTATCGCTGATCCGGCAAGGATTTGAGACTGCCACAACTAAACGCTGGAGACGAAACGTGTTCAACAGTAAAGAGGAAGCTTATCGGCAGTTCAAGACGAGACCGTTCTTTAAGCCGTGGACGGATTCTGCTCTATGGGATTATACAGAAAGCTCTCTCAGACAACAAGATGATGGGACCTTCATATTGAAACAGTCGCCTCAAAATGAATCCGTATGTGTGCTCTATTCGAGAATCGGGTTCACATGTTGCTCACGTCTTATTACTAGGCAACATTGGGTGGTTTAAAGAGCTCGGTGTTCTTTGACCGCGCTCCAGAGGTTCCCTGCCCGGTTTATATGGTTTCTGGACTCACTTCATGGCTGACCAAAACGCAAATGAATCGTCCTGATGGTTTCTCAGATTTCAAAGACACCGTCATCGCATCTCAATATCCGAATGTTATAGAACATGTATTTATAGAAGGGTGTGGCCACATGATCCCAGAAGAAAGACCAGACGCAAGTGCTAAAGCTTTGGTAGACTTTGTTCGTCGACTACAAAAGTTAGATCATATTGAGACGTTGAGACCATACTTGGCACTCGACAAAAAGCAGGAGATAATACGTGCTTTTGATCGCAAATATGTCATTGGTTTGACAAAGTACAAACCACTACCGCGAGCACCTTACCACCCCAAGCCAGTAAAAGTAGCACATATCCTCTTGACTTTGGGCCGGAGTGTTACTGTGTCGACTCAGGTATGCATCATGTCATTTTGGGAACTCAGCACACCAAATTTTAAGCTCCCTTTCATACTAGGACAAGATGATACATGCCATCTTCAAATCCAAGATTTCGCAACGAGGACATATTGGATCTATATATGTTTTCGAAGATCGATTCACCGGCAACCCAGGTCTTTTGAACAAAGAAGCATTTTGTAAGAATCCGGCTGAGGCTAGAGCGTATACTACCGTAAAGTTTGCCGATGATACAGGCGTCGTCTTGGAATATCTCAGGGAACGCATACCTGCTGAAGAGGCTATCATTGGAGTTGGACATTCTTATGGTATGTTTTCGTTCCAAAGCAGTTGTGTTATGCAGTGACGCTGACATTGCCTTTGGGCTTCTTATAGGATCATTGAGGTTAATGGACCACACTTTGAATTGCTTGGAGAAAGGCCTAGATGCCCCATTCGACAGTCTGCTATTGCTTGACCCAATAGGCTTAACGCCTGATGGTATTCAACTTCCACCACAAGCAGTGGTTGATGCGGCAGCTCGGATGTATATGGGACGCAAAAGAACCTTCAAGTCAAAAGAAGATGCGCTTCAGTACTGGAAGGGCAAAGAAACCTATTCAGTGTGGGATGAAGACTGTTTGAGAGCTTATGTGGTATAAACGGTTTCAGATCTATTTCTGATTTGCAAAATCACCTACATTTGTTACTTGTTGTTGCTAGGACGATATACTGGTTGAACATACAGATTTCTCCAACAATTCGGTGACTTGGGAGGTCAAAGTCATTCCAGAAATTGAAGCGGTAGGCCAATCTTCTCTCACTCGAATTGAACATGTTACCAACTTTCGATGGTTTAGGCACACGTTATGGACCCTGAGAGTCGTAGTCTGAAAGTCAGACAAATCGATCCTATGCTACAAGGAGACTTTCTCTTGAAGATCGTTCGATGTGGGAAGTTTACTGGTAGACCGGGAGGCGCGATCTCAACACCCCAGGATCCAGTCAGGACAAAGAATCTCAGTGTGGAATTCTTTGGTGATCTCGACCATATGCTGCCGCAAATCAGTCCGATTGCAACAGCTCGCACAATTGCCGATTTTGTAGCGGATCGTACTCCAGGATACAAGGACGGCAGCATTGCACGTCTATAGAAAAAGGAACTAGACAGAAAACTTAATAGATTTTATCTCGCATAGTATTTAAATCTGGATTTTAATGCTTCTGTCTAAAGTGTAAAGTGCGTGGTTGCAGTTGTTTGTGACATCACAAATCTTAAAACGATCAATCGCTATAACAACATGGAAACTAGCACCAAAAGCGAACATCAAGATCCATCGAAACTACCTCCGCAGCCAGCCTTACTATCTCCTTATGAGCAAATACTGCTTCCTGGATCTGCGGCAATGATTCAGTTAGCTTGCAACGTTTACAAGCCTCCAAACGTGAACAAGGCATCAATCAAGACGAGCAGTCCTGTTGCGCTGACTGTACTATTCAGCCATCCTGCATCTGTCACCAAGTAAGCTGAAAAATGTGCATCAACATAGCATCATGGAAAAACATTTATTGAATAAATCTCAACATCACATCGTAGAGAATGCTGGCTGGAATTGTTACGAAATCTGTTTGGAAACGATAACAATGACGATGTATTTGACGCTCTAGAGTTTGCGTTTTGCTTTGATCATCGCACACATGGGGATTCAGCTGCTTTGAACCCGAATTATGATCCATGGCCAGGTTATTTGTGTTGGCACGAGTCGAGTAGAGACGTGGCACGAATTATAGATTTCATAGAAGGAGAATACTGGCCGGCACATCCGTCTTCTCGTAGAAGGGAAGTGTTAATCGTTGGACATTCATACGGTGGTGCAGTAGCTATGTATGGATCTGTCTTGAGACCTGGAAAAGTATCGGGGATGCTATTTTTTGAACCATCGCTGTATCCTCTCAGCTTGTTCAGAGCTGGGCTCAATGCCAATAATCAAAATCCCAGTGGAAAGTGGAGGAGAAACGTGTTTCCATCCAAGGACGAAGCATTTAGACAGTTCAGGTCGAAACCATTCTTTTCTTCATGGACGGACGGTAGTTTATGGGATTATACGAATCATATATTGCGTCAGCAGGACGATGGGAGCTGGATTCTGAAACAGTCACCACAGCACGAAGCCGTACGTCAATTCTAAACTGCGATTGGAGACTGAAATACTGATTTATTTGGTTTCGTTCTTAGGCAACTCTCGCTGGAATACGAGACGAGATCTTTTTTGATGTAGCTCCTCAAGTGACGTGTCCAGTATATATGGTGTCCGGATTGAAGTCGTGGATTACCAACATGACGATGCAACGTGTTGATGGATATTATGAGTAAGTCAACCGCAATGATCGAAATGCTGAGCGAAACGTAAGGACTGACGCTATTTTCCTTAGTTACAAGGAAACTGTGGTAGCATCACAATTTCGCAACGTTGTTCAACACATCTATATCCCCGATAGTGGACATATGATCCCTCAGGACAAACCTGCTATAGCAGCAAAAGCACTGGCTGACATGATCCGCCATCTGGTAGCCAAAGCATCAAAACCAAAGTCCATGAAACCTGATCTGGGCCTCAATCCCAAACAAGCATTAATACCAGCCTCAAACCCCAAATACGTAATAGCAGTCACAACATACAAACCTCTACCACGATCTCCTCTACACCTAAAACCCAAGAAAACAGTCAATATTGTCATGACGATAGGAAACGGGGTGGTTGCGAGCACTCATGAAAAGCTGATTCATTCCCTTTTTAAAACTAAGATTGGTCAGCGTGGAGTTATCAATGCTGTTATGGTTATGGAGAGTCGGTTTACGGGTAACGCAGCTGTGATCAATAGGAAGCTACATGAAACTGATCCTGAGAGTGGTGTCAATGTCGCGTTAAACTATGGAAGGGATTTGGGATGTGCTTATGAGTGGTTACGTGGATATTCGCCAGCGGACATGACTATTGCAGTTGGACATTCATTTGGTATGCTCGGACACGTGTTTTGTTTCATGCTGTGAGCTCTCGCAACTAACAGAAACCTGTCCGTTAGGATCCATACCTCTGGGATTCCATATGTCGAAATCCCTCGAAAACGGAAAAGAGAATCCATATGATTCAATCATGTTGCTTGATCCACCACTTAGCGAAGACCTGAAAGTCAGCAGGCCACCTGATAAGAACGAACGTGTTCTCAAGAGAAAAAACATATTTGTGTCCAAGGAGGCGGCTTACCACTCCTGGAAGACCAAACCCGCTTATGGAGTCTGGGACGATGATTGTTTGCGAGCATATGTGGTAAGTTTCGAAACATTTCAGCAGCGTTTGCACAGGCTCAACGTGTCATTACCTTAAATAGGAGGATGGTCTTACGGAATTCGTTGACTTTTCAGACAATACGGTCAAATATCGTCTGAAGATCAGCCCTCAATTCGAAGCGGTAAGACCAATGCAACCATGACATTTTGTTCTGTCTCATTCAAGTTTGCATTTGACATTAACTCCTCTTCCAACGACTCTCGCAGGCACCATCGCACGACAAGGCCGACCTCATCAACCGCGAAGTCTCCATTGAGCCCACGCTGAAGGGCGACTTTCATGTCAAGGTCATCCGGGCCGACAAATTTGCAGGAATCACTTCCGAGAAAATGATTAAACCTCGGCTGCCTATGAATAACAAGAACTTTAGTACAGAGATGTGGCACGACACGCAGCACATGTTGCCACAAGTGTTACCTAAAGAGGTTGCAATTGCGATCTCAGAGTTTATAGCTGAACGCTCAGGATGGAGGGATGATTCGAAAGAGATCAAGACGAAACTGTGAGTGTTCTTGATGATGGGACGCAATAGAATAGAGTAGACAGTGTGATTGATTTAATACATAATACCTTTATTGAATGCGATTTTATCATATACTTTACGCCTTTTTGAACCCAATGGTTATGAGTGCTTCTACAGTCATTTCATACGTTCCATCACCTTGACTGGTCAACTCTTTCATAACCTCCGTAGCAACAGATATATAGGAATCCTTCTGTTCTTGAGTCCAATTCATTGAAGCTGAGCTCAGACCAGGATTATTCTTTGACATGATTACATACTTCATCAGCTGGTCATCGTCCTTCAATACTACTGGTCCAGGCACTCGATGTTGTTCGACATTTATAAACCCAGCAGTAGTCATGGCAGTCTTGTTGAACTCCATATCGGCCCAGCCCAGAGATGCGGGTGGTGATGGTGTGATTTGCGTGATTCGTTTGGTGATTTCACCTATAATTACATTGAGCTGCGAGGGTAACCATGTAGCAATGACTCCAACACCACCAGGTTTCAAGATGCGATTCAGTTCTGAGAGAGCAGTTGCACCGTTTGGCATGAGCATTACTCCAAAGATTATATAGGCGACATCAAATGTTCCAGTTGTCAATTCCAGAGCCTAATAGTTGTCAAGCGATGAGGTGTAACAACAAGCAGACTTGGAACACAAATAGTTTCAACTTACCATCGAGTTCATGACATGAGCTTCAGCATTCTTCCAACCATTCTTTTCAATCTTTAGCTTTACCAAGTCGACCATGCCTTTGGAGAAATCGGTAGCAACAAGATTTATATCCGAGTGTTGGTGACGACCAAGCAAAATAGATGTCACGGTACCGCCACCACATGCACCATCATATACTTTGGATCCTGATTTGATGTATGCTGACGTGATTTCGACAGCCTTTGATGCAAAAGGAGCAGTTAGATCATCCGACCAGTCATCGTACTCTGTAGCGACGCTACTCCAAGCATCAGGAGAAAACACTAAATTGGAAAAAGGTAAGTTCTGAGGACTATGGGGGAATATTGGATGAAGAAATACGCGGAACAAAGCAAACAAGGTTGACGTTTGCGTCACAATGTGATGTTGCCTAAGCGAGATACAACGTGTACAAGTTCACACAGGGAGGGGCAGCGTACCAGGCAGTGTCATGATTTGAGTGCTCGGAAACTTGTGTTGCTGTTTCTATTGGACGGTGATCAAAAACCTGGTGAGCTTGAGCTACTTTTAAGTGTGATGATTTCAAACAAGACTAGAGCAGATAGTGGAACCACAGGTTGGTTTCTCCCGCTTATATGATGCAATGTTAGGTTGAATGTTGTCTTTGAGCTTTGAGACCTTACCACAGTGTTTTATAACAAATCTCTGATAGTTTTGCAATTTGTGGAGCGAGGAGCTGTGATGATGCTGGTTGAATAGACCAGGCAAAGGGTGTCAGTTACTGAATAAGTTGAAAATTTGCGTGATTTTGCGTTCTGGACGCATGCGTCCAACGTGTTTTTCAGTTGTAGAGCTTTGGATGGCGTCTGTCACAGCACACAGACACACACGAAGCTCGTACACGTTTACTTGATGACAATGCGTGGATGAATATTTTTGCAAGTTCGGAAGTCAGCAATTTATGTCTTCTTTCTTGCTCTGATTGGTCGCTTTTTTATTTGGTGCTGTGTCTTGCTTCAAAATCAGACCACAAACAGAGCTTGCAAGAATGGCCCATAGGCAAGATAGTAAGGATGAGCAGCCAATATCGCCCACACTAGAGCGACAGCGCATGTATGCTCCTCAATACCAGTATCCTCCTCAACAACAGTACTACCAGCCAATGCCCCCTCCAGGCTCAAGACCGTACTATCCTCCACCAGGACAGCAGGTAAGCATCCTTACCAGCCATATACAATACTGTACTGTCACTCTTTGCAGCTCGCAATTATGCATTGGCCGTCAATCCCATACCAACATTGCCGAAAGCCACAAGTGATTCGTGCTAGAATGAATAGACACTGTGAATTATCATAATCAAATCCAACATTAACCGGCTCTTCCCTAGGTCTATGCTCAACCCTATCCTGGGCCATATCATCCTCAAGCACCCTACGGAGCCGGTAAGTTGACACAAATAATGTGCACAGGTTACAACTTTTTGCACACTCCAATTACTGTTGCACCTGTCATCACCATTATCATTCGCATCGACTCATGCCTGTCTTCTTCCACAGGCCCATATGCCCCGGCTGGAATGTACTATCCTCCTCACAATGTAGGCTTACTTGTCAAACCTTGAATCCCTGTAAAACCACGCACTGATTATTTCTATCATTTCACAGGGCTACAATCCAGCTGCCGATCCTGGCTACTACATGCCTACTCAAGGGGTAAGCAAAACACTATGACTCATTGGACGATATTAATCACTCCTCTCATATTCTAGGATCCTTATTATGATCCACAACCTACAGGTCAACCACCTGCTTATGGCAACCAAGGAGTGCCACCCCATCTGATTCCTGTCCCGCGTCCTACTGTAGAAGAATTGAATTATCGTACATCGTCAATCCCAACCGGCTACTCTGCTGCACCACAAACTATACAACAACAACACTCACCTGCTGTATCACCAATCCCATCTCCTAATATGCAACATGCTCCTCCATCTCATAGAGCCTCAGTAGCTTCATTTGCCTCTGGCCGTGAATCAATCATTAGCATAGCAAATCCTCCCTCAGACACTAATAGTAATAGTAATGGTCATCGGGACGGAGCTGGCAACAAACAAGATGATTCTCAAGGATATTTGCCAGTCATACCTGCTTCGCCACTAATCCTACAACAACAAACTATTGGAAAGACATTGTCGGGTGCTGAAGCGACTCTGGCCAAAGCTATAGAGCAGAGGCAAGATCTGGCTACTATTAGACGATTGACTGAGAATGTAAATGTTGGCAAGAGTAAATTGGAGGCTGTTGGAAGGGCAATCAGAGAAGCTCAATCAAAACTAGTAACAGACATCACTCCCAAAGGTATGCGTTTCATCGATTACATTTCACGCTGAAGCACTGAAGGGAATGAAGACGGACTGGGCAAAAAGGACTTGTCCTACAAACCCTATTGCTCTGTAAGGCTTACTCATTCTCGTTTACCTAGAAATGGCAGTAGCAATCACAGCATTTGATTCAGACATGTTGGAATTCATACGCCCAACTGATTTAGCAAACCATGCTGCAGACCCACAGCATCCACCATATCCGATCAAATCTTCCCTAGATTTCGGATATTATATACGTCGTCTAGTGCAAATAACCGTTGTAGTACCCTCCATTGCCGCATCTCGAGTACGAGCTATTCAGCACTGGATGGACGTTGCTAAAGAACTACAAAAACTACGAAACTTCCAATCATATGGTGCCGTCGTATCGGGATTGAAATCACCCTGTGTACAACGACTAGAAGGTACATGGAGCCAACTCTCGAAAAGACAATTATCTGTATGGAATGAATTGAGGCACAATATGTCATCCGATGATTCTTTCAAGATATATCGAAATATGCTGTCCATGTCGAGACCACCATGTATCCCACGACTAGATATTTTCCTACATGCATTATCAGCACCTGGTGGATTAGAGCCTGGAAAGAAGGAGTATGACTTTTATAGATCCAAAACCTATGAAAAAGATTTAGAATCTAGAGACCCTGCCATCCAGCATTGGATTGTCGTCCAAAACTGGAAGTCGGAGGAGGCTCTCAATACTCTTGCTGAAAAGCAGGAACCAGGCAAGGACAGGAAAGACACTGACGAGAAGGAAAGACAGCAGTGGTTATCCAGGCTGACGAGGGCGGGAGAGTTGAATGGATGAACCTGAAACAGTTGGAAATGGTCCATAACTAGTTGCTTCTTGAATTTTGCTGTTGAATGTTGGTGTATAATTTTTTCACAGAATATATGTGGTAGGCCAATTTAATAATACTCGTGAGAATGATCTTCAGTTATATATGTCGTTGAAGTGAGGGTAGAGTTTGTAATCAAATGTAAAGTCAACCAATCATTCAACACTATGTAAATTACTCGTCACCCTCAAGGCCATAATTTAAAAACAGAGTTGTTGGGCCTACCAACTTGGGTGGCCCACTGAGAAAATCACTTTGGAAAAGACAACACTCACTGGTTAAATGGAAAAACATAAGCGAATAGACAGCCAGCGTTTTCTTGTATGCTTAAGTCCACGTACAAGTTTTGACTATTAGCGATAGCATACGCTCGAGGAATTACGGGATTCCATTGAGTACCATAGCTTCCGAAAGAGGGAGCAGCTAGTTCGATAATGTCTTTTTGCTGATTCAACGTCTTGAGAAACTATTGACGGTCTTTCACTGTTCATGACACGACTGACACAACGTTGTAATTGCAGAAAAGGATCCATATGAGATTGAAGACGTTCCTTTTTTTGGAGCATTTCCTCAAATACACGTTGTATCGAGTTCCATACTATATAGCTAGATTCAACGAGTATGGATGACCGTGACCAATACCGGTTCGTCTGAACCTCGAGAGCAAAGAAAAGGGCTCTATAAGTTTGAAGAGTTCAGTGGTTGCTGCATAAATTCGACCACGGTCAACGATCGAGGCATTTCAGCCTCCATGCACCGCCACTCAATTCAAACTGACACAAGCAGCAGTTCCAAAACTTACAGGGGTGAGACTGGTGGATGGGTATGACGAGATTCAGATATAAGCTATAATATACGGTATCAGCTACACAATGGTCTGGTAGTTGTGTGGTCAAAGTTTCGCGAAACGAGTTTTTGAGAATCTGGGGCAGAAAAGCAGACAACCATGTTGAGGAGTAGGCACTTCTAGTGCTGAACGTGCTTTTGGTCAATTCAAGCAAGAATATGGTTAAAGGCACGTACATTTCTATACGACTCACTTTAAGGCACATCCCAGGTTGATGACAAGACAGCGACGACACCAGCCCCTAAAATGGCGTGAAAAGAACTTCAATCCAAATTGTCACATATAAAACCCGCATTTTCGTGTTGTTCACGGGACTTTCGTCGTGTTCGAACTCCTACACTCCTACAACCCACCAATATTGTTGAACAGCAAGATGAGGCATGGAACGGGGGATTGTGGGGATAGGAGTGAGGTAGTAATATTCTTTGACAGTGTAGTATTGGAACAATTGGACTACGTTTGGTTGAATGGTTGAGTGGAAATAGTATATAGTCTATATACTTGGTTTTTTGTATATGTTTGCTGATGAATGTTTTAGCATATTTTGTTGAATGGAAGAATGCAACGTATAGTCTCATCTTCAAACTCTTGCTTGATGACATCTTCACAATCATCGCTTCTTCCGTCCATCGCGAAAAATAAGCCTTCAATTGTTGAAGATGTGTTCATGTGATCATTATTGGATTAAAAAGAAAATGCATTATGCTAATTACAACACAACAGGTATAATTTGGACGGAAAACGTACACGACGATCATTCTACCTTAGCACGACTATAAACATTATCACCACCACCATCTAGCTCCACTTCATCATCACCCAACAAGTCGTGGCCCGCCATCAAACCGGTAACACCATTAGGACGTGGTCCAACAACAGGCTTCTGCACTTGCTGTCGTTCCATAGCTGTTCTAATCATGGCATCTCGTTCTTCAGCAGTAAACTCCCTCACGACGTATCCTTCAGACCCTCGTCTCACATGACGACCCAGTTTACGGCCATGATGTGTTCGTGCTATAGGCTTATCATCATCGTCATCGTCCTGATTATTGCCGTTGTCAATATCGACACGTGTAGCATATCGTGGCTTGTTGATCTTGCCATCACTTTTATAATCATCTGCTTCATCATAGTCGTCGTCATCATCTACATCTGTATCCTGTGATACTGCATCGTCATCGTCTTTATCTCTACGACTGAGACCATACGGATCCTTCTTGTATCGATAGTATTCTTCGGGAGGCCACATGACTGATTTACTACCACCATTACTACTATTACTATTATCCCTACCCAGATTATCATTGATCGGAAACACAGTCCCATCACCAGCCTGCACCTGCGGCACCAACCAAAACCACCACCTCACACCCAATATCTGACACATATTCCGATACCACCCCAAATCATACGGAAACGCAGCAACTTTAGGTATCCTGCCCTTATTCATCAAATCCACAATCTTGTCATTCTCCATGTTTTCAATTGTCGTTACGTTCGTCATTGCGTAGTATACTTGGAAACCCGTCAAGAGCCCGACTGTGAATACTAGGACAATCAGGAGGACGACGTTGACTACCATAATGTATACTTCGAGTGTGTCTGCGGGGTTTACAAACATTATGGGGGTTTGTTGGGCCGTTATGTAGTCTCCGCGTCTCATGGCTTCGAGATGGAGCTGGTATTGGAGCAGATCAAATAGACGGATGCCGTGTAGGGTTAGACAGTATATGACCGATGTTGTGGTCCAGAGCAGGAAGCGGAGAAAGTGGCCAGAGTTGCGATGGCCCACACACTAAGTCGAAAGAGGGATGTCAGGGTTTTGAAGTGCGAGAGTGACGTGTTTTGTCACTTTGGAAGCAAAACTTGAAAGTGGCAGCTTTACATTATTTAGCCAAGGACCTACAATGAAAATAATGCGATTGAGCTTCCATTGTCCATACTCAGTACACGGAGGATGAACTTACAATGATGATCCATCTTCAGCACACACTTGCGACACTCACGACAATGATGCGTTCGTGGCGGCTTATACACATTGCATTTACGACACCATCTCCACTTTTTAGCACTCTTTTTCAAGTGCACTAGTGTTGGTCCATTATTATCTGTTGATGGGTGTTGCAGACCATCACTAGTAACCGTAGAAGCAGGAACCGATGGATCATAGTCCTTTGGCACATATCCAGGCGACGTCATCACTCCCAAGAAATAATTCGTCCATAGCATGAGCACTGGAAGTATGAATGGCATCCAAACTGCTCGAGACAGATTTTCGGTGAATACGAAGTATATACTGGAGATCGGAATGCCTGTAATGAGAGCTATTACGAGAACTAGAAACACGGGGCCCCATTCCCTTAGGCCCATTAATAAACAACGTTTGGCTAGTTTTCAAATTGATTTCACGAGGTGTGGAATGTGGTTAAGTTTTTAGAATTAGAGCAGTCGGTGTCCCTGTCCAGAGACCTCCTCTAACCATAACGCGAGTACCGAACAATTACTTTCGTGCCATTCTATAACAGCTACATTTGCGAATTTTACAACAGTGTTTTGGTTCAGTTATATTCATTCCTCGCCTTCCACAACATCCCCAGTGGCACCTTCTTCACCACCATCATTCTCATTAACAGCACCACCTTCTTCATCACTATCAACAAATTCAGCCGACAAGATCAACGCCTTGCGAGACTTATTTTTTGCAGCCGATTTACTCTTTTTACGTGGTTTGGATTCACCATCGTCACTTCCTTCTTGTTCTGATGCTGCTGCTGATTTACTGTTTCGAGACTCGTCTTCATCATCGGAAACATTGCGTCTTCGTTTCTTTGACGACTTTGATGGTTTCGATTTTGATTTCGATGATGATTTCGATGACTTGCTGGATTTGGATTTCTTTGACTTTTTTTTGGGTCGTTCATCATCATCAGTGGCACCATCAGCTGGTTTATTATTGGCATCACTTCCAGCGTCGTTTGTTTCTACATCGTCATTGGCTGCATTATCGGCTTGATCACTCTCTTCTGCATCAGATTCTGGAGTGACTTCTTTGACCTTCCTCTTCTTCTTGACTACACTCTTTCGTTTCGGTGCACTGCAGGGGAAAAAGGTATGTCTCAGGTATAAAAAATTCTAATTGTACCACTATAAATACGCTTACGGTTCTTGATTTCCAGCATCAGAAGCATCAGGATCACTGGAATCATTATCTTCTACAATACCATCACCCTTCTTGGGCTTGCCTTTGGCTGCTTTACGCTGTGCCTTTCGTTCTCTGGCAGCTTCCTCCTCGTCTTTCTGTGCCTGATTCTGTTGCCTAGCAATCTCATTAAGGCGAAGGAGGTTTGCTTCCACTTCTTCCTTTCGTTTCTGTTCAGCAGCACGTTTGGCTTCCTAATGAATCCGTTGTTGAAAATGACGAAAAAAGGTCAAATGTTGAAGACTCCAGACAACGGTTTGACCAACATTACCTGCTCTAGGAGAGCTTCCTCTCTCTTCTTTGCACGCTCTTCTTCCAACATTTGCATCTTGAGAGTCCTCTCACGATCCAAAGTCTTGGTCTCGTGCATCTTCTTTTCTGTTTCGCGTTTGACTTTTTCACAGAAGTCTGCACGCTGTAAAGCTGCCTTGATGTCATAAGAGCCATCGTGTTGAGCAGGATCGATTTGAGCAAGAGCTGAAAACGTACTATGAACAAAAAGAACTTAGAACAACGCCGGATGATCAAAAGCGTCTTGCGACGACTCACCTCCGTGACAATTCAAGTCCTTGAAGCGCCTCTTCCATAGCTGCAACGGTTCTCTTGTGACTTGGAGCTGAATTGAGTGTATGTGCATATTGTTGTTGGACCATGGCAATGTTGTATCGGTAAGAATTATTATTAGGATCAAGTTTGGTTGCCTGTTGTTTTGCAAGAGGACCAAAGAAAAATGTCAAATCGACCATATTCGAACAAAATTGCAATGTTAAAAGCATCACCTTTCGAATGTGTTCTAAAGCTGCCAACATCATTTGTGGATCATGTGTTTGCTTTGCTATAGCGAAACAACATCGAGCAATAAAGTTGCTCAATTCGGCATTGTGATCCTTGTATGTACTGTGCAAAACTGACTCGTACTATTTCGGAGGTGGGGCTGTTGAGTACAAAAATATAAGAATTGTCAGGAAGCAACATACCTTGGCAATGGCTTGTTTATGCAGTCCAAGATTGTACAAAACATGAGCATGATTGAGAGTTGCTGTCACAATTACTGCTGGAGGGACTCCTGCAGTGTCTAGCACCTAGTTGTAATGAAGTTTACAACAATCTTTCAAAGCATCCATCAAAGCAAAGCCTCAACTCACTTGTTGATAAACATCCGAAGCATCCTTGTAATGCTCGGATTCGGCAAACAGATTGGCAATACCGACAATGGCATAAATACACGTCTTTTCATGTTTAAGAGCCTTGTTGAAATATTCAAAGGCTGTCTTCAAGTGACCAGGACGCTGTAGGAGGAAAAACAGAATGAATTTAAGGGTTGAATAGTTCCGAACCTCAGAATCCACCCACGTTCTTGTAATCTGCTCTAGCAAAGCTCAATGTAGCATTACCAGCACCACACAAACCATAAGGATCAGTTCGATCAATATTATCCTTGCCAAGCTTTTGATACAGATCTCGAGCTGCCTTGGTTTCTTTGTGAGCTTCATCAGATATCTTGCCAGATTTGCTAGAATGGCTATTACTCAGATTCTCCCAATGATGTGCCAACATGACAATGGCATCAACATGTCGAGAATCAAAAGCCAAGACTTTGTTGAAGTGTTCACGAGCTTTTTCATATTGCTCTTGACTCTCAGCAATAGCCCCCAAACGTAATCGAGCTAAAACCAATGTAGTCGTCAATTATTGTGCGATACAAAATAGAAGCAATTCACTAACCATCATGATATTCAGGATCAGACTGCAATATCTCTTCATACAGCGCAACAGCTTGCTCTATGTCAGATATTTGCTCAAGGTGTCGTGCCAGATTGTACCTGATTGTAATTTCATAAGCAACAATCTTGTCATCTGTCGAGTCATCCATAGCACGACATTTCTCGAGAGCAATTTCAAACATGTGCTTTAAGTCCTCTTGTTTGCCTATGTTGGGAAAAGTAAGGTTTAGGGAGGCAGGCAAAAGATAGTACCATGGCTAATACACCCACCATTCAAGTGCATCTTGACTGCCAGGTTGTTTGCGACTTCAATAGGCACCTCCATGTGCTCATCAGTCATGATATTGACTGCTTTAGTGTACCCTAATGATCAAGAGGTCAGTCCCAAAATCGACTTCTGAACGATCGTGGTACAATTTCCCTTTTGCTCACATTCTTCACACTCCTTGTTAGATCCATCTGTTCCTTCTTTCACCCAAGCCATTTCAACACAGAGCATTGGATTTCGAACCAGCTCTTCACCATTTGGTCCAGTAATAGCTTTGGCCAATGTAGTGAAGAGTTCTGTAACTTTTTGCTTGGCCTTCTCTTCGTGCCTTTTAGCATAGAGAGAGCCTAATGCATAAAGTACTGCTGTAGCATTTGGAGACTTTTCTAGAACCTTTTCAAAGGTTTCAATGGCTCGAGTCTCGTCGCCTATTGTAAGATATGGGCGAACGAGTGAGAAACAAACATCCGAATTGTGAAAATCAAACGTCAAAACTGACCTAGCCATATGTACATTTCACCCAGACCTCTCAGAATAGGAACAGAATCCGGATTCGATTCCAATGCCGCCTTATATGACTCGAATGCTTGGCTATACTGCTCCTGACAGTGTAATGCTCGTGCTTTCAGAAAATATGCATCAGAGCGCAAGCTCGACGATTGGGTATTCTCTAGGACTTTGTCAGCCCATCCAATCCACTAAGTTTAGCAAGTCTTAGGGTCGATATTTCATAACCAGAGACACTGACTTCACTTACTTTTGCGACATTCTGAACTTCTACGGGCTTCTCCATCTCTCTTAACGATAGAAATATCTGCACTAATGGATGTTGAGCATCGACTCGTGCTGCAGTCTCTATTCGTTTCTTTCCAGCCTTTTTCATTTCGGTACGATCGTCGAGAGTCCGGTTGGCATTCTTGGCTTCCTTCCAGTCCATTGCAGCTAGACTTAATATGGCAGTGACATCGGAAGGATTCTAACAAATCAATTCATGGATGAGACGACGTGCAAGGTCTTTTGCGATAAACCTTCGTACGAGTTCAAGAGCACGTTCAAACGACTTTCTGGCTAGCTCCAAATGACCTGTACGATAGAAGCATACGCCAATTGGTATCCGTGGATCAGGCTTGAGGTCTGGGGCAACCATTAGTATTCTTTGATAGCATTTGCAAGCCTCCTTCCATTTCTTCAATTTCATAGCAACAGCTCCCTTTGAAAATACAAACAAATTGAGCCGCGTTTCTTTCTGTCGATTCGACAATCGCGAGAGATCATACCATAGTAATATTGAAGGGGAGATCGTTCACATCAGAGAAACCAGTCAAAAGAGTGTACGCTGGCTCAAACTCTCCTTTTACATAGTACAACATTGCTAGACAGAGGAGGATGCGTTAAGTCTGTCATGAAGAAATGATGTATCTTGGATGACAAACCTTTGGAGACACGAGTCAAAGCATCTCGTGCATCGATGGCATCAGCTTCATTAATGAGTCGAGTTACTTCATCCAACAAGGCTAGGTTCTTCTGCTTGTAAGCAGCATGTATCTTGTCATTGATCAATGCATTCAATAGGATGATTTTATCTCGTTCGGTGTCTGGACCGCTTGCACCTTTGCCTAAGTCAAAACATACTTGTAAGATAGACACATATTTGTCGAGCCAGAGTCCAAAAGAAAAGTACCCACCTTCATCGAAATACTTTTTCCCACCATTCAAAAATGTATGAAATGCCTTCGTCAAGTTTCGCTTGTGAGCTTCGACCTAGATAACACAAAGATTTAATTCGAGCTAACTTGACAAGATCTCAAATGTTTCGAGACACGACTTACAGCAAATGTAAGGAAGAGCGACAACGGGACCGATTCATTTGTGAGAATAGAGACAATGTATTCATCTTGTCCTGGTCCCGTGAAGTCATCGTTTTCCAAATTTACCAGCAGCGCTTCCTCATCACCATGCTATTGACGGAAGCCTTGTTAATAAGGTGATCCTACGCGTATAAGGCCTACTCACAAGAAGCGGAATCTCGACAGTCGGTCCGACACCCTCTGCTGCCATGATGTGTTTATGCTGTTTAGATTTACAGTGATCTAGGTTCTAGACTAATGATACATTTTTTATACATTTTTCTAGTGAAAACAATCTTAACCCAGGATTTTGATGGAACCCGGAATGGAACCTTTAGTCCTCGCCATGATCGTTAGCTACAGCATGAGAGACTGTTAATATGAGATTGGCGAGTCATTGGGAATCTAAATCTGTTTCGGAAGCGTCATCTCTGTCATCTCGATCAATATGATGGACGTGGAATTTATGTCCAGATGATATACAAGACCCATCATTTTCAAATCCGTCGCAGAAGATACCTCCTATGACAGAGGCAAACAAATGACATCTCATGATCAAGCTTGCTTAATCTGAGCAGCAATCCCGTACCTTACCTGGAAACTATACACTACTTCTTTTAGGCACTTATTTTTATATGTAACGGATCTATGCTTCAAAGTTCTCAACATCTGGCTGAGATTGTGTTCTTTTGCCAGATCGCGCGCAGTAGAGACAATGCGAACCCGTAGCTTATCGATAAGACGCGTATGCCAGTTCAGCACGTTTTACACAGGGCATCTTATGAGTTCACACTCGTTGTTGACTTAACCCAACTTTTGTAGGAGTGCTTCTTCGTCACCTTGTTACTATTGTCGTTTCTCGGGTTAGTGAGGACCGAATGCAATCATTCTACGTGAATAAACGCTACTTACATGCAGAGGAATTACTACAGTCGGTCCTACGTCCTGAGCCATAGTCGTCAAAAGTTTCGAAACAATCAAGGAACAGATATTAAACGCAAGGTCCAACACGACGTTTCGGAGAGTCTGGAGAGTTAGTAATATTTACGTCACAGGATTCCGTGTAATTACGTTTACAATGCTACAAAGAGTGACAATCTCCGGTACATTCAATCATAAGTTAGAAAGTTTTTGCACCCAGTATATCGTTCAGCTAGGCACTTTCCACTCATTGTTGGTTGAGAAAATGCCAACTGGGATCGTTCAAGAGTAGTTCCAAATACAAAATGCTTCCTAGTGCATAAGGGTTTTGTTAGCGTCATCTTATCTAAGAATTGCGAACAAGGAATTGCACCTCATACAATCCAGCAGTTTGGAAGCAATTCCACACGATCGTGCTGACTTCAAAACCCAAATACGGCTAATACCACAGTTGCAATCAACTGGATTTGTCCTGGTTTATTGGTTGATTCAGATCAGTGTCGTCTAGTAGAATGTTCAACGAGAATATCACATACCCGCATCGAATGACGCCAGAATCACTGGGAGCTGCTGGTGTCGCTTGATTGCTTTCATGTTCAACATCTTGCGGGATGACGTGGAAGGCATTTTTCAATGGTTCAGCGATGACACATCCCAAGATATGTTTTTTGGACGAAACGTAGAATATGCACTGAAGGCAAGAAAGCGGTTAATTGGAGCTATGTAACAATGCACATCAGCTGATGACCTACTTTGCAGGTTTCGAGAAATTCGGTACTCAGAGGCACGCCGCCCAGGTCTTTATTGACCTGTTCCACCACATCCAATAGCTATGAGACAAGTCACTGAGAGCTAATGGTCAGTGAAAGCCTGCGTGCCAAATTTACCTTCTGACTGGTTGATCCAGTTGCAGACACTAGCACCATCTGCGCACCATCATCGCCACGTTCCAACACTTGCGATTCCTTGTATCCCTAACAACGACAACCAAACAGAATTCAATGATCATTAAAGTGCACTACTTGCGTATAAAACGCATACATTGAAAGCGATGCCTTCCAGAACAGCACGATGATAGTGATCATGCAATGCCTCGTCTTCTGCCTTGCCCACACTATACTCCATCAAACATTCGTTGCACCGCTTGACTGACCTCTGAGCACGCTGTCCCAAATTCAGATGAAGTTGTTCGTACTGTCTGGGTTGGGTCTTCACGGGTTTTTCATGTTGCGTTGAAACAGCAGACGGCTTGGATCGCTTGATCTTTGATGATTCATATGTATCGGCTTCGTGTTTGCGAGATATTGGTGATATGGCAGGGTTGCAAAGCTCATTCAGGACGGGTTTTAGGCGTTGTTGTGATGTGTTGGTTGACTCATCAATTGATGTTAGGATTGGTTGTGATAGGTTGGATCGAAAGGTTCGCCGTCCATGATAGGTCACAGCAGCTTGTCGACTATATAAATATTGATAAAGAACGTCGTTTAAGAGCCAAGTTTCGTAACAAGCCTCGCTTTCTCCAAAAACAACTCTGACAAAATCCAGCCAAATTGCATACCTTTCCATTTGTTGGCCATCGTTCCTCGATAGATCTGGCCGTTTCAAATATGCATCCATCTGTTCGTATATGATGCGATGCGTCAGAGGCGTAAAAGCTCTACTTCGCTTGGAAAATGGGTAGCAGTGCAATGAACGACTTTTCAAGAAACGGGCAGCAATAGTATGCTGCTTACGTGCCGAGTACTTGAACCAGCATATCAATGAATTCTCTGCAGCTGCTCATATGCTGTCAACGACGTGAAAAAGTTTGAAAATGCGATCCGAAGGATATGAAAATCCGATAGTATGGGATGCTTCGACCATCGTTTTTTGCTTTCATCTTTCAGTGCCAGAAAAATTAATCCCTGTCTTATGATCACATATGGTCTCCACCCACTCGAACTCCTCTCAAAACTTCGCAGTTTGCGTTTGAACCAACGATATGAGACCAGCAATGTTGCGATGATGATTATATTGTATACACTATATGCCAACGAAAGATCCGGACTAAGCATTCTGTTTCAGCATAGAGGTACCTCTTGCACCCTGTCAACCAAACAATGAGTAGACCTGTCAAATATGCTCCAGGCCTACAGCCACGGTCAGAAAGAAGTGCCTTTGCTCTATCATTCAAGGATCTAGTAGAATACGATGATGTCCTCACCGACTTGCTGTTGGACATCCCTTTTCTCGGCATTAAAACCAAGAAAATGAACATTAGATACCATCTCGACGACAAGATGGTGGCTCCCTCGCCACGAGTGAGAGACTCACCATATAGTACGAAACAAATGCCTGTATCATCCTATGACCAAACGCCCTCCCGTCCCTCTAGTTCCAATGCTGTCATCGACTATACCACCAGTGGAGAGAGAAGTCGTCCTACTTCTCGACCATCCTCTCCCGTAAATCGTATAGCATCTCCAACCGCAGCAGTAAGTGCACCAGCTGCTCGATTGCCCTACTATACCCAACTCTTGGCTGTGCGCAGTAGCTCAGTAGATGTAGAACAGGTCTCGATAGTACTTATTGATCTTATATCCACTGCTATTCGATGTGACAAGAGTTTTGAACGTACTTCAAAGGCATTTCTTGAACTGGTTACAAAGTAAGCTTAGATGGGTTTCTTTGGCAAACTGATCAAATGGCTTGCTAACGAACGTTGTGCGCAGCCCTGATTCTGAGACTTTGCGAGATCTCTTTTTGCCTTATCGTACTGCATTGCAAGACAGAACTCCAAGACAACTGGGTGACTTGAAAGCGTATGTCAACTTTTTGAAAGGCTTCCGCTTTCACATTTTACCAAGTTAACAAACAACCATTCCACCAGTCATGCTAAACGTTATTTGAAAATGTTCCATCCTGAGGCCGGTTATGAAGTCGCGCCAACTAGTCGATACATGCCAGTCTCTGGAAGAATGGAAGCATGTCTTATTGCTTGCAAACCCTTCAAAAAGGGCGATATCTTGGAATATTGCACGGGAGTCTTTACGCATCTTACTCCAGAAGATGAAGAATACGCTAAGTTCCGAGATTTCTCGCTCATCTCCCTGTCAAGTCGCAAAAAGGATTCACTCTTCCTTGGCCCTGCTCGATTTGTCAACCACGACTGTGACTCCAATATGCAGGTAAGTCCCGTTAATTTCGACCACTCTGTTAAATCTCACTCTTCTTGGTGCGATAGTTCCGTTTCATTGGCAAGGATTCTCTTAGCTTTGAAATCATCAAGGATGTAGCAGTTGGTGACGAATTGACTACATTCTACTCCCCGCATTACTTTGGAGATGGCAATAGAGAGTGTTTATGCCAGACATGTGAAGAAGGAGGCCGTGGTTACTACTCAATCCACTCTGTCCAACAGCGTGACCTAGGCTCATCACCAGACAGCCAAGAGAAAGAACGATCCCGTCCAGCACGTAGAGCTAAGACCAGTGCAGACTATTATGGATCCTTACTAGACCCTTTTAGTAATGCCATGGGTCAAGAAAATCCTGAAGAAGAAGAACAACGTGTGCATACAAGCGACATGGTTCATGTGGATTCATGTGGTATTTGTAACGCAAACTTGTCTGCTGCCGAGTTAAACCAAGCAGATCCAATTGCCAAAGCTCTTGGACGTATTACGATGGGTGTAAAATGTGGAAGGTGCAGACGTCATTATCGACTCTATGAGCTCGAGTGGCCAAACCGACCGAAGGGTCATCGTCGTGAGGTATGAACTTCAAATATGCAAACACACGTCTTGCAAATATTCGTTTTGACCCGTTGTAATTGACGTCACTTGTTAGACTGCTTCCATCCGAGCCAGAAGTCCAGAAACTGTCCGCCGCTCTCCAGTCGTCTTCTTACCGAGTCCTCCGAAAGCTGTCAAGAAGGTTAAGAAACCAACTGATAACGGCAAGCGTCCGTCGGCCGACGACGATGATGACGATTCATCATCATCGTCTTCATCATCTGCTTCAGAGGCAGGGGTTGATGAAGAAGATGACGGAGCACTCATTGAAGCTACCAGGAATGCTGACGATCCAACGTGGGTTCCTGGATTCATCCCTACTACATGTATGTGGTCGCCGTTTTATCTATTTGTCTACATCCCGTCGCAGTTGGATGCTGATACCATGCTAAAACGTTAGATAATCGTCCGCATTTGGTATGGGTCAATCCTAGTGACCTCAAATATCCATTTTGGTGGCCGGCTCTGGTAGGACCATATGAGACGCTATGTATAGTCGAAACGTGTTACTCATAGCACAGTCATTTGGTCATAGATTGTGCCTGAGTCTGAAGAGGACGCTTCAATGCCCAAGAGACCCAAAGGTGTTGCTCCAGAAGAACGTCTCGTCCGATATACTGAAACAAGTGACTAGTATGAACAATCCCAGTGTTTGACTCTCATACGAACAATTCTAAATACCTCTCCAACAATAGTGGCTGGGTTTCTCCAGACGATATTAGGATATTCAATCCAAAGACTGAGCCATACCTCTCATTTTCAAAGCATCCCAATTTTGCTCGAGACAAGGGTGTTATGAACGCCAACAAGTATCGAGAAACTGGTGACTACCCATTCAAGTGGAAATACTTTGGAGATTGGAAGAAGCCAAATAGTGAAAAACGTTCAGAATCGTGGAAGAGGAAGCTCCGCGGAGCTTTGGTATGTATACATTGCCTTCTAGTGATAGCCGTACCAACAGCTCATTCGTTAATCCACTCATGTAGCGTCATACTACTGTCGAGCCTGTAAATGATGTCGTTGCGGTTGACGATGTAGTAGTGGAGATTGACTATGGTGAAGACCAACAGCCACAATCACAACTGCCATCACAACAAAGACCATTTGCACGAACGCCTGTTGCTAACTTTTTACAGTACAGACCTGAAGACTTTGACTGTATGTCTATGATTTTTTTGTTTGCAACATTTCTTTGTGGCTCAATTCGTTTTGTCAAAAATAGTGGATGGATTTGCTTGTAGAGCACAACCTCTTCCCTTAGCTGTTGAGCTTGAGGATGGCGAAGTAGAACGAGATTGGTTGTGTCGGGATCTTGCCATCCTTGCTTTTGAACGAGAGCGGGAACGTCAGTTATCCGCAGAAGCAGCTGAAGATTATGATATGGGTGAAATGAACGACAATGGTGCCGAAGAAGCATCTCCTGATAACTTCGAAGTAGATGCAACGCCCATGGGGGTTGATGCTCCAGCTCCCCCACGTGAAAACTTCAACGTCAATAATCTCTATGCAGCAATTGATTCTGATCGAGTCTCACCCTCGATGCCGTCTGTAAATAGTACGTCTAAAGTCATCGAAGTCATTGAAATCTTGGATTCCGATGACGAGGAGCCACAGCAACAACAACGAGCCGCTACAGATATGACTGAAGACGAAGACTTTGATCAAAATCAAGTAAATCAAAATGATGTAGAAGACGATGGCATTTCCATTCCCGATGAGCCTATTGTATCCACTGCAGCTGAGTCTGCAAATCCCCTATCTGACAAATCTTTTGAAGCAGAAGACGACGATCTCGACAATATCAATGTATCTAGGTCCAGTCAACTCCAGGATGTCGGATCAGATGAAGATGACTTGGAAGTCGAACCTCGTAGAGCAGCAGCAGGGCAGGAAAATGGCTATGTTATGGTACACAGACAGCGAGAAGACGGTGTAATTGTTATTGATGAGGACGATGATGAAGATGATGATGACGAAAACAGTAACGGCTCGCCATCATCTGTAATCCGGATTGCTAGACCGGCGAAACGATCAGCAGAACCATTTTATATTAATGACGAGAATGAACCAGGAGATCTTCCTAGATTCTCGAACTCTGGATCACCCGTACTAGATGTGCAACAACCGATTGACATTGATGAGGGCTTTCCATCCTTTGATGGGGATGATGCGACATCATCTCGTAAGAAACGTCGTATAGAAGAGGAGGACGAAGAGGACTTTATGTCGCGAATGTGATGAGTTTCGTTATATTGTATATAAACATTGCTTGTTCTTTGCCTCTAACCATTTTATTGTATTTTGAATATCACAAAGGAGTACATACTTTAGATCAGTTGATGGAAAGATTGAACGGTTTATGACCAATAAGGTCCTCAAAGGCACGATTTTTACATGTGCGCAGCCATAACATCAGATCTAACATAACAACTTTCATAAAGCGGGCAAAATCGGGAAAGCGTGTGCAGAATTCATGGGTCTTACCTGTGTAGCGAGCGTCACGTTCTTCCTATTTGCAAATAATGCTTCCTGCTTCTGCTTTTTTTTCGAATGTAACCGCGGGCTCACGTCCAAAGGGATCAAGGATCAAGTTCCAAGTTGATCATTAGAAACAGGAAAATTCCATTTTCTCTCTACTCAATGGTATCAATTCAAAATTTGGTAAAACATCTCTATCATTGCCAAATAAACAAAAACGAGTTGTGACAGTGTGCCAACCCAACGATGAAACTAGCAATGTCATAACGATGACTATTCATTTAGACAGTGTATAAGATCTGGTGGTCTGGGCTCCATAGTAATCTCGTCACAAAATGCGCAGACCAGTCAAATATGCTCCAATACAGTCGAGGTCGGATGGAACATCCTCCAGTCTTACCTTCAAAGATCTTGTAGCTTACGATGACATCCTTACGAACTTGCTGTTGGACATTCCATTCTTGGGCATTCAATTCTTGGGTATTCAAAACAACAAAATGAATATCCAATACCATCTAGGCGACGAGATTCCGGCGCCATCGCCACGAGTAAGAGACTCGCTATATAGTACAAATCAAGGGCCCTACATTGTCCTTTACGAAACTCCGTCACGTCGGCCTGATTCCAACGCCAGCACGGACTTTCCTACTACTGGAGTGACGAGACGTCCTACCACTTCTTGACCATCATCTCTCGCAAATCGGACGGTAACTCCAACCGTATCATCAACTACGCCAGCTGCTCGACTTCGATCCCAACTTTGCTGAAGATAAAGTTGTTATAAATGTCATCGAGTATCGAAGGCTAGAGAGTATCCATTTCCGTGGAAGTACTTTGGAGATTGGAAGAATCCAGATAACAAAAAGCGTTCTGAATCGTGGAAGAAGAAGCGCCGAGAAGCCTTGGTAAGTGTGTACTGTTTCGTTTTGATTAAATTGTTGTCGCCATCATTCTTCAATACTGCAAAGTCAGTACTACTTCAAAATCATTCTTCTAATATATTTTAATAGTACCGTCGAACCTGTTAATGATGCTGTTGCTGTTGACGATGTAATAGAGATCGACTGTGATCAATTGGCACAGCTAGGTCATTACCACAACAAAAGTCATCTGTACGAAGGCTCGCTCCTCCCTTTCCGCAGTATAAGGCTGAACACTTTGACGGTACGTATAATTCAAAATTTCCTTGACTGCAACACGAATTGGTGACTTAGCTCCAGTCTTTCCTTTTGTTGCCAAAACAGTGGATGGATTTGCTTGTAAAGCACAACCTCTTCCTCCAGCCGTAGAGCTTGAAGATGGCGAAGAGGAACGAGATTGGTTGTGCCAGAATCTTGCTTCGAGAGCGAGATTTTCAGATACCCACAAAAGCAGAGTACGATCATGATATGACAGAAGCCAAGCCCGTACCGGGGCATGCTTCAGCTCGCTTTAGTGAAGACGCTTGTAAGTCTAATGTCATCGAAGGCATTGAAATCTCAGATTCAGATGACGAAGAGCCTCAACAACAACGAGCCTCTACTCGTATGACAAAACACAAAGAATACGGGCACAGTCAACGTCAAATCCAACCAGTGCAAAAGTACGAAGATGGTTTGGACGTCAAACCTAGTAGACAAGTAGCTTCAGAGAACAGCCATCTCGTGATGCATAGACAACAAGAAGATGGTGTAATTGTCCTCGATGAGGACGATGATCGTAGTAATAGTAACGGCACATCGTCATCTGTAATCCTAATTGCGAGACCAGACAAACGATCTGCAAAACTAATTTATGAGGATGAACAGAGGAATCCTCCTCAATTCTTAATCTCTCAATCACCACCACCAGTAACGCGTCTAGATGAACCAATTGACGTTGATTTGCAATCCTTTGGTGGTGATGATGATCCACCATCTCGCAAGAAACGCAGAATTCTGGAAGAAGAAGATGTTTACATGATAAAGTAACGAGTTTAGATTTATTGTACTGTATTTGCTAGAATGTATATTGGTGGACGCTGAAATAACAAAAAAATTGTATGTCTTTGCTGTCATTGTGATTCACGTTATGTTCCATCCGTAATCATAATATCCCGCTGCTAAAAGACCAGGAGACGTTAATGATGGATTAAACTGACTTTGTCCGCTATAAGGTTCTTTAAAGGAAGGTCCAAATATAGCATAGTCTGGCATCTATTCCAACGACGTGGTTTTAGATACTGCGAGCTTACTGCGAAATCAAAAAGTACTTCTACCAATGTGCCCGTAATAATGGGTATAGCGAAGACGCTCTTCTCCAGGCCAAAAGCATTGACTCCGTGGATTACAAGAGCGAGATTTTGACCATAAGGCGATAAGAAGAGTGAGCCCATATCTACTTCATCATACAACTTATGACCCAATTGGATGCTTCCGCTTTCTAAATATCGAACTAACATTGGGATATGACGATGAGAGACGTTGTCCACTGCCGGCCAAGTACGACTTGATTTTTTTTTACCTTCTTGGTTCAAAACTTTCAGAGAAGCAGTAAATCGATTCTCCAGTGGACTTCCGAAGGCAATAACATTACAATCATCACCGTTTTCAAGAACTTGGTCGTCACTTTGTATCGAGATGCACCCTCTCGAGTGTAAATGCCAGAGATTTGCCAGTTCTATGGCATAATGAAGATATTTATCTGCAGTTGTGAATATCGGGGTCGAAGGAAGCACTATAATGACACGTTTCATAAAAATTTGCGTTATTGGTCCATACGTTGTTGATGACTTTTCAAGAGGAGTCCAAGACAAATCAGGGACCTGACTCCAGTTACCAGAGTCATACAATAAAGAGGCTGGAAGTGCTTGGGTGTTGTTTATGGCTACTCCGTCAATAATGAGCTCACTGACTCGAATGCCGTTAACAAGTGCGAATCGCCGGATATTGTTTGTTTTCAGGATCCATCTCCCATCAGCTTGCTTTACACGAATGGAAGCCAATCTCCCAGTCTCTATCAGTTGCAGGATCTGCAAACCACCACGCGAGGACACAGTTGCAGGATTTATACACCTGAGTTCAAACTCCGTTGGCAAGACTGGCAATGACGGATTGGAGAGCACTCGAGAAAGGAAATCCTGAACGATCTTTGCTGAGAATACATCACCAAACCAGTGATTTTGTGGTACTTCAGATAGCCTACGAACCAACGCAAGATGTCAAGAGCAAGACCAAATTCTAGTGAAATTTGACTTACACACAATCTCCTGAATGCCGTTCTTGAAGCATTCTGGTAAGTCGACGTGTGTGAATAGGTGGCACGTTGTCATCAAACGAACCAACCCTCCCTAAAACTGGTATGCCGACTCCATTGGCAATATGAAGGTCGAGATCATTTTCTGCGATTGAAGACTCCATAATCTAAGTTGTAGAGAATGTTAAGTTGGGCATTGGCATGACCATGAGAATTCAGCAACCTCACTCCGCGTAAAGTTGGGTCCAACGAGGACATGTCTCGTCTCAAGAAGTATGGCGAATACAACTGAATTTTTGAATAGCCACTTGCAGGGACAGCAGCAAGACAACGATCGCTATGATGGAGAAGCCACCACCAAGCACCTTGTCCGCCATTCGAGTGACCTACACGGAAAGCAAACCACTTGACAAAAACCAGACCTCATAAATATTGCAGACAGAATATACCAGTGTAGATTAATCTATTTGAATCCATATTCCATCCCATTCTAGTAGCTACGTCAACTAGTGCCTTAATAGCACTCTCAACGTTCAAATACGATGCACCGTGCCAGTCAAAGCCCCATGGAGTGCGCCCAGTAGGCAGCAGTATCTTGTAGCAGGATGAAACATCATTCAGAGAAAGAATATAAAAGATTCAAATCACAAGAATTACCCATGCATTTTCAAGTCGAGGATACGCCAAAGTCCAGAAAGGATTAGAAGCTTCAACTCCAGCTCCATGAAGGCCCAACACAATGGAGTATACACTTTCATTTGATTTCGATAAAGGTGGAATGGCAACAGCATAATGGACACTTCCATCGTAATCGAGAAAAGTGAATTGGAATGGCTCTGCATCATTCTTAGATTCAAAGACAAGATCCTGGACTGATCCTCGAAACGGCTGGTCTGCCTTTCCGTTCTTAATAACCTCAAACACTAAAGCTAATTCGTATGATTGGCCTGGCTGTAGCAGTCGAGGAAGCTCCAAAGACACTGATACTGTTTGGCCGGGAGCGATAACAAAGGAGGAGAGGACTTTTACGGGGTGGTCTGTAGATGTGGTTTTGAGCAAGGCGCTGATAATACGAATCCACAAGCCACTGCTCGAGTTACAGACAGGCAATGACATCAAAGGCGTAGATAGACTGCCTTCGACCATGTCTGCAGTAATACAGTGACAGGCATCAGGGAGAGATACTGGTTCCCGAACTAGTTCTATAGTCCCAGAAAAACTCACTTTGGGAGGAATCGTTCTGTTTGTGTTGTCTGTGAATCGTCTTAACTGCTTCCTTCAAGACTCGTTACAGGCTTACCCTCCGAATGCTCTCACGTCATAATATACTACCAGATTCAAAGCATGGCGGCCCTCCTCTAGTGATAGGATTGTCTGACTGTGATTATATTCGTATACGTTTCCTCCGAGAGTCATCCCATTCACGCGACCACCAGCGACATTCTTGAAGCGAAGACTGTACAAGTTGGTTTGTCGAACATTTATAAATCCACGTACGTAGCATACATATTGGCTCGCTGCCCATCCCAAAGTTGACGAGTTGAACTCCCAATCAACATTGGGCAACGTAAACGGTCCAACCGAAATACCATCATCGTTTGTCACGACTGTAAACCATCTTGCGAGGCCAGAATTATGGATTTCGGATGGGAACTCGGCATCTTGGTCGTATTGAAGATTCTCAAACCCACCTTAGTAGTAGGAGTGTTAAACGTCAGAACATCTAAGGGCCAAGATTGAGAGAGCATACCATATGAAAAGAGTGGATCCGCGCCAGCTTCTCTGCTGCCTCGAAGAAAGCCCAAAGCTTGCCAAGTCTTTGGCAAGTCAATGTTGGTTCGCATCTTTGAAGGTATATTGGCTTTTCAAGGAGGAGAAGAAAGTAAATTCTAAAGGTGCGTAAAATGATGGTCAACGCACTTGCAAACAATCAGGTATAAACTGTCAAAACCCAATTTAAAACTCGATACTTGCCAGATCAGTTTCGGCTTTACTGGAATCTTTGAAGAAGACGATCAGGCGCTTGAGACGAAGTGATGCCCTAAGGCTGGCCCCCTATAAAACGGGAAATGTTGAATAAGTTTGAGTTCAGCTCTCCTTCTGCAAAAAACAAACTTGTTGCCTGGTAGATGTGGGAAAAGTGTTCAAAACCTATACTGAGATATACCACTACCAACAGATCTACATATTCTTTCAATTCGTTACTCAGTTATCATTCTACTCTTGCAAGCCTCGGTCACTCCCACACGTTCAAAATGCTGTCGACTCGTGATTCTCGTGACGGAGGAGAACGAACTGCTTCGGGACCATGTATATACGTGCTCGGCAGTGGGCTGGCTGGTCTCACTGCTGCTGTAAGTGGAACAGAGCTCTCTAATTATCTTGTGCTGAAGCTGTTTTTAGATCATTGCCGCAAGAGAGGGCTGCAGAGTAACAATCTTGGAGAAAGAATCTCGTTGTGGTACGTGTAACAGAGCAATTGGATCAGCTCTACCTTGATTCTGGGTTTGTTCATCAACGACAATAATGACTCACCGTCATGCAAACATACTAGGAGGCAACTCTGCCAAAGCTACCAGTGGAATGAACGCTGCTCCTTCCCCTTATACCACAGGCGACTCTACAGTATTATTTCTTCAGGATTCACTTCATTCTGGAGGTGGCGCTGAGATTCCAGAACTCGTCGATACTCTGGTCAATGGTTCTTCACACGCTCTCGAGTTTTTGGAGTCATTTGATCTCAAGTTATCAGTGGTTTCTCAAACAGGCGGCCATTCTCGACCTAGGACGCATCGTGAAGTGAAGGGAGCGGTTGGCTTTGATATCATCAGTGCCTTGAAAAAACATCTCGATACTCTACCAAATGTAACCTTTCTCGTCAGCACCACCGTCAAGCAACTAGTGTACGACACTATGTCTGGTGAGGACCCGTGCCATGTATGCTGTTCATCAAAACTGTCTTGTTGAACGGTTTTGTCATAGATCGAGTGATTGGGCTCGAAGCTATTGACTCAACGGGGTGCAAATCATTATATCATGCGAGTGCAGTAATTTTGTGTACGGGTGGATTTGCCCATCCAAATCCATTATTAGTGAAACTAAGACCAGATCTTGCTCATTTACCAACAACAAGTGGAAAATGGGCTGTTGGTGAAGGATTATCCATGGCTTGTGCTTTAGGAGCTGCAAGTCGCCATCAGTCGCAATCATTTCATGAAGCATATCAACAGTGTATGCTAAGACTCAATTTGTGCAACTTTCTAGGACACCGTTGGATTGGAGTACATTCAAGTGCATCCAACTGGATTTGTTGATCCGTCAGATCGGCTATCCAAATCCAAATTCTTGGGTAAATACTTCGAGAGCGGTTTTGAATCATGAGCTTTTACTAAGACATGTTACTTGTATTACACGCTCTTAGCACCTGAATCATTACGAGGACATGGTGGTATCCTAATATCACCTCTTACATCAAAACGGCTTGTGAATGAACTCGAAACTCGAGACAAGGTCACAGAAGCCATATTCAAAGCATGCCCATCTGACCAACAGTCCGAAGCTCTCATATTCCTGAACCAAGCTGTATGTGATGATGTTGGAGACTCGATGAAGTTCTATCTTTCAAAAGGGTAAGCATAGGTGCTTGACATTCCCTGCCAACAATGCAACGTCTGATCTCTGAATTTGGTTTCCTTTATTAGATTCTTCAAACGCTATGAAGGACTCGATGCCGTAGCTCAAGGTGAAAGTCTTGATCTAGCTAGTCTGTTTCAAACCATAAAAGAGTACAATGAAGCTGTGTCTGGAGCGAAAGCAGACGTCTTTGGAAAGACAGTCTTCTCACATCGTTTCGAGGAGTCAGATATATATTATGTGGGGAGAATCACTCCCGTGATTCATTATACCATGGGCGGGCTTGCAATCGATGGTGAAGCGAGAGTCCTCGCTCAAGGAAGGCCTGTTGATGGGTTGTACGCAGCAGGAGAAGTTACAGGTGGTGTACATGGAAAGAATCGTCTTGCAGGGAATTCTCTGCTTGAATGTGTCGTGTACGGCAAGATCGCTGGAAAGGCCGCAGCTGAATATGGAGAACTTGTAAAACGTGGCAAGTTAGTTTATAAGTGATATTTAGTTAGCATATAAAACTCATTCAATGAATTGAAATGTAATTCACAGTTATATTTCGTGTGTATGTATGTACAAGAATGGGGTTTACTCTAGTTTAAATCCATCAGTTTGTCGGTTGACAAGTTTTCTGTATGCACCATTGGTATGTTTCATCAATGTGTCATGACTTCCCATCTCAGTCAACTTTCCTCCCTATGTTCCGAAGAATTATTACTATTAAGCCACCAAAACGAACAGACGGTCAAAGCGATGAATCTGTCTCTACTATACCTCAATAACAGCAATCATATCGGCACTTCGAACTATTGATAGACATTGAGACATTATTCAAACAGTAAGGAAGACCAATGTCGAATTTTTCGGCTTACCAGTCGACAGCCTGTGAGCTATAATCAAAACAGTTCTTCCTATCATGATCCTAAGACGAACATATTGAGTGCAAAAACTTAAATCTGATTTTTGATTTTTTTTGACATCTATGGAAAACAGGTAAATATCACAGAAACCACGTACCTGTTGATTGCTTCTTGCACAAGGAACTCGGACTCAGCATCCAGACTGCTCGTTGCTTCATCAAGGAGTAGGAGACGTGGATTCAGCAAAAACGATCGGGCAATCGTGATTCGTTGACGCTGGCCTCCACTAACACGATTTTGTAGAGAATCAGGTGAGACAAAAGAATCTTCAACGGCACCCACTATACTCACGACAAAGTTACACCCCGTTCCCCCACAAGAGTCGAATAACCCTTGGGAAAATTCTTGATAAAGTCATGGGCGTTGGCTTGCGTGGCCGCTTGGATGATCTCGTCTTCTGTTGGCTGTTGGACCTTATGCCAACCATACAAGATGTTTTCGCGAATTGTTCCATCAAATAAAACAGGTTCTTGACTAGAGCATAACGTGTCAACCAAGCTTCAGAAAATAAAGAAAAAAACGTAGTGCTACCTGACATAACCGACGCTCTTCCTATAGCAAGCGGGATCCAGATCACGAAGATCTCGACCATCCACAAGTATACTTCCGGCAAGAACGTCATAAAATCTACGAAGTACAAACTTTTGAGCAAGAAATGAACGGAGTTACGTAATTTCACATTTCACCTCATAGTCAATGACATTACAGTGCTTTTGCCTTGACCAGAAGGACCCACTAAGGCACAAACTTTGCCTGGTTCCAAGAGAAGGCTAAAGTCTTTCAAAACCACTGCTTCTGGTCGTGATGGGTAGCTACAGTTGAAGTTGATGAGCAGCGATATTTTCAAAAAGGGTGTCGCATTTTAAACTTACGCGAAATCGACATTCTTGAATTCAATTCGTCCATCGAAAGATGGTGGTTGTTCACCACCGGAGACGGGAATAGTAGGAATCCTATCTTGCAGATCAAAGATCCTACTTGAAGCTCCAAGACTTTGCATGAAGTCTGTTGAAAAAATGTCTGAGAAGAGAGCCCTGGATAGTCACGAGTGAAAAATTTGACTTTTGCTCACCTCCAAACAAACTAGAGATAGTTCCAAAACTCATGGCCAAGTTGAGAGTATAAAACAGGAAACTAACAGGACGCAATGTCAGTTTCAAGAAGTTTGGAAAATGACGGGACATGTTTGATCAGACAAACCTCGTCAGTAAACCAGCAGTGATCTCTCCCTTGATGACCAACAGGACTCCAAAGTACAGGACAAGGGCGATCGATGTTTGAGGCAAGAAGGACATTGCTCCCATGAATATAGCTAGGGAGGAAAGAAAGTGAAGTGAGTAACGAGCTATAACACCAGAGTTTCAAGCACGCTTACATTGAGCAACTGCAATCCTCTTTCCAACCTTCTGTGTCTCTTCAATGGCATTTGAATATTGGTTTAAACTATATTCTTCCTTTGCGAAAGCTCGAACTAGTGACAGGTCGAAATCAGGAATTTTAGGTTTCCAATCTATCCATGTCCATTTATTCCAGAATTCTTTACCTGTTCGGACCTGAGATATCACCTCTTGAGCTACTGAGGCAGCGGAGGCAAGTTTGGATTGGAATGCATCTTGCAAATCACCAACAGCGTTTCCATAGAGAATAGCGGCGAGCACTACTGCGGGGACTATCATCATCATAATTCTGACAGAAGCAGTTAAGACGTGTCTGTGGATTAAGAATTGAACTTCAAACCTTACAAGGTCAATTTCCATGATAGAGACAGTAAAATGATGACTGATCCAAGAACACTGACAAGAGAACGAACCAACATTGATACATTCACCGTCAGCGCGCTTTGTAGCATTTGTGTATCCGACCTACATTGAAACAGATCAGATCAGATCAGATCGCGATCGATTTCTTCACAGTTATATTTGATGGCACAATGAACAGTGTTGGCTCTGTTGAGTTTAATTGCACTTACGATAATCTCGAAATCAATTCTCCAGTTTTGGTCGAGTCAAAAAATGAAATGTCCTGACGGATGATGGCGCCAAAGACATTAACACGGAGGCGTTTCACAACATTGTATCCAGTCACGGTAAAAGCATAGGAGCGTAGCATTCCGGTCAGACCTCCCAGCATAAAGATAAAGAAGAGCTCCAGCATGTACGTTCCTAGTTCGTCGGGGATATGACTTCCCATGGCTTTAGAGACCAAATCTACTACCAAGCCCACATAATACGGTACGACTAGTGATGTAGCACTATTGAATAACAGCATCAGCATGCCTATACTCATCAAATACCAATCTGGAGCGAGTAGACCAAGTAGACGCGTCCATGGTATCGGTCTACGTGGTTCGGGAAGATCAATCTTTGATCCTCTACGGCTGGAATTCGATCCTCTACGACTAGAGTTGGGAGTACCGTCTTCATTTGGTATTGGTTTATAATCGAGGGCTAGGACCCACGCCTTGGTGAATTGCAGAGCACCACCAAACTCGATCAAAGAGAAGATTAATTGAGCTCCTACACCTGTATACATGAACCCAGGAGTAACAATCCATTTATCAGAGCTCCCAGACGTCTGAATCACTTGTACGAGCTACAAGAAACAAATCAGTGAGCATTGAGTTTGGAATTGTGTCCCTGCGAGACCGCATTTCAACACCATAAAATACAAGAAGATCTCACAATAATCATTACCTTTAAAATAACAAATCCAGTTGACAAGGCGAGAACTGCATAGATCGCCAATCTCCAAGCATATAATTTCCGTGCAGTTGGATAACGACGCAGAGCAGTTCCAATAATCAGAACAAGTACAGTTCGTGCAACGGATAGCAAGACCAAGTCAGCGATGCTACTGTCCCATTCGATGAATGAACGCCGAATAAAGTCAATAAAGTCGAGATTATTTTTAACGGCTTCTGCTTCAAATCCAGCAAAGACGAAACCGATAGTCGTCAAGAATGTCTATATGAACCGTAAAAGATGTAAGGATCTCGATGAACTGCCAAAGTTTTCCGCTGTTCTTACATCCAATGTCAAAAACTGCGTCGCGAGTTTAAATGCCTTTGGAACTGGAATGTCGTCCTCTACGCGGCCAGATTCATTAGCAACGTCTCGATCAGATCGACGGGAGTGTCCGCCTCGACCACGTCCTCGGCCTCTTCCTGACATTTTATGTTAAACTTGATTTGATTTCGAAGAGAGACACGTCAGGGTGAACTCTAAATAAACTGTGCAAAAATTACAACGATAGATTCTTTAGGTGTTTGACTTGTATATAGAGTACACAAGTACACAAGTATGCGAATGACGCGTGGTCGGTGATCTTGCGACGTCAACAAGCAACAGCAACGCAAACCTGAAAAACACAGACTTGAGTATTGCTTGGCATACATAGTATATTCTAAAGCTACAAATCACGTTCGCTTTTTCAATAATCCCATTTCAACAGCAGCAGCTGCCCAGTCCTCGCCATGATTATGTCCCTTGCCATTAGGACCTCTCCCCATCCCAGCACGATCAAAAGCTTGATCTTCAGTAAGACAGGTCAGCACACCAAACACCACAGGTAACCCAGTATCCAGTCCAACTCTCATCAACCCCTTTGTAGTAGAATCAGCTATATATTCAAAGTGCATGGTGCTTCCTTTAATCAAGACTCCAATACATATAGCCGCGTCATAAGCAGCTGCTACAGGCGTTTTGGTAATTGATGGAGAATCAGTAGTGAAGAGGTCGGTCGCTGATGAAGCGGTGCGTTGAGCTGATGTTAAGAGTCGTTGTGCTGCAATCGGTAATTCGAATGAGCCTGGTACGGATTCAATTACAATGGAGGATTCAGGGACTCCTAATGCCTTTAATTTGGATATAGTTCCATCTAGTAGTTGCTTGACGATGGTAAAATTCCAACGTGTGTGCACTAGAATGTGGTTTGCTTGATGAGAAACTTTGAAGGCTACGAATGGCAAATGGAGCAAAGTACCTATCAGGATTCGCAGCGCAGAACCATCCAATGAGCCGGCGGGCAGAGGCTCTATTCCCTTGACAGTATGATCAGCCATGTTGTCTGTAATGACATCAATGTGATTCAAACACGATCGCAACGCCATCTAATGGAAGCTTCAATGAAAAACCAGAGTGTAGGTGTGGATGAATCGCTTTGCAGGAGTATTATAATATTATTAGCATATGTGCGCGTGAAATTTGCGAAATGACGTTCAAAAAGCATAGATCGCGAATTTTTCGGTTATTCGCGAAAGATACCGCAAATTCACGAAAGATACTAAAGATGCTGCAAACTCGAGACTCTTACACGCTTATAGACGTGTGTGCTTGGTTGCAAACCCTTGTTTCTGGACTGGGCCTCAATGGCCCGGGGTTCAAAATTGAAGGTCTTTATGGTTAGCAGGGAAAACGACCACATTTTCGAAGGTCAGCAGTGTAAGAGAACGTTATTCCTGAAAGGAGTACCATAGGCATGTCAAAGTGTCCCACAATGTTAAGAGTAGGAGAGATGTGTTTTAGGAGAGATGTGTTTTGGGAGAGATGTGGACACATACAAGAAAGTCTACTTTTATCTGTTCATGCCAAAAGATACAATGTGTGTAAGTGCGAGGAAAATATTACTAACGTTTCACTCTTGCGATATAGATTATAAACGTGTTTCGGTACGAGAGTTTCCACATTGATTCCTACAAAATCACTTTTCAGGACCAAATCAAAGGGAGAACTCAAGCGTATAAACTAATACCTTTGCGTGGCTTCCGATCTCCACGGGGTTGCAGAGTACGCTCAGCTTGCCTGAGAAAACTCTCGTCTCAATACCAGCTCAGCCTCAGCGTATTGTTGTTTTGCCAACAGTACCAATTGTCCAAGATACGGTAAAGCTTCATCAACAGTCACAGATCCAGCTCCATCTTCTCTGAGTAGTCGTCCAACATTTTGTATCTTCTCACATGCTATCTTGAGCTTGGCAAGACCAATTTGGGCTGATGATCCCTTCAAGAAGTGACCTAGTTTCGATAGAGCTGTATAGTCGCCACGATGTCTAGAATAGTATTACGAGTCGAGATTAGCCACAGTTTACGTATCTGGTTGAAAGTGGAGTTTCTAATCAAGACGACTCACAATGCCGCATCCATTTCGGAGAATGTTTGATGGGCCTATTAGAAAAGATACACATAGAATAAGCACGACGAATTTCTTGACGTGATTGTTTTTCTCCATGCTGATATTTGCCTGTTCGAAAACTAGTCACGAAATGTGGAGTCAGCTACAAAAAAGAAAAAAGCGTGGGACTCGACAACGGCAACAAAATGTCATACATTTCGAGACAATACTGAGAGTGAATTCACGAGATGGATCGCCATCTGTTGATCAAAAACACGGTGTGAGTTTAGTTGGTCCAAAATGGGATGCCAATGGTCTAGATTGTTTGGTCCATCAGGGGAAATTTTCAACAGGAGATAGTAAAGGCTAAACGAAGACGATAAAAAGACATAAATAGGATATTTGCAATGAGAGAATTACCATCTAGCATCAGAAACTCCTCGAATTGCTCCGTGTCCAACACAGATGAGGAATTCGCCATTTTGTTCTGGGCGTAGAATGTGGTCGATTGCCGTACGAACGAGGCGGTGGGCTGTTGAAACATATAAACGCTATTACTTGAGAATCGGAGGAATCGAGGAGGCTGCCTTCTCTCCGTTCCTCCTTCTTCGTTTGGCCAAAGTTCGTTGCAAGTGCGTGGTGTGAACGCTTGAACGCTCGGAAACCAACACCAAACAAAAGCAAAGCCAATGGACTTAAGGTGTGCCTGGTCAAAATAATAATAAATGGAGTTTCTCCATTGCTGGCTCGCGTTTGGGACAACAAACAAGCTAATAATAAGCTGCACAACGAGTTCCTCTTAATCTGGTCTACATCATGTTACAATAAACGTTTTCTTTACAAAAGTTGAAATCTGGTTTGTTACAGTTTTAGCCTTCCCAAAAGGTTGGCAGTTTGTTTCCTGGCACAAACACTCGTTCAACACCAGATTTTGTGATGATTGCCAATCTTATAACACCGCCAGATGATCCATCACGCGACATGGCCAACGCAACAGCTATTTGAATGTAAAACAAATGTGTGATGTGTCAAATCATATATCTTCCAAACACCCGAGCTTGGACCAAACCCCTGGCACACAAAACACTTACAATTCTTGATGAATTGGGTAGCATCTTCAAGACTCATGTTATCTTTCCAATGAGCATCACAGTATCCATAAATGTATGAACTTCCTGAACCACCAATGGCAAATGGCTGTTTGTGTAGAGATCCACCCAATGGAATAGACCATACTGATGGTCCTTCAATAGGATCATATCCAGCAACAATGATACCAGCAGACAAGGCGTCCTTGTTGGAGTAGACCATGTTTTGGAAGAGAGTTGCAGCAGTACTCACTTTTGGTGCTTCATTGTGCTGGACTCTGTTGAGAGAGATTAAGAGGAAAAGTTGTTAATTTGACCAGTTAATCTTTCATGCTATCTTGCGTCGTATTATTGCGATGAGCTCTCAACAAATGAAATAATCTTACGAGTATATCTGCAGATAGTAATGTACAATATCTGCAATGGCTTGAGTATCAGCAGCACTTCCAGATCGACAGCAAAATATAGTATCATGTATAGCCGTCAGTTTGTCTGTCACTCGATTTGCTGTATAAAATATCAAACAAATGAGCATTTGATGTCGATGGTTGATGTTGAGAAATCAGGACAATCTGGAAGGACAGAGAGCTTCAAATAAAATTACCAATATATGAGCCTGTAGTAGTTCGTGAATCTGCTCCTACAATTACACCATCTGCGAATTGTACTGCCATAATTGTAGTCTACGAATTATTGGAATTTAGTTAAATTGTATCGGAAAAAGCGACAATGACAAGCTACTTACGCCCAAATCCACTTCACCGGGCTTTAATCTGTATTGTATTCCGTCTGACATCTTGTTCTCAAAGCTTGTGGTCGATGATGTGTTGTTTTGTGATGTGACGCGTCAGTCTGAAGAACGATTTATCAAACAGAACAGCGAACAACGGCAGCACGCACGCGAGGTTTTCGAGCAGTTATTCCGGTGTTTCATTTACGTCTTCGGTCTTTCAAATTATTTCGTGCATGGACTCTTAATAATCAAGAAACAAGTGATGCAAGTTAGGCTTTCAACCAATCCTAACTAGAATTGGTGGTTGGCATAGTGTATGCCTCAATTTTATTGACAAAACATCAAAGGTGAAGAGCTACAATAGTTTAGTCGAATACGATGACACTACGAGCAACAGCTCCTGACTTCAAAAGATCGAAGCCGTGGTTGATTTCACTGAGCTTCAAACTGTAAGAAACAAGGAGGAATTGATCAGACTTTGGTAGAATCGTGAATTAACAGTATCATACTCACGTTTCTGAAACTAGTTCGTCCAACTTAAGACGTTTTTGTTTGTATAGGTCGAGTAGACGAACCATGTCGACACGAGGACGAGCAGAGCCGTATAACGAACCTAGTAAAGTTCATTAGATTATTAACGCGCATTAACAAAACCAAATAGCAATGACATGATAGCCCGCAAAATAACAATCACTAGCTCCAGTCGTACCCTTGATGGTCTTTTCTTGTAAAGCCAACATGAAGGGAGAAATCGAGGCAGCTTGCATAATGGGGGCAACACCGACTTCAACGCAGGTACCTCCACTACAATGGTGACAACTATTAGTGCTCAAGTCTTTCCATCCAGAGCGGCACAAGAACTTACGGCTTAATCATTTGGAAGATCTGTTCCAAAACAGCCTTGTGTCCAATGGCATCAAAGGCGTAGTCGACACCTAGGCCTCCAGTCAAACGCATCACTTCAGCAACAGTGTTTTCAATCTTGGATCCATCAATGACGTGGGTGGCACCGAATTCAGTAGCGTATTCGAGCTTTTTACTGACCAAGTCAATACCGATAATCATGCCGGCGTTGACGAGACGAGCTCCTGAAATGATATTCAATCCCACACCACCACAACCAACTACTACTACAGTTGAACCAGTTTCAACCTATGATTGAACGGCGTAAGCAACACTCAAATGAGACAATGTGTAGATTTTGATTTTACCTTTGCCGTATTCAAAGCGGCACCAACCCCGGTCATCACTGAGCAGCCTACTAAAGCTGCCTTGTCAAGTGGAACGTCCTATAGTGGCGAAAATCGTTCAGTATGAGGGTGTCGATATCTGACAATCAAAGACGAAAAGAAAGATTCTGTTTACCTTGCCGATTGGCAACAATTGTTCCTCAGCAATGACGGCGTACTCTCCGAAGCACCCAAGGGCGCACATGACATATCCTTCCTTTCCGTTGACCTTCATTCGGGTGGTACCATCATTGTGAGTTCCTGGCTATAAATCGATGAAAACGTGTTGTGGGTAACGAATTGAAGAGTTGTTTGGTATCCCTGCGAACGCAAGCGGTTCTCATGTCTGTCTACCTTGGAGTTGGAGTGACCGCGACACATCATTGGGCGTCCGACTTGGCACATTTCACATTTACCACAGTTAGGCTGGAAGAGCAAGACACAGTGGTCGCCTTCCTTGACAGTGGTTACACCTGGGCCAAGCTTGGCGACAATTCCTGAACCTTCATGACCAAGAACGATGGGCATTGGTACTTCCAAGACACCCTTTACACTCCAGTCACCCTAATAGGCGAGGTTATTACCAAAAGGGATCAGAATTCAGTCCGCCGTAACCTCGAACTTTCTTATGGCCACAAAACACCATCCAACCCGAAGGCGAGTACCAACCAATCCACATCAGTAATAATATACTTGGAAAACGTACCTTAATCATGTGCAAGTCAGAGTGGCAAATACCAGCTAAAATGAGCGTGGAAGTGACAAGTCAGCAACTTAGTAACAAACCCAAAAATTCAAGAGCCCAAACTGGCTCAGGAACGAGGAGAAGTGGTAGAAGACCTACAGCAACACTCAGGGCTTACCAGCTGCAACTTTCACCAAACATTCTCCTTGCTTAAGCTCAGTGATTTCCACCTCTTCTACCACCAAGGGTTGGTTTACTTCATGAAGCACCGCTGCCTTGAATTTGAATGGGAAGGTATAGTCTTTGGCGGCCATTGTTTAGATTTGTATACTGGAATTGGTTTTCTTCTTGAATGGGAAAGTGGAATTTCGAAGGTAAAGAATGGCCGTGGTCCTCCCAGTCTTCAAGGTATCACAAACAAGCAAGAATCGTTTACCCACCTGCTGGTTAAATTTGGCTCGCCCTGTCAAAGTCTGGATTTGCTGGTAGTAGTAGTAGGCTAGCTCGGCGTATGCAGAGTTTAAGAAATCGATTGGTATTTGGTATTCGTCTCTTCTGTCTTTTGGTGGCGATGATTGACCTCTTCATCTATTAAAACCTCACATCTCATCCGCCATCAGACTTGAAAATGTAAATAAATAAATAAATGTGGTATGAAGGGTTTGTCCTTATAACTCCTCCTCCCAGCATTAAGTCTTCAATTCACCGTGATGACATCAACAAACAGTGGGCGTTAAATGAGCATCTGTCGCCTTTAACGATTCCACTTGTTCGAAATAGGTCTTTCTAGCGCGATGCGATGCGGCTTGTTTTTCGCATGCTGCTGGTCTCTTCATGCTGTGATTGTCTGTTGCGTCCAAAACATACAACTCGAGTAAACCCCAACTACATGGGTTAGGGGCTAAGGACCTAGATCTTGTCAAATATCCACCCCGTATCAATCGAGGTTCATTCCTCACTGCTTGTCAAAGTCGCGCTTCTTGCTTTCCTCTCTCTTGCTGTAATGTTGTTTGTCATGTCGCCCTTGCTTCAGGAATGATCATGCCGATTTATATAGGCATACTATAGAAGCTAGAATTCGTGTGTTTTGAGCTATAGTGTGGTCCAGACCCTGACTACAACATTCGAGTTGCAAGGCTACTAATTCGGGAGTCAGCAAACCACAAAAATGCAAGTGTGGTAACTCCAAAAGAATTGGGTGAGCATGGGGATACCAAGACTGCATCTTTCAATGGCTGCTGAGGTAATAAGTAGCCCTCACAAGCTCTAGATACTTTGATGTGCAAAAAAATGTGGTTTTCTCCCTGGCAAACAGAGGTATTTGGCCTGAATACAATATCGTCAAGAAGATGGAAATGGTTTCTAATATTTGAAATCATTAAGTATGTATTGTCGTTTTTGCCTCGAGCGTGGATCGAACACGCTACCTTAGCATCTTCAGTGCTACGCTCTCCCAGATGAGCTATCAAGGCGGCTTCATGAAGAGCTGTTGGTCTGTTGAGCACCTAATGGTCAGACAAGGTCCCCAGTGTAGATCTAGCGTTCAAAGAAGACCGCTGCCTCCAGAAATTGTAGTGCAGGGGTTGATCGAGTGTTTTACTACTCCTCTGGGTTGTTGGAGTTGTTGTAGAACATTGAATTTTGTTTCGATCAAGAGGAGATCTACGGTCGCGACGGTAATGTTTTGGAGGAATCACATCCATTGAAGTGTTGAGAAGTGTTGATAGAAATGTCGATCATCTTCTGTGTTTCAGTATCCCCTCCACCCCTCACCTCACCCGGCTTTCAATGACGAGTGTGATGATGTACAAACTGGCACATATCGAAATTGGTTATCTCGTAAACCAATTTTCTTCTCTTCCAGGATACCAACATCAGCTCTTGCAACTAAGGGTCCGTATTCATTAGCAGCTTTATACACAATAGATAGCAACCTTTATTGAACCTTGAGATGTTGTAGATGCCGTGGCACAATTTGTCGTTGATGATCCAATGTATTCAAAAGAGCTGCTTACCATGAATAGCTTTGACTATCCTATTTCCCGCTTTTCTCCTCCATACGAATTGCTTGAGAACGATTTTGTGGGAAGTTACATATATTCATCCAAACAAGCGGCTTACAATTTACCATGCAAAACTCGAGTGACATTCTTGACTAGTTTTGGATCAGTTTTCGGAATGGCGTACTAGAAAGGGAAGAGAAGTCAACAAAACTATTCAAATTGGAAACTAATGAAAAGAAATTGGGCACCTCTGGAGTAGTTATAGCAACACCCATAAAGACAGCTCCATTGCGAAAGACCATTTTGGAGTCCACTGAACTCGGAAGTGCCATGTGAACTTCCGGGAATGGCACTTGACTCAATATCCTCGACAGATTTCTTGGAGTTATCCCTCCACCTGGCAGGATACTTATTCTGCCTCGAGCAGCCTCTACTAGCATTTTGAGAAGTGGAAGTCCTGTTTAAAAAGTTCGTTAGGGTGGTCTTTGATTTATTTCAAGCAACGACAACGTTCCTTCCAGAACTGAAGAGTCTTGTCCCGATGTGAGAACGCGTCCGATCCCACCAATTGCGATTAAGTCTTCGAGTGCCTCGAACGCATCTCGTGTCATGTCAAAGGCGCGGTGAATGGTAACGTTCAGTGGTTTGGCCAGAGTTACTAGTCTACACAGACAAAGGGTCAACAAGAATCTGGTCTTGGGTGCTTGAAAGACTTAAATCAAAGCGCACTCTTTGGTTCTTGGTTTGTCAATCGTCCCATCTGGCTGTTTAGAATCAGTTAGAGTCTGAGACGCGAAAGGCAACAACAGATTGTGTACTCACTAACAGGATACCAAATACTACACCGGCAACTCCGTACTCTTTAGCCTTCACGACATCAATTTTCATACACTCGAATTCGACATCATTATAGCAGAAATCCCCTCCTCTGGGTCTGATCATCATATGGATGGGAATATTTGCTCTCTTGGCGACAAGTACACATCCAGCACTGGGAGTGGTTCCACCTTTTAACATATGTGTCAACGTGCTTCTGTTTTTTACAAACTTCTGCAAGCGATAACCACCTTCGACAAGATTATCACACAGTTCCACTCTATCGGCGCCATTTTGAGCTAGATTTGTAGATTTGACAGTATTCAAGGAGAGGGCAAGTCAGGAATCCAAGACAGCGGCGTTGCACGATGATCTCGAATTCAAGAGTCGTGTTTTGAATTACCTGATATCCATACTCCTTCTGCGCTGTCTACGCATACTTCCAGTAATACGCGTCTACTCATTCCTTTATTTCAGAAGTGCGATGGGCTAGCTCTAGTCATGTAAAGTTTCAGGTCAATTCGTGCACTGCAACACATCAGTTAACGTTTCCAAACAGAATCAAGTAGGTTAAGAAGACTCTGTAAATGCACTTACTATACTTTGAATGACGAGCCTTGTCCTGGCACTATATCGCAACTCTCTCCCGAAAACTCACGGTTCTAACAAAAAAAGTTGAACTTGACTAGGGAAATGGCAACTTCATTTCGAATGGTCTCGCAACTAGGCTTGAGAACAAGCGCAAAGTTTGCTCTCAGAACTCGCATCGCAAACCTCAGCACCGGTATGCTATTACATCCACATTTCTCCTTTCTCTGTGATGCAACATTTTCACATTTCTGTGTCGGGAACCTGACATCATGCGTTCTTGCCTCAATAGGTCGAGTGGCCCTTATTCAAGCATCAAATGTCAACCAAAGTGGTATGTAAAATTCGAAATTTGGGTCCTTGAACGTCTAGTTGGGCTCCACTTTGGAAACAGCTACCTCGATGTTATGAAAATCGCTAACTTTATCTTCGAACCCCCATTGAACTTGTAAACTGTAGCTGCTGCAGGTACGAGTATTCAACGCTTGTAATATCTGTCTCCTCTGCACTCAAAATACTCACATTCTCACCTTATAAACAGCTGTCGAACATAAATCAAAAGTAGAAGGCTCATATCATTGGGATCTCGAACGTGCATTATCTCTTGTATCGGTCCCATTAATCGGTGGGGCATTCATCATGGGTCCTGTCCCAATGATAGACTTGGCCTTGGGTGTAGTCATCCCTCTCCATTGTCACATTGGATTCGAAGCAATAATCCAAGATTACTTGCCTAAACGTAAATTTGCCGTCATCTACCCAGTCACTATCTGGTTTACCCGATTGGCCTCTGCCTTGGTCTTGTATGGAGTCTACCAGTTCAACACTAATGATGTTGGATTGACTGCTCTCATGAAACGTATATGGACTGGAAAGACCGCCAAGATCGAATAAGAAATAAATTCCAGCTGTTTTTCTCTCTCTATATACTTCTGATAGGCTTTGAATCAAATGGTGAAGCAATTTTGCCCTTCTTTGGTCTCGTTTTTTGCTCGCTGACTCGTTGATTGCGTATTCTAATATCATTCAGAAGTCGCAATTGTAGTAGCGAAAGGCTGTCCAATGTCGCCAAGCGATAACGGTAATCACTTCAGAAAGTTCGAAGGCAGAAAATGCTCATAGACGCTCTGTTGCCTATGGACACGAAGGGGTGGGATTTCACGTCGATAACTCAATACGATACCTTCCAATGGCACGTTGGCACTACTCCTTTTTCGGATCTTTGGGTAAAAGCTCCTCAGTTCCTGTTTGATGTATTTGCATTATGCTAACTCGATTATCGTTAGTTCATCGTCGTAACATGGGGTATCTATTTTGCTACAATAATTACTCTCAAGGTCGGGAACTACAGCGGTCAGCCTCCTTTATACCTGCATCGCTAGCTTACATACACTATCTAGCTGTACATGAAAGATCGTCAAGCATTCAAGCTTTCAACAGCAACAGCCCTTCATAACGCAATATTATGTTTGGCATCCCTTTTCATGTTTGTTTTGACTGCTTTGGATATATATAAACGTACAATGGTGAGGTCAACACGTACGACGTTACCCGGAAATGTTGTCAATGGTGCTGATCAGATCTTCCCTTACTAGACGCTGGGCGTCTCTGAAATTTTCTTTACGACACGGCCAGAGACTTTCAAAGGACGTCTCGTCTGGATAATGTACATCTACTATTTGTCAAAGTATCAAGAGCTTCTGGATACCGTAATTTTGGTTTTGAAGAAGAAGCCAGTCATATTCCTGCATTGGTACCACCACGCGGTCATCATCTTCATGGTTTGGACATGGTAGGTTCTCAGCGCGGTAAACTCGTACGAATATACTGCCTCCTCTAACAATCCCTTGACGATTATAGGCTCGAATACAAGATCATATACTCTGCACTTGGAATGCTGGCAAACACACTAGTACACGTGTTTATGTACTATTACTATAGGTATGAGTATGGGACTTGTCAGCTCCCATTACACGTTGGGCTGGTTTCATCATTGTGCTAATGTCATGCTTCTACTAGTGTGTCTTCCATGGGCAGGGAAGTCTGGTTCAAGGTAACCATTCTCTGTCGGATACCAGTTGTCAAACTTTGGCAACTGTTTTAACCATTTACAATCATGAATTAGAAATACTTGACTTCGGGCCAAATCATACAATTCATCATGTCATTTGTCTTGTCGATACCGTATGTTTATTATCACTGGACTCTCGGGCAAAACACTAGTTGGAAGCCCTTCTTGTTCAGTATGAGCGTGAATGGCAGCTTCCTGTTTCTCTTTATACGATTCTATCAAAAGAGCTATTCAGGTAGCAAGAAGAGTAGTAAATCTAATAAGAAAGAATAGTGCATTATAAAATAGACATAGCATCACCGGCCATCCAAATCCCAATCCAAGTCTCCTGCATTCAAACTTTCCACAAATAATTGTTTATAAATGTGGTGGTTTTTTATTGGGCAAACAAAGCTATCAACAGTTTATAAGAGCAACACCCCTCTCTTTTCCTCTCCTCAATAATATTCACTGACATTGACGGAATACATTTTTTATGCAACGAGAGTAGATGCAGTGGCCGATTCGTACTTCCAGTTTGGTACCAACTGACCGGCTGTCTTGTAGTATCGAGCCAATCTGTGGATTCTGGATTCAATCAAAATGAGACGGAACTTGGAGTCACAGTCTTTGCGATGACGTTCCATGTGCTTGCGGACGGCGACAGCCTTCTTGATGAGATGGTACAAGTCTTCTGGAATTTCTGGGGCAAGACCTTTGATGGGTATGGTGGATGACGTTAGATAAGTGGGTCCATGTGCCAACAAAACTGGTCTGGAGAACTAGCTCGAGCTCGCTCTTATATACCTTCTTTTTTCAGGATTCGAAGAATCTTGTTACCAGTGACACTTTTTACTTGAGCAATTCCTTGAGAATCCCTATTGGTTCAGTAATAATGAAACTTAGCATCTTCCTCCGTATGTTGAATTTTGACACCATCCCAAGGCACATTCATCCATCATCCAAGGCCTGAAATAATGTGATTTTCCTATATATTCTGCTTCGCTGTCCCTGTCCAAATTTACCTCAGTTGAACACCAATGGCAGATGGACTCATGCCCTTCTTTGCGAGTTTGCAGATTTGGTCTACGACATCTTCAGGAGAAGTCTTGACCCATGAGTGAGGAGTACGACGGTATGGTAAGGCAGAGGACGAAATGCCCTTGCCGGGAGTGTGCATACGACCCATATTGAGCTGTAGAAAGGAATGGGTTTTTTTAGCTTGGGTTTGTAACAAAAAACATTAATACACAGAGAAGAGCAAAGGAAGCCTCGAAAGGGGAACCAGACTTTCTCTGTGCATGCATCGTCTTACCGACTATTCTATTCTTTCGCTGTTATAGAGCTTGCTCGTCGTTTGTGTGTGTCGAACGAGTCCTTCAAAAACAAGGTGTGGCTTATCTTACAACTCGAATACAATAACATTATGGAAAGTAGAGACAAACTACTCTTTCGCCCAAGGATCAGCATCATCAACTAAATATATGAACACGTTATCGTCAGTATTCTACGTGATAATCACCAGTTCAACGGATGCATTTACATACCAGGTGCCAAAGATACAGCAACATGTGCAACTGGATTTTCAATAGGAGGAAAGGTTGGAGAATCATTATTGTACTCGGTCTATCGTAAATTTAAGCGTGTCAATCCCGTAAAACTCTACAGCTGTTCAATTTGCGTAAATATCACACCTTGAATGCAGATGGGACAGGTGTTGGAGCACTTGTTTGGATTACAGCCACCTTGGGAGCATTTGGAAGCACTATGGGGTTCCCTGGAGGTGTCGTTGCTGCAACAGTTAGGGCTTCGATCCAATCCTTCAATTCAAACTCATTCTCGGCTTGCAACACCAAGGTTCTGAGAGGGGATGTGGGTCAGCCAAGGTTTCACGTTCTGAACAACAACGTGAACAACCTACTTTTGCGGAGTTACAATTTCCAAGCAATTCCTTCGATCAGGAAGCTCAATTTCTTTGGTCTTGCACGTTCGAATATCCACACTTGAGTGCTCAAAGTCCTAAGGGCACGCCAAAGTTGTAAGTTATGGGCCATTGGCAATACCAAAGCCTTCTACCAACTTTTGCTTCAGACACGTATCGTAGAGATCCTGCTGCCAAAATCTCAAACCAACGGCGATTCCACACAGTCCTCATCTTGCTTGAGCCCTTCTTGTACAGGTAACCTGCTTTCAATGGCGGTACCTTTCCATCCTCTTCTTCAGAACCCCAAAAGTGAACCACGTCGACTGGTTTAAAGGTTGGATTGTACATTGCTGACGTGGCCTCACGTAAAACTAACGTGAAGTCAGTGTTGGCCTTTTGGTGTTGGTATTCAGCTCTCAACTAAGCAGGCAATAAAGCAATACTACGTCAATCCTATGTGTTTCGTAAACTGAGCGGTTTTACGTACGTTTTGAATGTGACCCGTGACGTCTCGCATGGCCGGTTGAACCTCAACCATGTGTTCATGTCCTTGATGGAAGAAGCTTGTTTGATTGAACATGAGGGCCGTCACGCTCTCAACAATTTCAAACTTGCGACGCATGTCGACGTCATTCAGCTTAAAGCAATATTCAACCCCCTTTCTGTGAAGATCCTTGCGAGCTAGCATTTTCGGAGGTTAGATTTGGTTGTAGTTTATAGTCACATAAACTTGCCTTCTTCAACTTCTTTGGCAACCTAAACAAACGCAATTAATACACCAGTACTGTTCTCATAGCGTAGCAGTCGTACAACATACCTTGTCTAGTCCAACAGCCTTTGGTAGGCATGCTGCAAACTTGCTGTGACTGTTCTCGTAACTCGATGCTGCTTTGCGGTACTCGTCTCCATATTTCTAAAACCTAGGAGTGAAAAGCGAGACTTGAGGGCCGTTCTGGAAGCCACTTCATACCTTGACTGGTGCGATTTCAGTTGTCGAGAATTTCATCAACGGATCCAGAAATAAATCCTTGATTTGTCCCATCTAATTGATTTACGTTCAAATCAAGTCCGTTTAGGAAAGGCAAAACTCTCGAGGTCGTGCAACGTACTGCCATCTTTCGCCCTTGTTCGATTTCTTTGAGAGCCGATGCCATGCGTAGAACTTCTGTTGCTATTTTCAGTGATCGTTAGGTGCTGATATAGTTGCAAATTTAGCAATTCGACTTGGACATACAAGCAATAGCCGCTTCTCCACTAGATCCCTCCTTTAGCGTACAGAGTTCTTGTAGAGCATCTGCCAATTGTTCGTTCTTGTCGCTGTACTCTAACAACAAACGTTCAACGTAAGGAGGAAGTAGTCCAGAGAGATTTGCATGGCATGGCACTAAAATTCGTTAAAGTGCTCCAGATCCTACCTTTTCCAATTTGATCTAGCTGCAATGCGAGTCCAACAATCCTCCTGATGTTTGTCTATATTACAATATAGCAAAGTTTGAATAGTTTTGATGTTGATCGACAATGTATCACAGCAACATACGTCAAGGGCCGCCAAAGCAGACTCGGCGGTATTCAATTTCTTGCGAAAGGCAGGACTATCGTCGTATGCCTCCTCGACGTGTAGTAAGGGAATGTCGATCATTGTCAGCGGGATTTCAAACTCCAGTACAATTCCAGTTAGATCCTTTGGCTACAGTGAAGGAGACGGTTAAGATCTTGCCGTTCTGGCATGAACAGAACACCATCCTCACCTGATCTTCCCTTGAGTAGTGTCTCACGGTTGTGCCTTCTTGGATTTACCAACAAACGAATTTAGCGACTTGCACATTAACCATTTAACTGGACCTGGACGACCGATATACTATGACGCGGCAAGTCTAACGTGTAATCAGAGACGAAAATGCCCATAGAAAACTAAAATCGAGAATCAAGCAACCAGAACACTCGTAGAGAACATGAACATTTTTTTTTTACGAAATTGACATCAAGAAACCAAAAATTATGAAATTTTTAGAAGAATTTGATGACAGTTCGAGCTACAGCACCAGCCTTCAAGAGGTCAAAGCCGTGGTTGATTTGGTCCAATGTGATGCTACGGAAGGGTGACTTTTAGCGATCCAGTACGGGTTCAGATCGAATGAGCGAGACTTACGTTTCTGAAACCAGTTCGTCCAACATCAGACGCTTTTGTTTGTATAAATCGAGGAGACGGATCATGTCTACACGAGGGCGGGCTGAACCGTAGAAAGATCCAGCGAGCTTCTTTTCTTGTAGGGCCAACATGAAGGGAGAGATGGAGGCCATTTGGGTCAATGGGGCAATACCGATTTCGACAGCGAGTCCACCACTACACAATGGCAGCAGTTAGAACCCAAGCCTTGACAAAAGCCAATGAAATAACAACTTACGGCTTGATCATTTGGAAGATTTGTTCCAAGACAGACTTGTGTCCAATAGCATCGAAAGCATAGTCGACACCCTTGCCACCAGTTAATCGCATGACCTCAGCAACGGTGTTTTCAATCTTTGATCCATCAATGACGTGGGTAGCACCGAATTGCTTTGCGTAGTCGAGCTTCTTGCTGACCAAGTCAATACCGATAATCATGCCGGCGTTGACGATGCGTGCTCCCTGAACCACATTGAGTCCTACTCCTCCACAACCAACGACTACTACAGTTGAACCTGGTTCAACCTGTAAATAAATAAATAGTTATGAGTACTCATGCAGCAGCGGTGATGTTGGTATCAGATTTACCTTTGCAGTGTTCAAGGCGGCTCCGACACCAGTCATGACTGAACATCCCACAAGTGCAGCGCGGTCAAGAGGAATGTCCTTGTCAATTGGCAAAAGTTGGTCTTCTGGGATGACGGCGTATTCACCGAAACAGGCCAAACCTATTGATGGCAGACATTGTTCAGATACAAATCATGCTGTATGAGCACTGCAGTCTTCACTCACCAGCCATGTGGTAACCAGTTGAACCATCCTTGAGACGAATACGGGTGGTACCGTCGTTGAGAGAACCAGTCTTCTTGGAGGTATGTCCGGAACATAACATGGGTCGACCAACTACCGATTGAAAGGAAATGCTGAGTCATTTTCCCCCCAAAAAAAACCATTACACAAAATCTGTTTCCTTTCTTTTCGCAACATCATTCAACCACCGGCGGAATGCCATATTCAAGACGATAATTCTGTATCCTTCATACACTTTGCCTTGCATTGACATGTTGCTCACCTTGACAGTAGTCACACTTTCCACAGTTACTGGCAAAGATCAAAATACAGTGATCGCCATCCTTGACGGAAGTGACACCTGGGCCGCACTTGGCAACAACACCGGAACCTTCGTGACCCAAAACTTGAGGTAATGGAGAGATGTCTGCGACACCACGCATGGTCCAGTCTCCCTTAATCATGTGCAAGTCGGAGTGACAAATACCGGCTTAAGATAAGACTACCGTGTGAGCCAACAGAGCTCCTGAACGACTAAACGGAGCCCAATTTCCTTACCAGCCGCGACACGAACTAAACATTCTCCTTGCTGCAAAAAACAGGTAGATTAGCAATGGAAATCACTGAAAACCAAGGAAGTGCCGATCGCGTTTCGTGCTTATTGTGCGTGCCTTTAATTCAGTCAAGGTAATCTCTTCAACGACAAGCTCCTATTAACGTGGAGAACAGGTTAAAGAGTGATTCCATTCAAGGAGACACAACAAATTGCGTTGCGGTTTGCACAGATTCGGGGCTAATAGGGTAGCCAATAGAAACTTCTTGCTTACAGTGTTGAATTCTTTTAGGACGGCAGCTCTGCATTTGAATGGGAAGGTGCTAAAAAACACTGAGTTAGTCGCTGTGCTCTGAGCTGCAAAACAAAGCAAAACAAAGAAACTAGCAACAGAGACTCGAATACGAACTGAAGACTTACATTGGCTTTTGGACGGTCATCTTGTCTTGAATTGTTTTGAACTGGGTGTTCTACTTACCTCTTATGAAATTCAGAGAAGCAAGAAGACTAAAGTGACGCAGCTCGGGTTGCACGAAAAACAGACGTGTGACTTTGGTGGACATTTCGATTTTGAAGGTCTCTAAGACTAACTAGGTGGACAATTTTCGTCCGTTTTAAGGCTGATGGTTTGGGTTCCGTGTGCTAGCAAGCGCAACAATAAACCTCTACAAAGGAATCGATTGGTAAAGTCTCTTTAAAACATATAAATTAGCCGTGCTTTCAAGGGCTTGATATGATAAAAGGCCTTATACGGCTGAATTTGGGCATGTCAATGTGGTCGTTGACTAGCTTTCACCATTGCCACAATAAAAGTTACCGTGCTTCAGGTACTACAGCATACGAAAAGTCGAATCATGGCCTTGACGGTCTGACTTTCGTGCGTGGTTTAGAAAATCTGTTTTTCCAAAAGCGTTCAGTGCCGCAAATCCTCGTTGCTCCACGACTATCTCACTGCGCTAAGCTTTGAAGCCCTCAAGATATCAGTATTTATAGCAGCGCTATCTCAACTCGTTACTGTCATAGTCAAGTCACATGTAATGTAGTTAAAGCCACCACCTACTATTAGATTCGGAAAGAATTATCACACTTCTAACATATGCGCACCGAGCTTTGTTAAGGCCATAAAACCACGAGAGCTTGTTTCAGAGTCATTAAAATCTTGGGTACACATTTAGCATATACGCACAGAGTTATGTCAAGGCCATAAAAACACGAAAGTTTATTTCAAAGTCACTACAATCTTGGCGAAGGCTGGTATGAAGATGCCTTAACAATGGCAGTCTTGGTCAACCCTTTCAAAACTTTTACAGCGCCAGAGACCATCTCGTCAACGATAACCTTGGCTGGCAAAATCTCATCGATTGCACCTGCGGCTTGACCCAAGATTTGGGGATGTGCAGCCATGCTCTCCTCATCAGACCATTCGGGGTGGAGTTCCCGGTCTTGAATAGCTGGAACAATTCCGCTGTTTCAAAAACAGACAAAAAATCGTTTAAACATTAAAAGGAGCGAACGAGTTGATTAATGAGCGACTTACGCCGCGGTGAGCTCCTTGATTTTGTCCGCTTTGTTATTCTCCCAATCAGCTATATATGCGTTTTTGCGCACTCTCATAGGACCTACGTCAACAGAAGGCGTTGATTGGCTTGACAAATGGTGCTGACAAACAGTTTGAACTCAAGAACTGCCAATTCTTCCAGTGACATTGCTAAAATCTGGACTTACGTCCACTGAAGATGATTGTTCGTATCGTGTCATGGTAGCCTTGAATATTCAGGAACAATTAGCTAGGATCTCCAATATCAACCACATAAAAGCTACGTTACCAGCGGTAGTGACGGCTCTCTGATGAGCGGGACTTGCTCCTGCTTCCTTAGCCGCAACGAAACGGGTTCCAACCCATACAGCTAGTAAACAGATAGTCAGTTCACCACTTGTACCAGGATTAATGCCATATTGGGAGTTACCTTGAGCTCCAAGAGACAGACACATAGCCAAAGATCTTCCATCAACAACACCTCCAGCTGCGACCACCCAAACGTTATCACCAGTGAGAGGAGACTTCTTTCCGGCACAAAGATCAACGACCTTGGGTATCAACAATGAGGTGGGTACATCACCAGTGTGTCCTCCGCCCTCACCGCCTTGGGCACAAATGAGATCTACGCCAGCGGCCAATGCTTTGGCTACGTGCTTAGGTGCACCGATCATGTTCTGCAAAAACAAAATGCAGCATCTCAGCATTTCAGCAATCAATCGGAACTGTATAGGAACACAAATCACCCCGTACCATGACAGGAATGCCGGCTGCATGTAATTTATCTACTGCCCATCGAGGAGGCACACTAGTAGAGTTGCGAAAGATGTTAGTATAAATTCTGTGTGAAAACTGTAACTTCTACATACCCAACAGCAGCGACAAAGAGCGAACACTTTTCTTCAATCATGATATCAATCAGTTTAGGTAGTTCACCATGTGTATAGTCATCTAAATTGATGCGAGATTGAGAAACAACCCCACACAAACACAAACCAAGCTGCATTTCAGCAATCCGCAGGCGTACAGTTAGTGGCACGAGCTCCAGCACCGACTTGTGGCAACAAGAGATCAACACCAAATGGAGCATCTTTTTGAACGAGCTCAGACTTGAGTTCTCTGATCAATCTCTGAAGAGTGGCAGCATTGTAACCAACTCCACCAATAACTCCTAATCCTCCTGCATTCGTTACAGCTTGCAGAGTAACATGGCGGTTAGAAACCTTCGAAAAAGATGCCAAAGTTTGAAGCCAAGCAAGGACGACGGCTATATCGATACTTACCGGCAGCAAGACTTGGACCAGCTGCCTGAGCCATGCCTAAATATCAAGCAATACATGCTAGTCAGCTCCATGTCTTGGTCAATGTTAGGCTGCCCAAAATTTGCCCAATGCAGAGCAATGACGCAAGGAATCCATGATCGGCCGTCTCTCCGTAATCACATAGATCCAAAGCTCTGCTTTCAACATATTTAGTACCTGCCAACATTACGGGGTGCTTGATCCCAAACAGCTTGGCTATTCAGAGAAAGGCAATGTTAGTCAATGAGGTCACATTGTGGAAAACAAGCTGCGGATAACGAGAAGTAGATCAAGAAGAGTGTAGTTCCATATCAAGACTTACTGAGGGGAGTTTGAATGATCTCTTCCATGTCTTTTTCTTCTGAATTGATGAGATTGACGTTGTTTCTTGTTTGACCGACGTTCGAAGCTAGTGTTACGCAGAAGGAACTCCAGAAAACACCTACGGGAACGAATGAAGCTGAAAGGTCAGTATTTTCGTTTTAAGAGGTGCTTAATTCTATCTGAAATCTGAACCGGTTGAAGAATTGTGCAGTTGATGACGTGTAAAATATATTTAAAATGTCTCGTATCTTACAATTTATGAGGCGTCCTACTGAGGGCCCCATGGCCTATACGGTCGATGTAAAATAGGCACATACGCGCCGGATCCTCTCAACGACTTGACGATTTGTTCGTCATGCCACATCACAGTATTCTGCGACACGTCTGCTTCATTCTTCCAGTGTAATCCAACAGTCTTCCAGAACCTAGCTTCCATTACAGCTCTAAACTCTTCTCGTTGAGCTTCTATGATCAATCGGCTTCTAAAGTCCTCCTTTTTACTCGACACTGACTTTATCCAATTTACAGATGATGGTGGGTATTCTACATTCTTTTCTGGGAAGCTCCACTTTACAGATGATGGTGGGTATTCTACATTTGTGAGTATTAATGGAAGTGGGCTAGCCATTCCAAAAAGGGGCCGTGTCTTTGCATCCTTTTCCGGTTTCGTTTCCAGCATTTGAGTTATTACTTCTTCAGACTCTAGTCCTTGACCAACACGAATCAAGACCGTCATCATATTCCGTATCTAACAGAGGAAAAGTATGACCATGAGCTCTCAGCCTTAGTTTGTAATGGCTCTGATACTGTATCGAGAGAGAAGAAGAGGGCAATTTTCTTACCTGATGCCATACAAAGCTTGGCGCTTTAATAGTAACTACAAAAAGCCGTATAGATCCATACACTTCTTCCCTGATCGTCATCTCAGAAATCGTCCGTATGTTGGTCTTCGACGACTTGGAATAATCTGTAAAATAGCTAAAGTCGTGTGTTCCAACAAACCGATCAGTAGCACGAGTCAAGAGTTCTAAATCTATACCATGAGCTGGAAAAGAATATTCATACGTTCTTTGCAGTGCATGCCTTCGAGCATCAAATCCAGAGACAGGCGACCACGCGAGTATTCGAATTGTCGGTGGTAGATGACGATTCAGCATCACTACATACGGAAGCTCCTGCTTGATTGAAGCATCATCAATGTCGAGCCTGGATTCTACACCTGTTCTAGAAGTAGCAAGAGGTGCGTGTCCTTTTTTCGACGGCAGGTCATTACACGTCCGAGACATGAATGGGTAAATACCGAGATCTGGGTTTGCTTCTTTGGAATTGCTGCGTAACCATAAAGAGACGACGTTATGACTAGATGATACTCCTTTGTCTGTTCTGGCAGCTTTGTCTAAAGATGTTTGATGTTCATTGATTTCGGGACCAATGAGCCTAGTAGTTATCAACGCCTCTACAATACGTTCCTCTATAGTGTTTATATACTTTGGTTGGCGCGCCAAACCTCGAAAACCGGCACCGTGGTAGGATATGAGCAGCCCCACATTCCTCTTGGTTGTGGATGAAAAGTCAAACGGCCTGAGTTTGGCAGCAGACAAGACTTTAGCTGCTTTAGATGGCTTCATCTGATGCCATCATGCAATAATCACACGCAGCTTTAAAGTTATTTCTCGACTTTATTTTGTCTTTTGGGTACACGTTGAATCTATACAATGGTTTTTTTTATGTAAAAGGCATTTGTTTGATTGATCCAAGATTGATCTATTGTACACTCATCTCTTACGACACCCTTTCCCTTTCTTGACCTCAGTCCTATACGTGCATTTAACCTCCTAGCGATATTCACGTTGAAGAGATGGAAGTGGATGATGAAGTGGTGGATTATTGACGGTCGAGTAACCAGATGCCATCCAAGCGTAGGGTTGAGTATTATTGTTACTACTAGTTGCGCCACCAGATACTAGACCACCAACGGATTCTGGAGTCATCCAACCACAGCTAGCCCTGAAAGTATCTACAGCTTCTGCAAATCCGAATCTGCCTCCGACATGTTCAGCATGAGTCAATAGATTTTGACCCCATTCAGCCACCATCGATGTAGTGTACATTTTACCCTCCTCTTTGACACGTCTTACGAGTTCGGTACAAGTAGTATTCCAGCCTCGTCCTAATACTATATACAAGTCACCACGAGTTTCATCATTGTGAGAAGCGTTTTGCCATAATGGTAATCGATGAGCTAGAGTAGTGGCCATTTGCAAGAATCCAAATGCGTGATCGGGATATTCATGGGCCATTTCACGAGTATAGCTGATTGGTTCTATAAAGTACGGCATATAGTGCATGATTGCGTCTTTTACTTCGATGAGGATTGGTCTGACACGGTTGAAGGAGTAGTCACTACGGTCTGGACCCCACTTGTTGAAGGGGAAGGAGTCGTTCAATTTCTTTTCCAGTCCAGACAAGACGGTAGATACGGTCTTTAGAGTAGGTCGAGGTAGCATTTGGGCTATAGTAGAAGATAGCGTCGGGTGTTGTTGAATCAAAGTGGTCAGTATGGTGATTATTTGAGACTTGTCCAGCGTATCTAGTACCCTATCTATAGCGGGAGGTCTAGTTATGGGCGGGGTGGGTGGACGTGGAGATATGAGTAGTTGCTGTGAGCTCTCTGCGGCCAAGGAGGCAGTTTTGAACCTCTTTGTTGGTGTGTTCAATGTGACATAATTTGCCATTGATGAGAGGGGCGAGTTGGTATTGCTAGTATTGGGCAATGCAGAGGGGAAGTTGGGTTGGTCGTCTGATGGTTTTCTCTTTCTCGGATTGTTGGCCACTGGGGCGTTTCCGCCAAACTCGAAGTTTCCCCAACTCATGATCGCTATGTTATTTTGTTTGTTTGAGTGGGTGGCTGCTATGGGAATAGTGTGATGTTAGCATGGAGTATAGATGTACAATTGGCACTGAATGCAGTGGCGGTACTCACTTTCGGTCAAGTGCTGTGGTTTGGTCTGCTCTGTCTTGAAACAACGCTGACGAATTTTAGAAAGGAGATGAATGAACGAATGACAAGGATCAAGGAATCCACGTCGATCGAAGACACTTCTACAGTGATTTCAAGATATTCCACGAGACAATAATCTGTGTTGACCCGTGGGCACGACGTGTTAGTTGCATTCAGAACAGTTGACAATAGTCACATTTGACATTCACCACTGGATCAAGACCATCATGTCTCGAGGAGCAAACCACTACGAAATACTTGGCTGCCAACAGAATGAGACCATTTCAAATATCGCAAAGGCGTAAGTCCAGTACCATCTTTTCCAGCTAAGGTGATATCACATGTGACATTTCTTTGCTTAGGTATCGAAAACAGGCTCTCAAATGTCATCCGTAAGTCTCGTCAGTATTTCGGAGGCAGCATATTCTCATTCTCAAGTCTGCACTGGAACTGAATGTAGTGATAAAAACCCACATCATGGTGAAAAGTTTCGAGCAATCGTTGAGGCTTACGAAGTACTCTCTGACCGTGAGTCATGAGCAATCTGCTTTTAAATGAATTTTAAATTGATTCTGATCTTTATTCAGCTGAACGACGAAGAGAGTACGACGTCAGTTTGAATGCTATGAACCAATGGACGCCGACAAGGAGTGAACCAACACGAAGGCAATATGAATTCAGCACTACTATGGATTACGATTTCTTTGGCTCTGGTTTTGTTCGTGACGCTCGCAAGTGAGTCTTCTGCTTTGTCAACTTTATTGTGTTTCAACGTACCAGACGGGCTTCTCCGATCCTCATTGACCAATGATTTATTAGCAACATCAGACAAGCTGCCACATCCTATGACTCTTTTTTGGAAGACTTCTTTGAAACACGTCGACAAACCCCTTTTGTGTGTGCTCCTCACTTCCCCAGTTTTGAACGTGATCGCAACTTTACCCGCCATCCTTTCATGAGCAGATCTACACCACCTCATCAAGGAACTCGAACTATTTCGGTAAGAGCAGTGTTGGCAGTATACGTGGGCGATGCCGAGGTTGATCATGGTTGATTTCTAAGGTCGGTCGTTGTGATCCAAACACAGGGCAGTTTCAATTCACAACCAAGACAGAAGTATACGATCCATCACTTAAATGCTGGGTAGATCAAAAGTCAATGGTCTAATATGATTTTGTTGGGTTGATGAATTGCGAGGAGTTTAGTAAGTTATAGCACGTGTAATCAGATGCTTTTACCAGTCAATTTAGGAACTATATTTAGCAGAATTTGGTTGCATTTATCTCTGTCACATGGTGAATTTGGGTTGAATCCATTCCGCGAAAGTGCTATTAAAATTACAAATGTTACAAGACTGTGTCCGTACATGATAGCATCACTAAATACAGCAAACCAACATCAACTCACCATCTAAAATGAAAAGGGAGTGTTAAATTCAACAATCAATTTCAAATTCAACATGCTGGCTACTCACCTCGTCATAGTGTCACGGGCACAATACTACAAGGCGTAATCGCGCTTGCAGACTTGAGTAGAATGGATCCAGACTTGATTTGCGACCACCACGCTGGGAATATGTTGATGTATAGTATGAGGCAGCACCAGACCATGAGTAGCAGCATAATAGTATGTTGGTTTGATCATACTATAGCTGAATTTGTACACTAATAAAGGACTGTGCAATCAACTCACACTGGACAATACGAACCGTGATTTTCGCGAATGGATCTATTATAGATGCGCTTTGAGCCATGAAGAACTGAAAACGTTCCGTAAAAGTAGGGAGTTTTCAATGGATGATATATTGTCCAAGTTCTCCTGCGAAAGTGCTTGTCCTCAAAGCCATGAGGGCAAATAAAAAGAGAGACAAGTGCGATTTATCAGAAGCTCTTTGGAGAACCTGCAATCGGCCTAGGAGAGAGCTGGGCCCTGTTCGTAATGGGCGACCGTGCTCATCACCAGCAAAACGTGCCACAATATGTTCTCTCGCATGCCACAAATCCGCAAAATCAGCAGCAGCAATTGGGTGGAACATACTTAAATCAAGACCAATACCAAAGTATCATTCGCAATGCATATCAGCCTCAGATTCAGGCTGAGCTAGTTATGCAATATGGTCAACAACAGCCTCCGATTAATGAATCGTCAAACATTGGCAGAAATCATCATCTTGCAATGGAAGACGACGAAATGCTAGAGGAAGACGATGAAGAGGACGATGATGTAAGCTTAGAGTACTATTGTGATCGAACCGATGTACATGTTCCCTTCATGCCGGACCTTTTTGGTTTTGTCAAAGTTGTCGAAGCAAACTTTTTCGATGTTCTTGATCAAAAACCTTGTACACGTAAATGCAACGTTTGGAGACACACTTTGACTCAATTTTCCATTTTGAATTTCATAGTTCTTTTTATCATCTACACCGGCTATGGCACTTGCTGCAACAACGATGCAATACCACCAGATACCCGAAGCAAAACCACTATTACCTGAATCTGCAGTACTGCCTCAAACATATTATATACTTGCAGATCCACAGCAAACACAAATGGCAATTCCTCAGCTAAAGAAGCCCAGTAATCGTACTAGTAAGCAACAACAGCAGCCACGTCAGATGCCGATACAATATATGGCTCAAGCAAATGGAATGAATCAACCAACGGTGGTGAATTCGTCTGTGGGAATGCCTATGCAGCTTGTGACTCAACAAGTGTATTATCAATCTGTGCAGATGCCATCTGGACAAACTGTCCTCCAGCCTATAACGACTTATTCACAACCACCGCAACAACAATTCACATCACAGGGATTTAGACCCGTCGCTATGCTACCACAAGATCAACAAATGCATGGTCATTTACAGGTTATACAGGGTCAACAGCAGCAACAGCCGCAGCAAATACAAATCCTGCAGCAACCACCCCAAATGCAGCAGCCACAACAAGTGCAGCAATCCGCACCGAGGATGGTGTCTAGTAAGTTTTTCCTGCAGAATAGTGGATTAGCGACTCCACCAGGCACTCCTATACAACCACCGCCGAGATCTAGACATCCATCGTACGAAACCACCATGATATCACCAGTGCTTTTGCCCGACAAGTCTAAGCAGTATAAAGTAACTAAAAGGAAGGCAGGAAGACCGAGCCCTCAGCTTATATCGACCTCAGCAGCATCCGGAATAATGTCATCACTAACACTGTCATCTCCAAGATCGGCACCAACATCTCCACAATCATTTTTCATGCAATCACCTGCCCTGCAACCGACTACTCCATCATCACCTGCACCATCAAACTCGTCTCTGTATCATCGTCCACTAGCTAGACCGCCGTCTTCGACGCCGACATCACCTGCAATGTCGCCGAATCACATGAAAGGAATGGGTACTCCCGTCAGAGGAAGTAATAGCAGCAGCAGTGGCAGTATCACAAGTAGTATAATTAGTGCGCCTGGAACACCCGAACTGCTTCCCGCTGCTGTATCAGCCGTTATAGGCAGATCAACGTCAGCACTAGATTTAGCGGCTCTGCAAAGCAGCAATCCTCATATTATTAGTAACAAGTCAAACCAAGAACTGCAGACTGGTGATGGTAATTCTACGAGTCCTGCGACGCCAGCGGGGCTAATGAATCTAGGCTCGCAAACTAGTAATCGTATCGTGGAGGAACCTATGAATGATGAAGATAGTGGGAACGAATCCAGATCGACCAGCAAGTGAGTCGTAGTTCTCTGTGACTCGAAGATATTTCGTTTGGTCCATTGGCTGTCAAGTATGACCTCTAATCCCTGCACCGTTGTTTTGTAGAAGGCCATCATCGACTTTAGGCAAAAAGCACACTCAAAGGACGGCAGAACAACATCGTCGAGACATACTTAAGGGGCAGTTTGAGGAACTACGAGAGAAGTTACCGCCGCCCAAGAGCAAGAATATGTCCAAATTGCGAGTGCTTGAACGAGGTACTTACATGGACGACATTCTTTTTTAGTCTCTCATGGCACTTTCTAACCATCTTCTATCTCTTTATCTCTTCCCACGCAACAGTAAACGAATACGTCATCCAACTCCTGCATGAACGCTCTGCAGCTCAAATGGAATTAAATCAACTGAAATCACTGGTAGTCCAATTGGGTGGAATCGTTCCATCTGTATCTCCTCAAACCAGTAACTCGACATCACCATATACAACATCTCCGAATCGTAACGATGCTACATCGCCTCAACAAATATCGTCAAGTCTGACGCCACCTGCTACATCGACAAACACGTCATCGTCGGAACAGACATCACCTGTCGCTTCCCTTAATAGTCTTAATGGTACACCACAGCAGCATCATCAGCCACCACAGCAGCAGCAACAGAGCATTGATACTCAGGTGCCTCAATCCAGTAACAGTGCAGGTGGAGCAGTGAACGAATCATTCAAAATGGATTTACAACTCGATTTTTTTTACGATGGGACATTCAACTCTGTAACAGAATCCTTATTCAGCACCAATAACGAAATTCAGCATCCTGATCAAAGACATTCGAATGAAGGAGAGGCCCAGCAGCACCGTGAAAATTATGATAGCAGCCAACAACCAGGCGGAGATCAACCCTCACCACATAGTCAACAGTCATATAGTAACAACCACGAATTCCTTACTAATCCGTATCTGCCTGTGGCTTATCCAAGTAATCCTAATAACCATAGTGGTGGTGATGGTGGTGGTGTACAGAATCCTCAAGTGTCACAACAGTTTTATCATCAGCAACAGCAGCATATTCAAAGTTTTGGCACACCTCAACAAGACCAACAACATATGGACTATACCGCACTTTGAAACGTAGCCCCTCTTTTAGAATTCCTTACTGCAACTCTTCAGTCCTCCTGTAATCATATATATCAGCCGTATTTGTAAACTGTATAATCTTTTTGTAGTTAGTAATATCGCATTTGTGTGAGAGGGAACCCATTTTATAATATCCATAATACATTCACGTGAAAACAAAAGGAAAGCCGCGATCAACCATTGTACGCGTCAAAGTGTTGCTGTAGCTGAAGTGCAAATTTATCATTGTTACATACAATAAATAACCAATCTAAAACAAAACGTTTCTACAATCTCCATCCCCTCGTTCAAATCCACACAAGCACACCCCTTCACCTCCATTCACTGAAGCTTTAGGAAAAGCTAAATATGCGATTTTAAACTTCCATTTTTTTTACATAATAGATTGTTTTTCTGCCTTCCGACTTTATGCTGTGGTTGAGTCTAGCATTTCCACATCACCGTCTCCGGCACTCTGTACAGAAGAGCCCTCGGTTTTCAGATCACTTGTCGAATACAAGGATGTAGTAGGGACACTATAGATACTGCTTGGCAATCGTTTGCCGATTTCTTCAACCAGTTGGTTTCTTTTGGCCAATATTTGCAAAGTGTGTTCGGACAATGGTCTTGGTGTTGACAATGGTTTGAGCTTTTTTCGTTTGGATGAGCCCTTTTGCTAAGGAAATGAAGATTGGTTAAAAAAAGAGCATGGTATTGCGAAAACACACCAGTGAAGGCATGAAGGTTATAACTCACATATCGTTTCTGGTAAGCGGAGAATGCTTGCTTATTCAACTCATCCAATACATCAGAATACTCTTGCCATGCCTTCCAACCGACAGCAGCTTCTCGTAATCGTTGTTTACGGAATTGATTTGTTTCAACCTGTTTACGAAGCTCCATTTGTCTCTTTTTTAGCTCTTGAGTGATTTCATCGTCATCAGTAGCTTCCCATTCGTTTGGCTAGTTAGTAACAATGTGTCAAGAGTCAGATCGTAACAACAAACAACACACAGATTATGGTGGCCTGATTATACCTCTTCATGAGGGATCAGTCCTAAATGCTTCAATTCTTGTTTGATACGATCTTCTAGTTCTGTGACCTCAGCTTTACTTCCAGCCTTGACTTTTTCAGGTGGCTCATTAGCATTTGTATCTAAATTAGCGTTATCTAAATACGACTTCCAGTAGGCATCATCATAGACACCGACAGCTTGTAAACCAGCAACGACACGTTCAGTGAGTGGTCCAAAGAATGCGTCACCAGGTAGAAGTAACGAGTCATCGGGAACTGTATCGTATCGTGGAGACATATCCATGACTGGGAGAGCTGAACCGTTGTATGTACCAGAATCTTGTTCCTGAAATACATACCTCCAACTTCTTCCCAGTGCTGGAATAGTATATGCTGCTACATCATAACCCTATGTGGGGATGAGTTTGAAATAGTGGTGAGATTGTGAAGACAAGGACAATACTACAGGAGCTCATGCGTTTCTACCCAACACGCCCAAACCACACTTGATTACGGATAAATGCGACTACACTTACTTTATCTTGCAGCCACTTAATATCTTCTTCAGTCAAATCTCTAAAGTATTGATCCGCATAACTCCAAAATTGATTGATTGGTATCTGATTTGATGGTTTGACCACCTTTGACAAGTCTCCTTCAGTCATTGGTGGAGCATCACCTCCTAATGACGCTTCGAATGGTAAAGGAGCAGGCGGGGGTGCTGCATCATCTGTACCCTTTTTACGATGAGATGCTTGTTTTGCCTTTTGACCATATGCTTGGCTGTTTTGCCGAGCTGTCTTTGGAGCCTGTAAAATGAGTTGGTTAACTATAGGTCAATCTTCAGATTGTTGCAGTTAACACTGCATGCAAAAAAGCGATAGTTCACAGTGGAACTCCCAGCTGATCTTTGCAAGTACATTTGCCTTCGATTACAGCATCCCAACTTACAGGCTTGCCGGTTTTGGGAGTTCCTGTGCCCTTGATGGGAGCTGGCACAGCAGGAGCCGAAGAAGATGGTATTGGTGATGGCACAACTACCACTTGATCAGAAACAGATCGAGGAGCATCTGTCTTTTGTATCTTTATAGTTGAGCCTGATATAGAAGTCATTTTTACAGTAGCACCATCTTCCAGTTTTGCAGTCACTTCATTAGCGGGAGGCTGATCTTCTTCACCATCACGTTTTCTCTTTTTATTTGGATCTACTATAGAGTTGAACGGAGAAGGAGAACCACCAGCAGATCTACGGTTAGCTTCTGGTTCTAGAATGAAAACAGAAATGATGGTAAAGCTTGAATGATGGTCTAGATGAACCCAGATACAACGAGACACACCCATACCATCTTTCTGATTCTTGACTTTCAATGAGACCTTCCGTTGAGCAGCGGTCATTGTATAAGGCGATGGTTGTGGAGAAGGTTGTTTTTGTAATGATGGTGATTTACCAGGTTGTTGCTGCTGTTGTGATTGCTGCTGCTGCACTTGGGCTAGAGTAGCAGCTACAGCACTAGGATCTACGCCTCCTTTGACCATTCCAGCAATAGCACTTCCAAGACCTCCTGAAGACGAAGACTTGGACGATAGAGCAGAGCTTAATGATCCTGATGAAGATGATGAAGGAGGCTGTTGGTTTATGACAGGCCCTGTATTACTAGCACTAGCAGAATTGCCACCGCTCGTAGTACTACTATTGCCCCCACCAGCAGCACTAGGAGACGGAGAGTGTTTTGCTATAGCTCTAGTTTGAGCAGCAAAAGCAGCGAGGGCAGTTATTCTATTTTCAGCACTGGATCTGACTAGATCTACTTGCTGAGAGAGTTGGGCAATGAGGGAGGAAGAGGCGGGCAAGTCTGCTTGGGCATCGGGATAGAAATCGTTGAACAATCTCCCTGAACTTGCGGTATGAGTTGCCAGTGGAAGTGCTTTGCCATAAACATTAGATGATGGTGAAGATTGTTGGCTCATAACTATTACAATATGATATATATGAGAAATGTTGGTTAATTGGTCATTTTGCCAAATGTTCAAATGTTGCCAAAATGTTGGGTAAAATATCAAAATGTCAAGGCGAAATCGAGTAAAGAATATAGCTGACTGAAGCGAAGAGAGGGTATAGCTTACTTGAGCCAATACATATAATAGCAGACGGGGACTTTTGAGCTTTACTCCTTCTTCATTGTCCTTGGAAACTCGTCCCGTTTTCCTCCTTGTTATTCGTCCTTTTTGAAGAAAAAAATCGCAAAGTTGCCATCAAACTGAGCTACTTATATAATATCAAGAGAGAGAGAGAGAGAGAGAGAGAGCTTGGTAGCTTGGAGCAAATATAATTATTACAAGTAAGATCATAATATTTATTATCTCTATTTCCTTTTCTAATCTCCGTTCAAGCCTGGTTATTAAAACACGCTCAATCTTCAACTTAGAATGTATCCAGGCAATCCAGGTTATGGTGTTGGTGGCCAACAAACTACTTATTCTCATGCTCCTGTAGCATATCCTTCGACTGCTCAGGCCATTCCCCCACCGCCGCCTCCTGTTGCTGCTCCTAATCATCAACAACAGCAACAGGCTTACCAGGATTATACAAACCAGTACTATGCTGCTCAACAATACTACATGTATCAACAACAAATGATGCCTCAACAGCAGCAGCAGCCAATGATGATGCCTCAACAGCCGCAACAACAGCTAACTATTCAGCAACAGCAACTATACCCTCAACAACAACCGCAACAGCCATATATGCAACAGCCTGCTTATAATAATATGAGCTCTCCTAGGCCTCCCCCTCTTCAGGGTGCTCCTCCATCAATAGTAAATGGAATGCAACCTTCTGGTCCCGTATCTCCGTATAGACCAAGATCTGATACTCGCTACGGTGGTGGTGGTCGTCCTCCAATGTCTATGGGCGGTGGTCATCAGCAGCATCAACAACGTCCACCAGTCCCTCAAATGGATAACTCTTATGGTAATTATGACGGAATGGCACCTCAACAACCTCCAATGGAACGGGGATACAACATGATGCCACCTACTTCAATATATCCACCACCTGGTCCTGGACCAGAGTATCATTCTGTGCCATACAATAGTGGTGGTGCTGGCGGTCGAGGAATGTCAAGAGGTCGTGGCGATCGTGGTGGAGGACGATATCCTACCAGAGGTAACTACGATTCACAACGTGGAGGAGGCATGAGACGTGGTGGTGGTGGTGGCCCACCCCGTGATTATGATAATTATAGACCAGGCGGCTCGCCATATCCACAAAGAGGTGGTTGGAGACCTCGAGATGACTATGGAGGGGGCCGTGGTCGTGGTGATAGAGGAGGAGGAGGCTACTCTCGTGATCGAAGAAGTATGGATCGCGATCGTGAGCGAGACCCAAAGGTGGGTGCACCGTCTGTGAGTAACCCACAGTCCTCCATAACTCTGAGAAAAGGGAACATTGTTTTCATACGGCATTTCGTATGCGGCTGGTTAACCTGCGTCATACGACTCTATTGGGATTTTACAAATCCGACTCACCCTCCATTTTCTTACTTTTTAGAGAAGGAGAATGGATGAACCACAACCACCTGCTCCTCGAAATCAACAACCATCGTCATCAGATCCAGCCCCACCAGGAGTGACTGAACCACGTGCACAACTCACCGCTCCACCTGCTGCTTCATTATCAGCACTACCAACTGCAGTGAAAATAAAGAAAGAAACATCTTCACCTAGTGCCACGCCAGATCAACCATCGTCATCATTACCGGAGCAGGTAGCAGTAGCATCAACAACCATAAAAGAAGCTAAAAATGCTTTTGTCGAACAAAGTGTTATAAATGGAACACCCATTTCCTCATATGCAACCCCATCGATTATTAAAAATCCATGGGAAGAGTTGGAACGCTCTTCACCTGTCGAAACGGGTTTTAACCCTTATTAAATGAATGAGTTGGCACAAAGACGTGAATCAAACATGTTGAAAAAGATGCTGTTACAACACGATGTGGATGTTTGCATAATTTGCATAAATTGGGAGTTTGAAGGGAGGGTGGATCATTACATAATGTAGCAATATCGTGTCTAACTAGCTTGCAAAATATGGGTTTAAATCAATCAATGGGGTTGCATGTTTGAATATTTTTTTGATTTGTTTGTTTTTCTTTTTGCTGTTGTCGTATTCTAGTTTTTTCTTTGCATAGTTAGACGTCGGGAATCAAGAGTTGGATGCTTGAATGACAGTTTCGTTTTGTGGTAGTTGTGTTGGGGAGGAGGAAAATGAAAAATGGAAGGAATTTAACCATACTCAAACACAAAAAAAAAACGTAAACTAAACCCTAGTCTTGTAACCCTGCTTTTACTAGAATGAACAAAGGTCTCTCAGAAACGCGTACATGGTTGCGATGATCTGTTTGCTTTGTGAAAACATTCTCTATTAGCTACAGATTCTCACATTTACTTGATTGTGGCTCCTACAAGAGATGCAGTCTTGACAACACCTTTCGAAGTCTGGAAAGGAATACCCTTCCACACTGCAACGAGCTCTGGTGTGGTTGTGAAGTCAGGTTGTATGCTTTCCCAGACCTTCTTTTTGGGATTCAATTGTGCCTCGGGTTCACCTACAAGACAGAGTAAAAGTTCTGAGAACGAGTGATTCACAGGTCTCACTTTGTTTGGAGAGCTCGTCTTTTCAAGCTGACAACAATAAAAGACGTGGCGATTCCCATGGAATGATGTAAGCAAAATGATACCTTGATGACCTTCAAAGAAGACTCGATCTCCAGGCTTTGATCCAGCTGGAGGTATCAAGAATTCAACCTTGGTATGTTCTGCATCCGATGAACACAAGACCATGGCATGCGATTTGACTCCACGCATTCTATGAGGTTGTGTGGTGATTTTAGTATTAGATTGTCCTCCTAATAAAGGCACGATTCGACTCAGCTGGAAAGGCCAAAACTTACGCTGCTGGTTTCAAGTTTCTCAATATGAGCACATCTCGTCCCTAAAGCAATACGAAATAAATTCAGCAGACGAGAAAAATACGACTTATGCACGAACACCGATTTTGTTGACTTACACGAACTTGATCCTCAGTCATGAACTTGACTAGTCCACTGACAACTTCACGAGGTTGAGCTTCTCCACAATCGATTTGTTCGACATCTAAAGTAGAATGTAAAAATATGTGTTCTAATACACCAACAAAGAAGGTCTCAAACAACAAAAACAGTGGCGTACAAAGAGAATCAGCATCTGGATGTTTCTTCACATCAATGATCTTGCCAATGACAATATCAAGTTTGGAAATCAAAGACTCGCCACCAGAAGTGGCAACTGGGAGTGCAGCCGACGATGAAGCTGCCGCAGGCTTCTTTTCTGCTGGTGCAGGAGTAGAAGACGTTGCTGCTGGTGTAGCTGCTGGTTTGACCTACAAGGTTTCCGGGAGAGCTGTTGAGCAAAAGCGAATATACAGTCCAGTTCAGTAACTTACAGCTCCATTCGCCTTGCTCGAATGACCAAAGTCGATATCACCCATGACATTAGGCACAGTGTACATCTTCGTGACTTTGCTAACATCAATCTGGATATCTCCATATACAGGTGGAACCGAATACATTTTTATACTCGAGATATCATTGGCTGCTGGTGCAGCTTTTGCATCCTTTTTAGCTTGCTTTTCTGCAGAAGAAGCTTTGGCTGCTGCTGGAGCTGATTCAGCCTTTGATGCGGGAGCTGTGACACTCTTGTCTGCCTTTGAAGCTGTAGTAGCGGCACTACCATCAGGTATCAAAATAAATTGCAGGGGTTCGTCGGGCTTCTTTGAGTCATAAGCGACATCACATATAAAGTATCCTTTTCGCTCAAATTGAATGATGTCGCCTATAAAGAGAAACAGTTGGTACGATGGGTGAGATTGATGAGATTGAGTGCAAAAACATAGAAACCCCGAATTGTGGACTTCATACCCTTCTTCACAAGCTTCAGATTCCAGTCTCCCACTGCCTCAGTCTAGCAAGAATCGACGTTAAACATTATCAACCTCGAACACTAACTAAAACTGCCATACCTTGAATTCGGTAACTGGAGTCAAAACGGCATCAATCTCTTCATCTTCCTCCATCTTCTTCTTGGTTATTAGATAATCATAATCATGTAAGACGAGATTAACCCCTGCATCTTTGCCAGAAGCATCAGATCCACCAATAGACAACCACGTCAGCTTTTTCTTGGTCTTTTTGAAATCACCCTCCAAGTGCAGTGTAAGATATATAAAGTCAACGGTTGTTTTGTCAGCCTTGTGAGCAATACCTGACACAATAGCATTACCCCAATCCATCAACGTGACTTCCTCATCCATTTCCATCAAGGCTGCATCAACCTGCTCTAAATATATATTGTTGGAGAATACAGTGTGTTTCACACCAACATCTGGATTCTTTTTATGCTTGGCCATCTCTTTAGAGTATGGTGATAATGAATCATCTGTTATGATGACTTTGACAATGTTTTCCTTGGCGATGGCGGTATGACGAGGTGCAACGGGGTCAATGACTCGTTTATTCTCGGTCCAAATCTTGTCCCATTCCAATAACATGTCCTTGTGCGAAGCACCTTGTGACAAGATGTACTTGCGCAAGGCTTCAATGGTCAATCCTCTTCTGCGGATACCACGTATAGTTGGGAAGCGAGGATCATCCCAATCTGAGACACGACCAGTGTCGACAAACCACGCCAGCTTACGTTTTGACATTAGAGTGTATACAAAGTTGATTCGGCTAAGAAATTTGGTAGGTGCGGTTAACTTGCTATTCTCAAAAGGCTATCTGAAGTGAACAAAAAGCAAGAGGCACTTTGATTGGATCTGCATAACGTTGAAGACCATATGTAGCAAGTCTTCTGCACACTAACCTGAAATCTCGGATATGGACCCATCGCAGGTCCAATACTTTCAAAAACCATTCATACTGGAAGTT